AAAGGTGGCGGTTACGTGCGCGAGAAACTTTTTGGGCAGGATGAAGAACTGCTCAAGATGGTTGAAAACATGTCGGACGACGACATCTATCGCCTCAATCGCGGCGGTCATGATCCCTACAAAGTCTACGCGGCTTATCACGCCGCCACGCAGCACAAAGGTCAGCCAACTGTGATCCTCGCCAAAACCATCAAAGGTTATGGTATGGGTGATGCGGGTGAGTCAGAAAACGATACTCATCAGGTCAAGAAGTTGAACTTTGAAGAGTTGAAAAGATTCCGCGATCGCTTTGATGTGCCACTCTCAGACAAGGCTCTGGAAGATATACCGTATTTCCGCCCGGCGGACGATTCGCCAGAGATGGTTTATTTCAAGAAGAAACGCGAAGCTCTGGGTGGCGCTATTCCCCAGCGTATCAAAGATCCGACCAGGTTAGAGATACCGGAATTGTCAGCATTTGAGTCCCAGCTTAAAGGCAGCGGTGACCGAAACATCAGCACAACCATGGCGTTTGTGCGCATACTCGCTACGCTGGTTCGTGATAAACAAGTAGGCAAACGTGTTGTGCCGATAGTCCCCGACGAGGCGCGCACCTTCGGCATGGAAGGTATGTTCAAGCAACTGGGGATATATTCATCCGTAGGCCAGTTGTACGAGCCTGAAGACTCTGATGAGCTCAGCTCATATGTCGAGTCAAAGGATGGTCAGGTGATGGAGGAAGGCATTAATGAAGCCGGGGCCTTTGCAGCCTGGTTGTCTGCTGCCACGTCATACAGTAATCATCAATATACCCTCATCCCGTTTTATATTTACTACTCCATGTTCGGTTTCCAGAGAATTGGTGACCTGGCCTGGGCTGCGGGCGATCTGCAGGCACGGGGTTTCCTGCTCGGCGGTACAGCCGGCCGCACAACTTTAAATGGAGAAGGTCTGCAGCATCAGGATGGCCACAGTCATCTGCTGTCCTCCACGGTGCCAAACTGCATCAGTTATGACCCCTGCTACAGCTATGAGCTTGCGGTGATCATTCACGAAGGTCTTCGCAGGATGTACGTGGAGCAGGAGCCGGTCTACTACTACGTAACGGTGATGAATGAAAACTATCAGCATCCCGCCATGCCGGAAGGGGCAGAAGAAGGCATTCTCAAAGGCATGTATCTGTTACAGACCTTGGGAGACGACACCGCCAAAAAAGTAAGGCTGCTGGGCAGCGGGACAATTCTGCGGGAAGTGGAGGCTGCGGCTGCCATGCTGCATGAAGACTATGGAGTGTCGGTTGAGGTATGGAGCGTGACCAGTTTTACGGAACTGGCTCGTGAAGCTCAGGACGTTGCGCGCTATAACCTCCTCCACCCGGAAGAGGACCAACAGGTGCCATATGTTGCGCAGTGCCTGTCGGGTGATGCGCCTGTGGTGGCGTCCTCGGACTATATGAAAGCCCTGCCGGAACAGCTCCGCAGCTGTATTGATGCGCCTTATCACGTGTTAGGGACCGATGGTTTCGGGCGCAGTGATACGCGGGAGAAGCTGCGCCATTTTTTTGAAGTGGATCGCAAATTTGTCACCTTGGCAGCACTTTCCAAACTCGCGGAGAAGCAGGTGGTCTCGACGCAGGATGTTAAACAAGCGCGCGAACAGATGGGAATAGACATCGACAAGTCTAATCCGCGCCTTAGTTAGGAAACACGATGGATGTAACGATACCCAATCTGGGTGATATCGATGAAGTAGAAGTGATAGAAATATGTGTCGCCGTGGGTGATGTCCTTGAAGAAAACGACACCATTGTGGTGATCGAATCAGACAAGGCCTCTATGGATATACCCTCACCGGCGGCGGGGACCCTTGAATCACTGAAGGTTGAACTGGGTGATCGGATCACGGAAGGCCACGTGATTGCTACGCTAGACGTTGCCGAATCCGAATCCGAATCGGAATCTGAACCAGACTCTAAATCCGAGTCTGAAGGTGAAAAAGAAGCACAGAGCGAACAAAAATCTGATTCGCAGACAAGTTCACCAGCCACGGAAGAATCAGGCTCGGAGGCGGAAGAGGAGGAAGCAAGCCAGGAAATCGAAGTTCTGGTACCGGATATCGGTGATGCCTCTGACGTTGTGGTTATTGAAATTGCGGTGCAGGCAGGTGATGTTATTGAAGCCAACGATCTTCTTGTGGTGCTGGAGTCTGATAAAGCGTCCATGGAGATTGCGGCGGAACATGCAGGTACCGTTCTGGAAGTCGCGGTCAGCGTCGATCAGGAAGTCAGCGAAGGAACGCTCATTGCGAAGTTGCGCACCAAGCGAGCCAAGGTGGCTGATAAAAGCCAAACTGCAGAACAAGAAACCAAACAGGCGGCTGAACCTGCGCCATCGGTTTCAGCCACAAAATCTAAAGAGACGTCTCAGGATTCCGGAAGCAAGGCAGATACCGTCCCAGAAGACGCTTCAGAAGATACAACCAGTGCCAGAGTTTATGCGGGGCCGGCTACTCGACGTCTTGCGCGAGAACTCGGGGTTAATTTAACTGAGGTCGAAGGTACAGGTAACCGCAAGCGAATTACCAAAGATGATGTCAAAAACTATGTGAAGCAACAGATGATATCAGGTAAGGCGGGTGGCTCTGCTGGCGGTGGTCTGCCTCAGGTTGCAAAAATTGATTTTGCTAAGTTTGGATCGGTAGAAACCGTGCCGCTGACGCGGATTCAGCAGCGTGGGGCAGATAACCTGCACCGCAGTTGGGTGAATCTCCCGCATGTCACTCAGCATGACGAAACAGATATCACGGATCTGGAAGATTTTCGCCAGTCTTTGAAACAAGAAGCTGAACGCAAAGGTATAAAGATCACACCGCTGGCGTTTATTGTCAAAGCCTGCTGCCATGCTTTGCGTGAGTACCCTAATTTCAACGCTTCCCTGCACGCAGACGGACAGCAGCTGGTGCGTAAGCACTACATCAACATAGGTATGGCCGTAGATACGCCTGAAGGCCTGGTGGTGCCGGTGATCAAAGCTGCAGACGAAAAGTCGATATGGCAGCTTTCCGCCGAGATTGCTGATCTGTCAGAAAAAGCGCGAGATAAAAAACTGGCGATGGATGATCTCCAGGGAGGCACTTTCAGTGTTTCCAGCCTGGGAGCGCTCGGTGGTACCGGGTTTACACCCATCGTTAACGCGCCGGAGGTTGCTATTCTGGGTGTCTGTAAACTGCAGACTAAACCGCTGTGGGATGGGGAGGCCTTTGTGCCTCGTAAAGTTTTACCGCTGTCCTTGTCCTATGACCATAGAGTTATAAATGGTGCGGACGGCGGACGTTTTATGAATTACCTCGGGGCTGTGCTGGCCGATATTCGGCGTTTAGCGCTCTAGGTTCTGGCGGTGGGGCCACGCCACTGGGTTTCATTGGTGATGGTCAAACTGCGTGCGAGGACAAAGAAGTAGTCGCTCAGTCGGTTCAGATACCGTGCAGCGTCACTATAACTGGCTGGAGCATCGTCAGTATCGCTAACCACTTCCCAGACAAGCGTTTCGGCGCGTCGGCAAACCGCTCGGCACACATGGGCTTGTGCCGCTGCGGGTCCACCACCAGGTAGCACAAACTCAGTGAGCGGCGGCAGGTCTTCATTCAAGGCATCTGTAGCTGCTTCCAGCAAGTCGGTTGTCGCCGCGCTGTAGTCGCCTTCCATAGCAAACACGGCGCCCAGGTCGAACAGCGCCTGTTGCACTGCGCCTAGCGTATCCTGTGCATCAGCACTGGCCAGGGTGCGCAGGACGCCGATAAAACTGTTGAGTTCGTCAATGCCGCCCATCGCTTTAACGATGGGGTGATACTTCTGTAAGCCTCGCCCCGTTGCCAGTCGAGTTTTGCCTTTGTCACCAGAACGGGTGGTGACTTTGTTGATGCGCTGTTTTTCAACCACTGGTGGTTTCCAGGTGTGGTGCAGGATCATAAGGCCGCACGGTGATGATGCCTGTGTCGAAAGAACGGGTAAGGCCGCGATAAGCAAATTCCATCAGTTCGCGTGCGCGAGGATGACCTGTGCTTGCGTCCGCAGCGGTGATGCTCACGCCGACAACCACAGGTATGTAGCCTTCGGTGGTTTTGAATGAGTGCATATAAAGACTATCGAAGATGCGTCTGAAACTTTGTGAGGTGCAGTTTTTCAGATTGTCCTGCAGTGTGGTCACTGCAAAAATGTTTGGTTCTGGACGTGTGACTATGTCCAGGGGGCGCACAAGCTGACGGATTTTAGCGCTGATGCCTGAAATCAGTTCATCAATACTGCCAGGCTCATACTGCTTCTTAATCACTTCCAGGTTGTTGACACCAACTAACAGCAGACAGGCGGCACCGCCGCGAGTATCGGATTCCTGGAGGGTTGCATCCAGGCGCTCCATGGTGAATTTCAGATTGCCCAGGCCGGTTACCGGGTCCACCAGGTCGGTGGTTTGTAATTCTTTGACTTTGCGACTTAACTGTTTGTTGGATTTCATCAGCTCGTTCTGACGCGACGTGATGCGATCCGCAGCGACTACTCTGGGCAGAAGTTGTGTGCGCAGGTGAGCTTTGTTCATAAAGTCATCCACGCCGGCAGCAAATGCTTTTTCCAGCGCTTCATAGTCGTCCCTTGCGGTCATCAGCATCACATAGCTGAAATGATCCTGGGTTTCGTCAAGTTTTTTGATCCGCCGTGCAAGCTCGACGCCATCCATTGCGGGCATCAGCCAGTCAGCGATAATGATCTGAGCTGGCCTTTTCTCAATGGAACGTAGTGCTTCCAGAGGGTTGTTGGTGAATCGCACATTGGTGAAGCCACCGGTTCGCAACACCTTTGCGATGATCGCACTGGAGAATTTGGCGTCGTCTATGACTAAGATTGGAATGTCGGAATCTGACATGTATCGTGGGTTGCGTTTTGTGCTGCGAATCAATCTTGATATGCGACCGACGGCCTTATGTCAAGGAACCATTAACCGTTATTAAACCTGAAGGGAGAAGAACCCATGCCATCGTTCGATATTGTTTCGGAAGTAGACATGCATGAAATCAACAACGCCATCGATCAGGCGGTTCGCGAGGTGGGTACGCGATTCGATTTAAAGGGTGTGGACGCAAGCATCGAACTCAGCGATGAGACCATTATGATCAGTGCGCCGGAAGAATTTCAGATTAATCAGATCGAAAGTATCGTGCGTGACAAATTAACCAGCCGCAAAGTGGATACCCGGGCGTTGGAGCCTGGTCAGGTTGAAGGCGCGGGCAAGGTGAAACGCAAAACCTACCAGCTGCGCCAGGGCATCGATCGAGATACTGCAAAAACCATTACCAAAATGACTAAAGATTCCAAGCTCAAGGTGCAGGCGCAGATAAACGGCGACAAACTGCGGGTGCAGGGAAAAAAACGTGATGACCTGCAGCAGTTGATGGCGTTGTTGCGTGAAGCAGACCTCGATACGCCTTTACAGTTCGATAACTTCCGAGACTGAAGTGGATCGCATTGTCTGAAACGCAAACACTTCAGGAGCCTGAAGATCGTACCTGGCGCACGGCGCTGCTTGCTTTCAAAAACCCTCAGGTTGTCACCATGCTGTTCCTTGGCCTGGCGGCGGGAATGCCCCTGTTGCTCATATTTTCCTCGCTGTCTTTGTGGTTGCGTGAAGCAGGGGTAGATCGGGCTACGGTCACCTTCTTCAGTTGGGCGGCACTGGGCTACTCGTTCAAGTTTGTCTGGGCGCCGCTGGTCGATCGGTTGCCATTGCCTTTCTTTACGCGGGTGCTCGGAAGAAGACGTGCCTGGATGCTGGTCTCGCAACTGATGATTATCAGCGCGATTGTCTGGATGGCGTCGACTGATCCGAGTGCAAGCGGTGATGCTTTGACGCGTATCGCACTGGCTGCTGTGCTGCTTGGGTTTTCATCCGCTACCCAGGACATAGTTATTGACGCTTTTCGTATTGAGTCAGCCAAACCGTCTCTGCAGGCAATGATGTCGTCGACGTATATCGCTGGCTACCGGATAGGCATGTTGTTGGCAGGGGCCGGTGCTTTATACCTGGCTTCTTATTTTGGCTCGGAGTTGGGCCAGTATGATTACCAGGCGTGGCGTATGACCTATCTGATTATGGGTGCCTGTATGCTGGTTGGTGTTGCGACGACCCTCATTATCAATGAACCGGCTGTTAACCGAACGGTAGAACATCAGCACTCTACGGCGGACTACGCAGGCTTTGTGCTGATGTTTATGCTGGCCATCAGCGCCTTTGTGTTCAGCTTTGTGCTTCTGGGCCAGCTTTTTGATGCCTTTTTAGGCGAAGCTTCACCGCTACAGGCGTTTGCGCTGGAAGTGAGTCGCATGTTGGTCTCGCTGGCCATTGCTGTGTGTACAGGTTTGTCAATCAGTGCAACAAGGTGGGTCAATCGCGAGATGGTTCTGGATACTTATGTCGCACCGGTCAGTGAGTTTTTCAGTCGTTATGGTTTGAAGTTGTCGTTGCTGATTCTAGCCCTGGTTGGCCTATATAGAATCTCTGACATTGTGCTTGGTGTAATTTCCAATGTTTTTTATCAGGACCTTCTGTTCACTAAAAATGAAATTGCCACTGTCGTAAAAACATTTGGTCTGTTCATGACGATTCTGGGCGGGTTTTTAGGCGGTCTTTTGTCTGTCCGTTATGGCGTGATGCGTATTCTTTTTGTTGGTGCACTGTTGACCGTGGTGACTAATCTGTTTTTTATCCTGCTGGCGGTAATAGGCAAAAACGAGTTTCTACTTTATCTGGTTATATCCGCAGATAATCTGACCGCGGGGCTTGCCAGCGCTGCGTTCATTGCCTTCCTGTCTGCCTTAACCAATGTGCGTTTTACTGCGGTCCAGTACGCGATTTTCAGTTCTCTGATGACGCTGATCCCTAAGTTGGTAGGTGGCTACTCTGGAACGGTGGTGGATAATTTTGGCTATGTGAATTTTTTCCTGTTTGCCGGGTTTATTGGGCTGCCGGTTTTGTTGCTGGTTTGGCTGGCTGGCAGGCATCTGCATTTGGAAGAGCCGCAGTTTAAGACAGATAGCAATTTATGAGCGGATAGTTGCTGTTGCGGTGCTCCAGGCGGGTCTTACGCTTTGAGCCTAACCGGCGCCGCTCCGCGGTGCCTTCGTTCTCAAAACAAGCCCTGACGCAGACGCCAGGTCTTTTTTGTTCTCTCAGCTTGGTTTTTGATGGCTCAAAGCGTAATACCCGCCTGGAGCACCTCGCGATAAACTGGCTGCAGATGCTTCTTTTTGCACACCTGCGAGAACGTTCAGATCAGGTTGATTCTGTGTCCCAGCGGTAGCCTGGCGGGATTTTTTCGCCAACAAACTCAATACCTTCCGCCTGCAGGCGTTTACGCTGTGTGGCTTCGCCTGTGCCTCGTTGGGAAATGCGTAAGCTGGCATTGACGACGCGATGCCAGGGCAACCTGGTATTTTTAGGCAACTGGCGCAATGTAGTGCCGACAAAGCGGGCATGGGAAGGTGCGCCGATCAAGTGGGCTATCTGTCCGTAGGTTGCCACCTGCCCGGCGGGAATCATGGCCACCACTTGCCAGACCCGGGCGCGCCTGTCCGGCGCCTGGTCTTGATTATCAGCCGTCTTGCCCCCAGGGTGTTTAACTGACGCCTCGTTTGGCGATACTCGCTGCGCTTGCGGTCTCTGTTTATCCGCTACCGTTGGCATCTTACGACTCAAAGGATCTGCCTGAATATGTTCTGGTTGTTGGTTTTTTTATTACACCCATTGTTGAAATGTACCTGCTCATCACCGTGGCTGGCTACATCGATGCGTGGCCAACAATCGCCCTGGTGATGCTTACCGCCGTGATTGGCGTTGCCCTGCTGAAACGTCAGGGCCTGGCAACCTTAACCCGCGGGGTGACGCGTATGAATCGAGGCGAAGTGCCTGCGCAGGAAATGGCTGAAGGGATTCTGCTGGCTGTGGCGGGTGCGTTGTTGCTGACCCCCGGTTTTGTAACTGATGTGGTGGGTTTTTTGTTGCTGTTTCCGCCGAGCCGACAGGCTCTGGTGGTGCTTCTGCTGAAGCGCGTCGAGATTCATACGGCGTCATCTCCAGGGGTGCATCCCTCCCAGCAGCCTTCGCCGGAGTCCAATCCGGTGACTATTGAAGGCGACTACGAGAAAAAATAGCCAGAAATAATAGACGCTGGCTCTTGAAACCTGAGAAACCGGCCATATTATAGCGGCCAGTCTTTTAGCACTCTCTCTATGAGAGTGCTAAATACACACTTAGGGACCCTGCTTTGTAGGGTTGATGATCCATTCCTGGAGCAACGGGAGATTTACTGAAATGAACATTCGACCTTTACACGACCGAGTTGTCGTGCGTCGGTTGGAAGAGGAAACCACCAGTGCAGGCGGCATCGTATTGCCTGATTCTGCTACTGAAAAACCCTCTCAAGGCGAAATTATTGCCGCTGGTACCGGCAAGATCACCGACAACGGTGATGTGCGTGCCCTCGACGTGAAAGTTGGCGACAAGATCATTTTTGGTCAATACGCCGGCAGCACGGTGAAGATTGATGGCGAAGAGCTGTTGATTCTGAGCGAAAGCGAAATTTTTGGTGTTCTGGAAGGCTAAATCCTGCCAGCACGATAACGATTAATAGAGGAAATTAAGCGATGAGCGCTAAAGACGTAAGATTCGGTGATGACGCACGGAGCCAGATGCTCGACGGCGTCAACACTCTAGCGAATGCCGTTAAAGTCACCCTGGGACCCAAAGGCCGAAACGTTGTTTTGGACAAATCTTTTGGTGCGCCGACGGTCACGAAAGACGGTGTATCTGTAGCCAAAGAAATTGAGCTTGAGAACAAGTTCGAAAACATGGGCGCACAGATGGTCAAAGAAGTGGCCAGCCAGACTTCTGACGAAGCAGGTGACGGTACCACTACAGCAACGGTATTGGCTCAAGCCATCCTGCAGGAAGGTTTAAAAGCGGTAGCCGCAGGCATGAACCCCATGGACCTCAAGCGTGGTATCGACAAAGCGGTAACTGCTGCTGTTGAAGCCATCAAAGGCATGGCCACGCCGTGTGAAGACTCCAAAGCCATTGCCCAGGTCGGTACAATTTCTGCGAACAGCGACAGCGCTGTGGGTGAAATCATTGCCCAGGCGATGGACAAAGTAGGTAAAGAAGGCGTGATCACCGTTGAGGAAGGTTCTGGCCTTGAGAACGAACTCGATGTGGTTGAAGGCATGCAGTTTGACCGCGGTTATCTGTCTCCTTACTTCATCAACAACCAGGAAAACATGGCTGCAGAGCAGGAAGATCCCTACATCCTGTTGTGCGACAAGAAAATCTCCAACATCCGTGATCTTCTGCCGATCCTTGAAAACGTTGCCAAAGCGGGTAAGCCGCTGATGGTGATTGCTGAAGACATCGAAGGCGAAGCGTTGGCCACCCTGGTTGTGAACAACATGCGCGGTATCGTGAAAGTTACCGCAGCTAAAGCACCTGGTTTTGGTGATCGTCGTAAAGCGATGCTGCAGGATATTGCGATTCTAACCGGTGGTACGGTGATCTCCGAAGAAGTTGGCCTCACCCTTGAAGGTGCAACATTGGATGACCTGGGTACTGCCAAGCGCATTTCCAGCACCAAAGAAAACACCACAATTGTTGACGGTGCTGGTGAGCGGGCGGACATTGAAGCACGCATCAAGCAGATTCGTGCCGAAATCGAAGATACCTCTTCTGATTACGATCGCGAGAAGCTGCAGGAACGTCTGGCCAAGCTGGCTGGTGGTGTAGCAGTGATCAAAGTGGGTGCACCCACTGAAGTCGAGATGAAAGAGAAGAAAGCACGGGTTGAAGATGCACTGCACTCTACTCGCGCAGCGGTTGAAGAAGGTGTTGTACCTGGCGGTGGTGTCACTCTGGTGCGCGCTATTGCTGCTGCAGAAGGCGTTAAGGGCGACAATGAAGACCAGAACGTGGGCATCGCTATTGCCACACGCGCAATGAGTGCGCCTCTGCGTCAGATTGCCAAGAACGCAGGTGCTGAAGGCGCGGTTGTACTGGATAAAGTAGCTTCTTTAAAAGGTAACAACGGCTACAACGCGGCAACCGGTGAATACGGCGACATGCTGGAAATGGGTATCCTTGACCCAGCTAAAGTGACCCGGACTGCGCTGCAGGCTGCGGCTTCTGTTGCAGGTCTGATGATCACTACCGAAGCGATGGTGACCGACCTACCTGAAGACAATGCAGGTGGCGGTATGCCTGGCGGCGGCATGCCAGACATGGGTGGCATGGGCGGCATGATGTAAACAGAACTTCAATTCTGTTGATCTTAAAAACCCCGGCCTTGCCGGGGTTTTTTTTAACTGCGACAAACCTCCAGGTCCTGCTGGCTCCGTGTCAGCATCACTTTTACCGCTTCAGTGCACGTTTGCAGCGGCGTGAATTTAGCCGTCCGGCCAAACATCGGAGCACCGATATATCCACGCATGTTCAATGTCCCGCTGCGATCAACGTTCATGCGGGAAGAATAGACATTGCCTGACTCCGGGTCGTAGATTTTGCCCTGCCAGCGGCCATCGTCGAAGACATAGTCCTGTAGCAGGTTCAGACCCAGCAATGGACGATCCTGCAGATTGGGGTCAGGGTTGTTGTTGTCCTTGCGTGGTGCACCCGGCTCACCAATGTCCTCTGTCTCCAGGTAGACCGGGTCGGTAAGGGCAACAATCACTGCGCTCAATTGTTGGCCCTGGCGCTGAATATGCAGGATAGAGCTCTCACCCGCCCAATATCCAACGACGTCTGTGCTGCTGTCGGCGGTGAGTGGTGGACAGAACAGAGCAAAAGCGAGTGCGATAAAGCAGTAACGCATGATCATTCCTCAAGCAGTGGTGGTGCGAACTATCGTGTTTCGATATATTCTTGCGCAACATAACAAAAAGGACGAGGGGAAAGAGATGGAAATGCTCTTTTTGGATTATCTGGCACGTTGGGGTCACTTCTTAGCCGGTATTACATGGATAGGTCTGTTGTATTACTTCAACTTTGTACAGACCGAGTACTTTAAGGAGGCGGACGGTGCAGCACGCGTAGACGCTTTCTCCAAACTTGTGCCGCGCGCGCTGTGGTGGTTCCGCTGGGGTGCCATGTTCACCTTCCTCACGGGACTGGTGATGCTGGGTACACGTGGTGCGAATCTCACCGCTGATATAACCGTTGGCGCCGTGATGGGCATTCTCATGTTCCTCAACGTCTGGCTGATTATCTGGCCTAATCAACGCATTATCATCGCCTCCAACCAGGCGGTCGCCGCCGGTGGTGAAGCTGACCCCGCTGCGGCTGCAGCTGCTCCGAAAGCCGGGCTGGCGTCGCGCACCAATACGCTGTTTTCTATTCCGATGTTGTATTTCATGGGATCCAGCGCGCATTTCTCCAGCGGTTCAGTTGGGAATAACACAACTGCCATAATTGTTGCTTTGGTGATTGTGGGCGCACTGGAACTCAATGCGATATTTGGTAAGCAAGGGCCGATCACAACAGTAAAAGGGGTGATCACTTCTGGATTTGTGCTGACGCTAGTGCTCGGTGGTCTGCTCTGGTTTGTCTGATCTGGATTAGGCGATTTGCTTTAACCGTTTGTTGAACATGAATTGTTCAACCCAGGAGGGCCTGCGTAATCGCAGGCCTTTTCTTTTGCGGCGCCACTTTTATACTGGCGCCGCGCTTGTATAGTGGCGCTGCCCAGGGGAACTCGGGCCGGTGTTAATGAATTTACGTTGGAGTCGTGGTTATGAGTGAACGTCGCGCACCTGATCTGTCTACAAAAAACGCCGGTGATGGGTATCGTCGAAGTGGAGGTGCCCGTCGCGCTGATCCCAAATCGGGCGCCGGGGGTGTAGGTAAACAAATTGGTATGAATTTGATGATGGCCGTTCTGATTGGCGGCCTGGTGCTGGCGGGGTGGTTCATTGCCAATCAGCAGCAGTTGCTGAAAGAAGAGCAGGCCAAATTGGCTGATGCAGACGCCCGGCTGTTACGTTTGGAGGCGCGTCTATCCGCCACCGATAGCGCGCTTTCCCAGGAGGGAGACGCAACCAAGGAACAGATTAACCTCTGGGAATCTGAGATTCGCAAGCTCTGGGCGGTGTCTAATGAGCGCAATAAGAAGTGGATAGAAGATAATCAGAAAGCAGTCAAAACATTGACCGGTAGTATCAATGGTATCGAATCTACCAGTCGTGATTTAAAAGCGGCTGTGGGTCGTCATGAAACGGCGTTTGCTCAGCAGCAGACCATGATTGATAACCTGGCAGGTCTTGAACTTCAGATTCAGCAGATTGCCCGTGGACAAAGAGACCTGGTGGACAAGGTCAATGCGGCCAATCAGGCTGTTGCCAGCTTGCGTGCGGGTATTGCTGCAAAAGTGGATGACAATGCTGAAGCCATTGCCAGCATGGATGCCTATCGCGTTGCGGTGAATTCAAGGTTGGCGGACATTGATCGCCGCCTCGGTGGCCCTGGCGGTCAGTAAAATAAACTGCCAACAGTGCCTCGGCGTCCAGCAACGGCTCTGATTATGTGACACAGGTCCGCCAGCATACGGCATTAGTCTGCATACTTTGCGTTCTAGTGTATTTGGACTATGCATGAGCGCACCTCGCAACATGCCCGAGTTTATCTGCGCGGCGCCTCCGCCCGATGCCCTGTTGGCGGTTACACAGGCGTTGGCGTGGAACCAGGTTGATCACGCGCCTCACACAGATTCGAATCTGAGTGTTGCCCTCGTCTGGGTTGACGACAGCGTGGACGTTATCCGTACGCGGCAACAATATCCGCTTGCCTTACTATTGTGTGATGCCCGGCAGAGCTGTGCCAGCAATGCAGATTTCGCGTTACAGCCGACACTGGATCGCGGCAATCAACGTCTGTTTATTGAAAAGCTTCTGCACCACGCGCTGAAGTTCTGGCGCAGCAATCTGAAAGTTTCAGAACTTGGACGAGATGTAGGGTTGCGACGACAGCGTATGCATCAGCTGAGTCAGATTTCCCTTGCCCTTACAGAACAGATTTCCGAGCAGGAACTCCTGCAGACATTGCTGACCGAAGCCCGCAAAATTGCTCATTGTGAAGGAGGCTCTCTGTTCCTGATAGAGCCTGATTCAGACCAGCAGGCCTCGCTGGTTTTCAAACTAGCGCAAAATGATGTTGTGGATTTTCCCTTCGTCGAGTCGCGCCTGCCATTAACGGCCACCTCAATTGCCGGCTACGTAGCAAGCACCGGTCAAGAGCTGAATATCCGCGACGTTTACAGTCTCAATAGCGATGTACCGTATCAGTTCAATCGATCCTTTGATGAACAGATGGGGTATCGCACACGCTCCATGCTGGTCATTCCCATGCGCAACCATCGTGAACGGGTGGTGGGTGTGCTGCAGTTTATTAACCGTACGGATGTGGCCACCGGCGAGGCTCTGGCCTTTGATGCTGAAATTACCGAGATGCTGCGAGCGATTGCCAGCCAGGCAGCGGTATCGATTCAGAAAAATACGCTGCTTAAAGATATTAATGAGTTGTTTGAAAGTTTTGTTCAAGCCAGTGTTAAAACGATTGAACAACGTGACCCGGCTACCAGCGGGCATTCATTTCGCGTGGCTGAGACCACCGTTGCTTTGTTACAAGCCCTGCCTAAATCGGGTGTTGCCGAGTATTCGAAGCTGAATCTGACGCCGGAGCATATACAGGAAGTTCGATATGCTGCCTTGTTGCACGATTTTGGCAAGATAGGCGTGCCGGAAGCGGTTCTGGTCAAAGCCAAAAAATTGACTGACGAACGACTTGAGGTGATCCGCTATCGCTTTGAGCTGCAGAAAGAGCGGTTACGCCGCAAGGCGCTGGAGCAGGAGCTAGACCTGCTGCACCATGGGCGTGTGGATCACGATGTAGCTCGCCGCAGAGTTCATCGTCAGTTGGAAAAACAGCTATTAATACTCGATCAGTATTATGAGTGGGTGGTTAATGCCAACGATCCTAATGTGGTGGATCAAGGCGAATTTGGCCATCTTGCTGAGATAAGAAACTATGCCTTCCGAGAACTTGATGGCGAAGTTGCTGGCGTTATCAATGAAGCCGATGTGCTGGCACTGTCTGTGCGCAAAGGCAGTCTGACTCCGCAGGAACGCCGCGCGATTCAAGACCATGTTGTATTTACCAAAGACTTTCTGCAAACCCTGCCATGGCCCCCAGAGCTGGCGAATGTGCCGGATATTGCTGGCGCGCATCATGAACGTATTGATGGCAGTGGTTATCCTATGGGGCTCGTAGGAGAGCAGATACCTCTGGCAAGTCGGGTAATGGCGGTGTGTGACGTGTATGACGCGCTGACCGCTATGGATCGTCCCTACAAAGCGGCAATGTCCCAAGCCACAGCGTTTTCTATTTTAGAACAGGAAGCCAAACGTGGTTTGCTGGATGCCAAAATGGTGGAGATCTTTATTCTTAGCGGAACCTCAGAAATCGCGCAGGCGGTTTAAGCCTCGCGCTACTTTTCCCATTGCTCAATGACAGATACGGCAACGTGCACTTGTTCCCGCTGCCCCTGATTCGATAGACGGTTTGAACCAAAAACTACGCCTTCTTCGGTGATGGCTACGACTTCCATTCCCTCAAAGAGGTCGCCGGCGGAAAGTCGTTGACCATTTATAACCACCGCGCAGAGTTCAGGCTCATCCGTATAAATATGACTCGAGTAGTTAAAGCTATTAAATTTATCCTGCTCGCTGGGGGCGAGTTCTGAAAGCTGTACTTTTTTGATGACGGATGTTCTGGTGCTCTGTCTTGCAGGTGCTGGTTCTTGCGCCACGGGCGTTGTGTTTGCTGTTGCGGGCATTTGCGCCCGAGGTCTTTGCGTGATCGGTGTTGATGCAGCTGCCGGCGAAGATTGTATTGTGGAAGTTACAGTCACGGGTTTCGAATCCGGCGCGCCGCTTTCGCTACTGTTGCTCTGGGGCCTGTGCAGGGTTACCCAGAGCAGTAAGCCGATATTGGTCGCCACCAGTAAAATAACCAGAGTCAGCAAGCCTCGGGGTCTGGGCTTTTTTGTGCCTGCAGGGTTTGTTGCCAGGGTCACCCCTTCCGAATTCTGTTCTGCCTGGGATTTTTTCAACGCGTCCAGAATGTATGACACACCTAACTCCGTAAGGTTGGGGCAGGTAAATTAAGACGGTCGCTGAGCCTGATCCAGGTCAGCGGCCCAACAATGCCATCGGCAAGAAGGCCTTCACTGTTTTGAAATGCAGTGACTGCAGCGACGAGGGCGTCGTCGAAGTAAGAATCCGTAGAGGCTGTAGGCGCAGGGTAGTCCAATTCCTCCAGACGCGCGCGCAGCCACGCAACAGTGGGATGGTCATCACCCTGGCGCAGGCTGCCGCTGTAGCCGGGTGGTGTTTGCCAGATAAGAACATAAGTGCCGAACCACGCGTCACGTAAATCTCTTGGTGATACGCTGATGTCCTGCTGGCCAAGCCTCAGTCTATAAAGTTCGCCATCGTAGCCGAGCAGGGCAGCATAGTAGGGACTCTCTTGTGTGTCCCACAACTCAAGGATGACCGGGCTGTTGAGCGAGGTGACTTCGCTCCAGCTTCCGTTGCGACTCAGACACTGTAAGCCAACCTGGGGTGCAAAATCGCAGGGAATCTGATTGTTATCTAGGTTGTAATCAGCGGACCATGCCGCAAACACCGCGCGATAAGCGGCACGCTGTAATTCGAAAGTTCTGCCGGGCGGGCGAGTCAGGGTTGCCGGCGCTGTCACGGTGTCGCGCTCTGCTGGTTGATCGATTATTTCTGCTGAATTGTCGGTCTGAGTGTCTGTCACATTTCCCGGGTCGGCTACCGCAGATGGTGAAGTTGTTGTCGCTTGCCGTTGGGTGAGTTCCTCCGCAGTGCCATTCTGAGCTGTTGGCTGGGTTGCACTTGACTGTGTAACAGCGGGCGTTTGATGTCGTGTCAGGTAAGCCCAGCTCATGGCCAGAGCGACCAGGCAAATCAGCAACCCCGCACCCAGGTAATATCGCGATTGCGGGTGTCTGGGTTTTTGCCCGAACACTTCTCGAGCACCATTGCGAACCATGGCGGCTGACACCTGGTATTTGCCTTCGACATACGCGCCCAACAGGGCACGATCTGCAATCACGTTGATCAGGCGTGGTGTACCTTTGGATAGCCTGTAGAGTGCGTTTAAAGCCTGGTTTGTGAAGATGTTCGGACTGCCACCCGCGGTAGTCAGACGGTGGTTAACGTAGGCGTGAACGTCTTCTTTTGATAGCGGTGTCAGGTGATAGCGTGCGGTTATGCGCTGCGCTAACTGCCGCAGCTCGGTGCGGTTCAGCATGTCGCCGAGTTCGGGTTGGCCCAGCAGAATAATCCGCAACAGTTTTTTATCGTTAGTTTCTAGGTTGGTTAACAGACGGATCTGTTCTAACACTGCAGGGGATAAGTTCTGCGCTTCATCGATGATGATGACGGTACTGCGTCCGCTGATATGAGTTTTCAGCAGGTGTTTATTCAGAACATCGATGTACTGCTTCACGCTCTGTAGCGGCGCAGGGCCGTAGGCTACGCCCAGTTCATCACACACCGTTTCTAATAGTTCCCTGACCGTCAGTCTGGGGTTGAGGATGAACGCAACGTCAAGCTCCGGTGGGGTGCGATCCAGCAGGTTGCGTAACAGGGTTGTTTTGCCCGTGCCCACTTCGCCGGTAATGAGTACAAATCCGCCATGGGAAAAGCCGTACATGAGATGAGCAAGCGCTTCATTGTGGGCGTCGCTCAAAAACAGGAACGCAGGATCCGGAGCAATCGAAAATGGCGGAGCGTCTAGGCCAAAATGTTTCTGATACATGGTTTAACCCATGCCGTTGATTTTTTGTTCGATGTGATTGTCTTTGGCTGCCCAGATGCTGCCAATCCATTGTCCCAGCGCCTGACGACGAGCGGTTTCTTCCGTTTCAAGTATCTCTGCTGGAATTTCATGCGGCGTCACATCCATTTCCACGCGTGGACACTTGCCCTGCAGAAATTCCCAAAATGTAGGCACCCCATCAGGGTAAACAATAGTCACGTCCAGCAGACGGTGTAGATGCTGATCCATATCCTCGAGCACATAACCCAGCCCGCCGGTTTTAGGCCGCAACAGGTGTTTGTATTCGCTGCCCTGGCGCTGTTGCTTTTCCGAAGTGCGCCGAGTGCCCTCGATGAAGTTCAAAATGGTGGTGGGATGGTTCTTGAATCCTTCACAGGCCGCAGCAACATTGTCTCTGTCTGCAGTGCGCAGTTTAGGGTTCGCTTTTATTTGTGCCTTGGTCACCCTTTTAACGTAGGGAAAACCCAGGATATACATGGCGAAGCCGATGAACGGGACCCATATCAGCTGCTCTTTGGTGAAAAATTTCAGCGGCGGGATGATGCCATACAGATAGCTTTGCAGCAGTACAATGTCTGTCCAGCTCTGATGGTTGCTGATCACCAGGTACCAGTTGTCTTCAGACATTTCTTCCTGCTGATGCCAATGCAGGTTCACCTCAGTCAGATTCAGGCCCTGGATCATTTTGCGGTTTCGCCCGGTCCACCAATAGATGATCATATCCATACGGGCGCGCAGACGATTTCTGGCTTCGCCCCGGGTCCAGCTCAATTTGATTATCCACCAGGTCAGCGGTATGTAGACAATGATGGTGTTCAAAGCAATGAACGTAATGGCGAGGATGCCTTTGAGTAGATGCATATTGGTTTCTAAGCTTTTGGCAACCAAAAGCGTAATGGTCGCACCCAAGCGACCTGGCAGCAACAGACGTTGTGCACTGGTGTTGGTTTCGCTGCTCATGCTGGCAGGATGCGATACCCTGCATTTCTATCAACAGGCAGTTGCCGGTCAATGGCAATTGCTCAATGCGCGTACCTCCCTTGAGCAACTGGCCCAATCTGCCACTGTAGATGAAGCGACGTTGCAGCGGCTTGCGCGGGCTGAAGAAGTGCTCGATTTTGCACAAAGCACGGTAGGGCTGGCAGCGCAGGGTCGTTACAGCAGCTACGTCAGCCTGCAGCGCGAGTATGTTGTGTGGAACGTGTTTGCCGCCCGGGCATTTGATCTGAGCGGGGAGCAGTGGTGTTACCCGTTCGTGGGTTGCGCGCCTTACAGAGGTTACTTTCATGAAGCCGATGCACGCGCGTTAGCGCTTGAATACGAAACCGAAGGGTATGAGACCTATGTCGGCGGCGTACCGGCTTATTCCACCCTGGGCTGGTTCAATGACCCTCTTCTGGATACCTTTATCTTCTGGCCGGACGCAGACCTTGCTGCGCTTTTGATACACGAGTTAGCCCATGGGCGTGTCTGGGTGCGCAATGATGTTGCCTTTAATGAAAGTTTTGCAGAGTTTGTCGGGCAGACGGGGGCGCAACAGTGGTTGCAGGATCAGGGCCTTGGACAGGACTGGCAGGTCGCGCAGCAGCAGCGCGCTCAGGGGCGGCGTTTCCGTCAGTTTCTGGTGCAGGCTAAATCACAGTTGCAGACCCTGTATGAAACAGTGCCGCAACCCCAGTTATCTGCGGCGAAAGGCTTCGCCGTCGCTGCATGGCAATCCTGTTACCAGGCTCATATAGATGTGCTTGGGGGCGGTCGCTATGACGAGCTGATGCAGTCCCATTTCAATAACGCCCTGTTGGTCTCAGTAGGTACCTACGCCGATTACCTGGGCAGCTTTACCGCGCTGTATCGACAATCAGGAGAGCAGTGGGCAGAATTTTTCCGTGCAGTTGATGCGCTTGCTGAACTGGCTCCGCCGGAGCGTGAAACCCGGCTGCAGTTACTCGCCGAGCAGCAGAACGCACATACTGCTGATAACAAAAACACCGAGCAGGTTAACTGCGAAACCTTCCTGGGCCATCGTCCGTACGGAGAACCTGCCACTTGAAAAGGTGATGACGTTGGGTGGTGTGGCTACGGGCAGCATGAATGCGCAGGATGCGCTTAAAGCGGCTGGAATCATAAACAATTTGGGGTCGGTGCCTGCGCCTAAAGCGGCAGCCGCAAGAATGGGCATCAGCAAAACGGTGGTTGCGGTATTGCTCGTGACTTCGGTTAAAAAAGTCACCGAGACGCAAATGATCGCCACCATCAGTAGCAGCGGTAATGTAGACAGGTGCTCGAGGCTTGCGCCGATGGTGCCGCTGAGTCCGGAGTTCGTGAAGGCGGTGGCAATCGAAATGCCGGCGCCAAACAGAATCAACATGCCCCAGGGAATTCTGTTGGCGGTTTCCCAATCGAGCAACTTGTCACCCTCGCCGTTGGGGACAAGGAAAAGTGCAACCACACCGATAAACGCAACAATGGCATCATTGCTGTAAGGCAGATTGAGCCAGGCAGTCCAGCCACCAAATGGTTCTGAGCGGGTGACCCAGCATAATGCGGTGAGGCTGAAGACCGCCAGCACCCGCTGTTCCGACTTGCGCCAGGCGCCTACTTCCGGGAGGTGGAAAGAGCCTGTGTGGTCAAGTTTTCGGGTCACCCACAAACCTGCGAGCGGCAACAGCACCAGCACCACTGGAACAGCCCAGCTCATCCACTGAGAAAATGAAATAGTCTGTCCGACGATTTCTTCGTAGACCCCCATAAAGACAACGTTAGGCGGAGTGCCGATAGGTGTGCCCATACCGCCTATGCTTGCCGCGTAGGCGATGCCGAGCAGTAGTGGTGTGGCAAGTTTTTCATCATCAGTGTTGTCGATAACAGCAATGGCAACGGGTAACAGCATCAGCACAGTTGCCGTATTTGATATCCACATGCTTAGGACGGCGCTGGCAGCCATAAAACCAAACACCAGACGCTTGGAACTGTTGCCACCAAAGGCGCGGACCATAGTCAGAGCAATGCGCCTGTGTGCGCCACTTTTTTCCAGCGCGGTGGCCAGCAGGAAACCGCCCATCAACAAAAGCACTAACGGGTGGCCATAAGCAGCACCCAGCTCGGCAGGGGTTAACACACCAAACAACGGTAGGAGCGCAAGGGGTATCAGCGACGTGGCGGGAATCGGAATGGGTTCAAACATCCACCACAACACAACCCAGAGCGTGATGCCCAACGTGATACAGGCTTCGGGGCTGCTATTTCCAGAAAACCACATGAGGCTGCCAGCGATACATGCGACAATGGGCCCCAGGGGTAACGCCAGTTTTTTAAAGTCCGGGTAACCGGTTTGTGTTTGCCCTGGTGGGGTCCCAGGCGTATTCCCTGGTGTATTCAAAGACGATCATCCAAGTGCGTTGGCTCATCTGGCATAAACGTGAGAAACGAGGGTAACCGACATGGCTAACAGTTTCTATTGGTACGACCTGGAAACCACAGGTACTGATCCGAAATGGGATCGTATTGTGCAGTTTGCCGGTCTTCGTACTGATGCTGATCTGAATATTCTAGATGACGAGTTCAGCACCTATGTTTATACGCCGGATGACGTGTTACCTAATCCCCATGCCAGCCTGGTCACCGGTATTACCCCTCATCTGACCCAAGCACGTGGCATACCTGAAAGCGAAGCGCTGCGTAAAATTAATGACATTTTCATGCAGCCGGGTACCTGTGTTGCGGGCTACAACAGTTTGCGTTTTGACGATGAGTTCATGCGTTACTCCCTTTATCGCAACCTCCTGGACCCTTACGCGCGTGAGTGGCAGCAGGGAAATTCACGCTGGGATCTGATCGATCTGGTCCGTGCAACCGGCGCATTGCGTCGCGAGGGTATCAACTGGCCAGAGGATGAGGATGGCTTGCCGGTGTACAAATTGGAAGAGCTGACCCGCGCCAATGATATCTCCCATGGGCAGGCACATGACGCCATGTCGGATGTGCATGCAACTCTGGGTATGGCGAAGTTGATCAAGAGCGCTCAGCCTAAGCTGTTTGAATATTATTACTCCATGCGACACAAAAAAAGCGTTCGCAATCTGCTGGAGCCCGTTGGTACAAAACTCAATGTGCACGTCTCCGCGCTGTACCCACGGCATCGCTTTGGTGTAGGTCCTGTCATTTCGATTGCCCGCCACCCCAGTAACGGGAATGCCATGATTGTGGCTGATCTGGGTGAAGACATAGAACCCCTGCTGGAGATGAGTGCGGATGAAATCAGCGCTGCGTTGTTTACGACGGATGGCGGCGAGCGACCTCCGTTGAAAGAAATACGCATCAATCGCTGTCCGTTTGTGGCACCCATTGAAGTACTCAATGAAGAGAATCAGCAGCGCTTGCAGATTGATCTGAAGCTGATTAAAGAAAGGGCGCGCAGGCTCAAGCAGCCGGGTTTCGCTGATAAAGTTGCGAGGGCGTATTCGCAGCGCAAAAATCAGCCTGCCGTTGATGTCGACGCTGCGCTATACGATGGATTCCTGCAGGATGATGATCGCTCTCGTTGCGCGGCGTTACATGAAGAGTTGATTGCCGGCCGCTGGCAGGATCTGGATTTTCGAGACAAGCGCCTGCACACCCTGGCCGCACGTATGAAAGCACGATCTTATCCTGCGCTGCTTGATGAAGCTGAACAGAAACAGTGGCGCAATTTTGTGATTACAAAACTTGAAGGGGATGGCGATTGGCTGAATCTTCGCGACTACGAGGCGCTGATTGAACAATTGTTTGCGCAGCCTGATATGTCTGTTGAACAACATCAGATTATGCAGAAGCTGGCAGAGCACGGGGCTGATCTGCGTGCCCGGTATGGTTTATGACGGCTTGTGTTGAGTTTCTCAAGGTCAGCAAACGCTACGACCAACTCACGGTGCTGGATGATGTGTCAGTCAACTGCCCCTCTGCAGCCTGCACCGCCATAGTTGGCGCAAGCGGCAGTGGTAAAACCACAATGCTGCAACTGGTCAATGGTGTTGTCCGGCCAGATAGCGGCACGGTTAAAGTGTTTGACGAGCAGGTACCCGACAGCGAGGTTGAGCATTTTCGCCGCAAGATAGGTTATGCGGTGCAGGGCGCTGCGCTATTTCCCCATATGACGGCATGGGAGAACGTTACTCTGGTAGCGCGCCTGCAGGGAATCGCTTCTGATGAGATGGAGTCTCGTTATCAGCAGCTGGTGCAGGATATGGATCTGCCCGAAGACATCCGTCACCGCCTGCCCAGGGAACTTTCCGGTGGGCAGCAACAGCGTATCGGGTTGTGTCGCGCCTTGATGTTAAAGCCCTCGCTGCTTCTGCTGGATGAGCCCTTCTCCGCAGTGGATCCTATCACCCGGGTGGATATCTACGATCGGTTTGCTTACGTGCAGAAGCATGAAGGTGTCAGTAGTTTGCTGGTGACCCATGATCTGCGTGAGGCGCGGCGGCTGTCTGACTATCTGATTATACTGCACAAAGGGCGGATTCAGCAGCACGGTTCAACTGTTGATGTGCTGGGCGCCCCTGCTAACGACTATGTGGAATCGTTAGTTTCGAGTCAGCTGTCATGAAGAGATGGCTGATGCTGGTCGCCGTCGTGTGCTTTCTTTCCGTCAGTCTGCATGCGCAGACAATCCGGATCGGTAGTAAGAACTTCAATGAAAACTACATTCTGGCGGAAGTTGTCTCGCAACTGCTTGAAGTCAGAGGGTTTACCGTTGAACGAAAGTTTGGCCTCGGTGGCACTCTGATCTGTTATCAGGCGCTTGTTGCGGGGGAAATCGATATCTATGTTGAATACACCGGCACGCTGAGTCAGGCAATTCTCGATTTACCTGGTAATCCTGATCGGCGCGCATTGAACGAAGCGCTGCAGCCGGTTGGCCTGGAACTGTTAAACGAGTTTGGTTTCAACAATACCTACGCGATAGCCGTGCAGAAGCAGGTTGCCGAAGCGCGCAACCTGAAGACCATCGGGGATCTGGCCGCACACCCGGACCTGGAAGTGGTGGTTTCCCATGAGTTCCTGGAGCGGGGAGATGGCTGGCCTGGCTTGAGCCAGGCCTACGGTCTGACAGCGCCTGTCAGGGGGATCGAACATGGCCTTGCTTATCAGGCCATCAGCAAGGGTGCAATTGGCGTGACTGATGTATACAGCACGGATGGAGAGCTGATTCGATATGAATTGACTGTTCTGCAGGATGAGCTGGATTATTTTCCACGCTACTATGCTGCGCCTCTGGTGCAGCAGACACTTCCCCAGGGTGCTCGTGATGCGCTGAGCGTGCTGGCAAACGTCATAAGTGATGAAGCTATGCAAAAACTCAATGCCGCTGTGGTTTTTGAAGGTAAGTCGTTTGCTCAGGTGGCATCAGGTTTTCTTGCGTCGATCGATGTTGAGACCACGGTTGCTGAACCCTCCATGTGGCCCTCGTTGATGAGAAATACGCTGCGCCATCTGCAGTTAACCGGCATCGCGTTGGGTTTAGCCATTGTGGTTGGTCTGGGCCTGGCGCTGTTGGTATATCGGGTCGATTGGCTCAGTAGTAGTGTGATTTACGTCAGTGGGCTTTTGCAGACTATTCCCTCAATAGCCTTGTTGGCATTGATGATCCCTCTGTTTGGCATAGGTATGCTGCCGGCCATCATCGCGTTGTTTCTTTACTCTTTGCTGCCGATACTGCGAAACGCCATTACCGCGCTGACGCACGTAGACGTGACCCTGATTCGTGTATCCGAAGCATTGGGGCTGACGAATAAAGAGCAGCTCAAACACGTGTTGCTACCTCTGTCAGTGCCCGCGATCTTTGCCGGGATCCGTACCGCAGCAGTAATCAGCATAGGGACAGCAACGCTGGCAGCATTTATAGGTGCAGGCGGGCTGGGTGATCCGATTGTGGTTGGTTTGTCTCTAGATAACCCGGAGCTCATTCTGCAGGGCGCCATTCCGGCAGCACTTCTGGCTATTTTCACCGAGTTGGGATTTACCCTGATAGAAAAGCGCTTGAGTCGACGGCGCTAACCGGTTGTCTTGCGCTGGGCAAGATATTGATCATAGCTCGACGCCTTAGGGTCAAAGTCGATGTCCGCAGGCGGGTTCGCTGCAATGCCCGCGTACCACGTCTGTTGACCCTGAATAACGGTGGCGGGCAACATCGCATCGTCCCAGGGGTAGGGTTCGAAACCGAGATAATCTTCCGGCCGTTCGTGCAGGAAACCAATACTCTGACCGCTGGTTAACTGTTGCATGATGTGTGCAGGCGCCTGGTGTGCCTGTGCCCTGGCGATCTGTTCGCGGCGCTCGGATTCACTGTAAAAAACAAGACGCAGCATGCTGCCATTGGCACGCAGCATCAGATACCCATAGGGTTCGCTGACCAGATAGTATTCAACAATATGCTGCGCTTCGATAACGCTGTGAAAGTACTCTGCCACGCGTTCTTCCGTCATGAAGCCGGGTGGGTTGAGCGCGAGATTGGAGCTCAGGCGTGCACTGTACTGGTCAAAGTAGGCTTTTTTCAGCGCCTCAGCATAGGGAATAATTTTGTTCCCGTCTGTGATCAGACGTTTGGGTATATATGAATCGATTAAACCCTGGTTAAAAGCAGCAACTGCGGTTTTTTCTTCAGCAACACCGGTGAGCAGTGCTTTTTTCAAAGTCTTATCTTTGATTTCTGCGCACAGCTCCAGTCCATCAAACACCGGCATGGCGTAGTCAATCATCAACACCGACAGGCGTCGAAATCGTTCAATCAGTTTGATTTCATTTTCCAGAACGGACAGATCCAGCCGTATGATCGGTGTTGATGGGTCACTGTTGTCGAGGCTGAAACAACGGTCAACCAGGGGGGGTAGCGGATCGGGTGTGTTGATGGCGGCGATCGCTTCGTCGGGGTGAAGGTAGCTGATAAACAGATAATCATCGGGTAGATCGATACTTAACGCACGCAGGAAAGACGCGTTGTCGTCGATAAAACAGATGGTTGTCGGGTGATAGTAAGGTGGTAGCTGAGTGGCCATATCAGTTAATCAGCTCTAACAATGCCAGACGTTTTTCCAGCGGTAAGCGACGAAAGGCGCGCACCAGATGCTCTTCTTCTGCCGCGAGCGTGCGGCCAAAAAGTGACTCTATTTCCTGGTGCATAGCGGGCGCCAGTTGTTCAGCAGAATGTTGGGTGGGGATGCCGCTGAAGGTTTGCTCCAGCCGCGCTACAATCTCCGAGTTCATACTGCGACGATGATATCTGGCGGCCTCGGCTACCTGGTCTCGCATGAGGAGCGGCAGGCGCACGACAAATCGATAAGGTTTTTCTATCAGATCCATAGCTACTCACCGCAGTTCGCAGATCTGACCCTACCGAGGATCAGTGTTGGTGGCAAATGGCGCGGTGTGCGCCACAAACAGCAAAACAGGAGCGATATTTTGCAACCTCTAGAAAGAGATAACATACGTCTGGCCGCAACGGTTATGTTGCTTCGGGATACACCGGGTGGTCTTGAGGTATACATGGTACAGCGTCCTGGTCGAGGCGACTTTCCGGATCTGCATGTTTTTCCCGGTGGCAAAGTGGACGAAGACGACTGGGCGCCGCAGCATTGTTTTGGTGTGGATGATCAACAGGCCAGCGCCAGGCTGGGTGTTGCTGCAGGCGGCCTGCGCTACTGGGTTGCGGTTGCAAGAGAGTGTTTTGAAGAATGTGGTGTGTTGGTTGTGCATCAGAACGGTACGCCTCTGGATCTCTCTGAATCGCACGTACGTGCGAAATTTGTCGATTATCGTCAGCAGCTGTTGGCTGGTGAGATTTCGTTCAGCAGCTTGTGTGCAAAAGAAAATCTGACTGTGGCCTGTGATCGGCTGGCGTATTTCAGCCACTGGATAACTCCGCCTGTCGTTCCCCGTCGGTTTGATACCCGTTTTTTTCTGGCGGCGTTACCTGACCATCAGATTGCTCTGGCAGATACGGATGAAACTGCCGATGATCAGTGGGAAAAACCTGTTGAGGCACTTGCCAGATCGGCTGCCAAACAGTGGCAGATGATAGATCCCACCCTGCGTTCATTGGAAACGTTGTCGCAGTTCTCAACAGTGTCCCAGGCACTCGCTGAGGTGAAACAGGGTGAACATCTTATGCCGTTGACGCCGGAGTTGAATCGCCAGGGTATGCAGGCGCTGCGGTAAAGCATGACAAACGCGGTTGTCGTAAAGGGTCTGAATAAGTCTTATCAGGATGGACAACAACGTATTGATGTCCTGCGCGATCTGAACCTGACATTGCCCGCCGGCCAAACCCTTGCAGTGATGGGGCCAAGCGGCTCAGGAAAATCTACCTTGCTTAATATTCTGGCAGGATTGGTCAGTGCTGATGAGGGCTCGGTGGATTTGCACCTTGACAATCAGACTTATGCCCTGCGCGAACTCAATGAGCTTGCTCGAACGCGACTGCGGCGCAGTTACATAGGATACGTTTACCAGTTTTTCAATCTCGTGCCGACACTGACGGTGCTGGAAAATGTATCTTTGCCTGCCCGGCTTAATCGGCGTAATGACCTGGACCTGTCGGCGCGTGAACTGTTAGCGGCATTTGGCTTGAAGGATCGGCATGATGCGTTTCCTGAAGTGTTGAGCGGCGGAGAGCAGCAGCGCGTGGCAGTGGCCCGGGCGCTGTTGTTAAAGCCACCGTTGCTGCTTGCAGATGAGCCCACCGGGAACCTTGATGCTGTAAACGCTGATCAGGTCGCTACGCTTTTATTCGATAATGCCAAAGCGCTGGGTCTGACAGTTATTGTGGCCACTCATAGTGAAGACGTTGCCAGCCGTGCTGACCGTCGCATTCATATGAACCAGCGCGGAATCTAACGCTTTGATTCTGCTGGCGCTGGCCAGGTTTTTATGGCGTTCACCCTGGTCAACGGGTATGGCCTTTTTTGGCGTTATGCTCGGTGTGTCGTCAATTGTTGGTGTCCATCTGATCAGTGCATCAATCGCAGCTCAACTTGATGCCCTTATCCCTTCCCAACTGGCTGGCTACAGCCACTTTCTGCATCGCGCAGAGGTGTCTGCAGACGACTATTTTAAACTGCGTCGTCAGTGGCGTGAAGGTGGTTTGTCGAGTGTCGATGAGGTCGCGCCGTTGATTGATGAAACCGCTGTTATCGACGGGAAAGAGATCAGAGTTGTTGGCGTGGATCTGCTCAGCCCGCTAGGTGTGCGTTTATTGGGGGAGGCTGGTCAGACGGATGCGGCGGGTGCCCGCAACACATCGATAAGTTCGACTTTCTGGCAGGGTATCTGGGTGGACGAGACTTTGATGGCTCTGACGTCTGCGCCAATCAACGCTGTCATAATCGCGCCTCCGGGTACCGTGATTGCCGACATCGGTGTAGCGCAGAATTTACTTGGATGGTCTGCCGATCAGCTGTCTTACGTGGGGATTGTGTACCGGTCTAAATGGCAGAACGTTGTAGATATCGGAGAGCATATCCTGCCGGGTTTTGCTGCAGGGTTTCCGCTGCAGCCTGTTGCACAGATACCCTCAGGGTGGACGGTGCTCAGTTTGTCAGCGCAGCATCCGGCCAGTTCGTTTGGCAAGTCCGTGCTGTTCAATATCAGTGCGCTGGGACTGCTCGCATTGCTGGTTGCCTGGTTTCTGATCTATCAGGTGGCAGTTTCCTGGTTACGACGTCTCTGGCCCGTCTTTGAACGTCTGCATGTGCTTGGCGTGCCGTGGCACTATCTGCAGCTCACCTTTGTTGCAACACTGCTCCTGCTCGGTATTCTGGCCGCATTGTCCGGTTTACTTGTCGGTCGAGCTCTGGCCGTTGCGCTCTATCAGCTGGCTCTGCCGCTGCAGGCGGCCGATATGCACCTGGATATATGGGTTGTTGGGAAAGCGCTTCTTTCAGCCGTCTGTGTGTGTGGGTTAGGCGGTAGCTGGGCCTTTCGGCAAGCCAGGACGGCTACGTCAGGTGCTGCCATAAAGTTTTTAGTACCTGCGATTCTGTTACCCGCAGGTGTGTTGGGTGTCATGTGGGAAGCGACAGGCCTGGCTGGGGGCTTTGTAAGTATTGCCGCTATCAGCCTGCTGGCAGCCTGGGTAGTGACGCCGTTGCTCAAATCCCTGGCCCGATGCAGCCCTCGCCTGCCGGGACCCATTCTGGTGCGCCTCAGCTTGCGGGAAGCGATCTGGTATCCACGTGATATGGGCGTGGCGTTGGCAGGGTTGATTCTGGCGGTTGCCACCGCCATTGGCGTCAGCTTGATGGTTGACAGTTTTCGCAGCGACTTTGATCGTATGTTGGGCCAGCGCCTGAGCTACGACCTGGTTGTGGAAGGCGGAGTGCTGGATCTACAGAGGCTTGACAGGGAACTGGCAAATAACCCTGAGGCGCGGCGGGTACAAAATTATCGTCAGACCCAGCTGCGGGTGGCGGGTGTGCCGATGCAGATTGTTGCAAGCCAGACAGATCAACTGGAGATGGCCCGCTACGGCTACCCGCGGGCACTGGCAATTGATGAAGTTCTGATCAGTGAGCAGGCCGCACGTGCTCTGGATCTTGGCGCGGGGGATTTGCTCAACCTGGATGGCTTGCCGTTCAATGTGGTCAAAGTATTCACCAGTTTTGGTGACGTCACACCGCGCCTTGTTCTCAATGAGCAGGTTGTTGCCTCTGAAAAAGCTGCCAGCGCAGGTGGGACATTGTCTAATACACCTCTGCCATGGGTTTCATTGAGCATCAATGCTGATGCTCCTGCAGCGCTGCTGAGCCAGCTAAAGTTGGACTATCCAAGCTTGGATTTCCGCCTGCAGAATGACATCCGCACCCTTGCGTTGGACACCTTTGATCAGACATTTGCGATAACTACTGCCCTTGTCCTGATTGCTTTGCTGGTAGCCAGTATTGGTATCTATATTGCGGTCACAGCCCTGCGCCTCAACAAAAAGGTCCAGATGAGTGTCCTGGCTGCGCTGGGCGTTAATCGTCTGGAGGGTATCGGAATGGACTTTGCTCTGGGTCTCGGCATAGGTGTGGTTGCCATGCTGGTTGCTGTGCCACTGGGTGTCACGCTGGGTTGGATTCTCTGTGATGTCATTAATCCACGCGCGTTTGGCTGGACGGTCACTTTACAGCTTTCAGCCCAGGCACTGATGACCCCCGTATTCTGGGGTTTGCTGGCGGCCAGCGCGGCAGGTTTGATCCGCCTTGGGCGGCAGGAGCAGAGTATGGGGCGGGGTCGTTAACGTTATGGTTTATTCCTGGCAGAAACGTTGCAGGCCTGGTTTTGTCTGCTTTGTCTGTTTGTTGCTGGTGGCCGGGTCAGGCGGTTGCGGTCGCGAAATACAGCCGCAGGCCACACCTGTAATGGGCGTGCGCATCAGTTCCGTGCTTGGCGAGGGAGCACAGGCCGGTTTCCGTAAGGCGCAGTCGCCGCGAGATTTTGTGTTTCCTCAAGATCATGGCCCGCATCCAGGCTATCGCAGTGAATGGTGGTATCTCACTGCGGTTTTGCAGGACGTCGATGGTCGTGAATTTGGCGTGCAGTACACGCTGTTCAGGCAGGCGCTGACACCAACCCCCACGGGTGCAGGACCCTGGCACAGTGGCCAGGCATTCATGGCCCACGTAGCCGTCACCGACGTTGACAACAAGCGTCACCTTCACGATCAGCGCTTTGTGCGCGGACATCCGCAACTGGCCGGCGTAACAACAAACAATGGCTTCCGCGCCTGGCTGGAGGACTGGGTGTTGCAGGGTTTGACGGTAACTGCCGAGCAGTTTGATCTGCAGTTGCAGGCACCAGCGAACCAATTCGACATAGACCTCAAGCTGCAGCAGCAGCAACCGATTGTGCTGCAGGGTGACTCAGGTTTGTCGCACAAGGGCGTTGGGTCAGCCAGTTATTACTATTCAATGCCGCGTATGGCGATCAGCGGAGTGATTGAGGTTGATGGGCTCCGTCATGAAGTGACCGGACTGGGCTGGCTTGATAGAGAATGGAGTACCTCTGTCCTGCCTGCCGGGGTGGCAGGTTGGGACTGGTTTGCGCTGCAGTTTTTTGATGCGAGCAGTCTCATGGCCTTTCGCCTTCGTCGCAGTGATGGTCTGCGTGATGAATATGATCACGGCCTGAAAGTGCCTGCGTTCAGCGGATCTGCAGATTCAACAGACGCCTCTGGCACTGTGCTTGAGACTGAGGATTTTGAGCTCACACCTACTGGATACTGGGTTGATAAAACCGGCGTTAGCTGGCCTGTGAGCTGGCAGCTTGATGTACAAGGCGAACAGTTTTTCATCGAAGCGCTTGTTGATGATCAGCTGATGGACACAGGCATTTTGTACTGGGAAGGTATTGTTGGGGTAACAGATGTGCAGGGTAAATCTGTAGGCCGTGGTTATATGGAATTAACCGGTTACGATACTCATCCCGCGACACCCAACCCTTGACGCAAAGTGCGCTATTAAGAAGGACAAACACGTGGCAGACGATAAAACTGAAGATCTGGATTGGACTCATCTGGACTCGCGATACGATCAGGAGGCTGGCTTGATTCTGTTCGAAAAGCGTATGGATCGCATGCGTAATCCTCGCAACGGCAAAGAGTTTGATCGCCTGGTGCTGGAGTCAGTGGACTGGGTCAACCTGGTTGCGCTTGACGAGGCGCAGCGCTGCATAATGATTCGGCAGTATCGTTTTGGTGTGGGTTACACCACGTTGGAAACTCCCGGTGGCATGGTCGACCCTGGCGAAGATTCGCTGACGGCTGCCCAGCGCGAACTGGAGGAAGAGACCGGCTATGTAGCAGACGCCTGGACATACCTGGGTGCGGTGGAACCGAACCCCGCCTTTCATAATCATCTGTGTCACCACTGGCTGGCTGAAAATGCCAGGCCCGGATCTGCGCAGAACCAGGGTGATGGAGAGGCGATCAGAGTAGAGTTGATGGATGTGGATCAGGTCAAACAGGTTGTGCAAAGCGGCGAGTTGAAACACGCGCTTGCGCTATCGGCCCTGTCGCGGGTCTATCAATTGTGGCCGTTGCCGTTCGCTCACGACGAGGTTGAGCCGGAATCCGGGAAACTCTAGCGGAACGGTCTTATCGAGGTTCCAGGCTGTTCAGGGTCCAGTCGTAGTCATACTTGATTCGCTCGGGCGCTGCGTTTAACAGTAAATCAGGTGTCTGATGGAAGCGAGCCAGGTAGCGCAGCAGCCCCTCTGGGTCTGCTGCGAAGTCACTGCGATACCAGTCAAAAATACTCGATAACACCAGTGAGCCGGATCGGTTGTCGACACCTCTCGGGTGGTTGATGTATTCATCCCGGGCAATGTCCAGCAGAGCTTCGAGGTTATCTGCACGAAACGCCTGGGTCTGTAGATTGGGACAACCCAAACTTGCGCAGTTGACTGCAAAATGAATCCGCGGATCCTGCCATATGGGTCGAAGAATGCGATGTTCTATGTCGTTCAGAGTGACTTCTTCGCCAGCAATGGTGATCAACTCGTCATCCCAGGGTCCAAAGGAGAAAAGTCCCTCACCCATTCGTCGGATAGTTTTTTTGTCCGGGTTGGTTAAGACCACTTCTACAGTCAAGGCGTTATAGAGGTTCACCCAGTAAGCAAACTGCTCGTTGCGGTCTAAGTCTCGAGGATCAATATCGGCCAGCATCTGCAGATAGGTTTGCAGCGCTGTCCGTCCCTCGCCCTCGCCGACCCGATTGTAGGCAACCAGGTTTACACCATCAGGCTGCGGTGCAAGGTACTGATCCAGAAAGCTTTGCCACGCAGAATGGTCAATCTGGCGGGTGCTGGCAGGATTATCTTTGGCCCAGAGCGCCCAGGCATCAGTATCTGGCGCGGCGGTTACGTAGCCGGTGGTCAGACAGAAAAAGCAAAAACACAGGAGCTTGGAGCAATAGCGGGCAACAGTGTGGTTCACGTCAGGTCAGTCTCTCAAATGGCGCCAAATTATGACCCTGATTACCTCGGATTGTTCAATTGTTCCGGCTGGCGCGTGAAGGGGCGGGTGATGGCACAAGATCGTCAAAAAACAGGCCTTTACCTGCCGCTCCAATCTTGTTCAAATTGCCTGAGAGATGTAGTTGCCGATTTATTTTTAATTGCCGGGCGTTTAGTTAAGACGTCAGGAGCGGTGGTGGTACCGGTTGGGTACCCACTGTGCGGTGGTTAGATAATGGTTGGTCATTGGGGCTCAATTGACGGCAAACAATCGCAAGGTAGTAGGATCTGATGACAAACAGCGATGAATCCAATCCTCGCACTTCGTTTGCGAAGCTGATGAATCGTCCTGCGCCTGAATTTGATCAAGCCAAGATTTTATTGGTTGATGATAAACAAGAACTCCTCACTTCATTGTTTCACCTGGTTACCCTGTATGGCTACGATGCCCAGCAGGCGCTGGGCGGCGAAGCGGCTATGCAGGCGCTCGAAGGTGATCAGTTTGATCTGGTGCTGCTTGATCTGATTATGCCTGGTGTCAGCGGGCACGATATTCTCGATTATGCCGCCCGCCAAAAACTCAAATGCAAAATTATCGTTGTCAGCGGAGATTCAAGTTTCAGCGGCGTAAAACATGCTTTGCATTGTGGCGCCTTTGATTTTGTTAAAAAGCCCTATGAGGCGGCGGAATTAATCGCCACCATGGAAACTGCCTTGCGTCAGGTGCGCCTTGAGCACCAGCATGACGCCATGGAAAGCAAGCTCAAAGAATCTGAAGAGCTCCATCGATTTATCGTCAACAGCTCACCGGACCTCGTTTATATGCTGGATCGCAACGGCTGTTTCAGTTTTGTTAACGACCGTATCGAAGCCATGCTGGGTTACGGTAAAGAAGACATCATTGGCAAACACTATTCTGAGCTGGTAGATGAAGATGATCTGCTGGCTGCGGATAATCTGTTTAATGAGCGCCGTACTGGAGACCGTGCGGTTAAAAATGTGGAACTGCGCCTTAAGAGTAAGCGACGTGACTCCCGGGTGGGTTTAACCCGCACCAAGTCAGTATGGACTGAGTTAACAGCGATGGGTATTTATGCTGACAATTCTGAACGTACGCGCAAAAACTTCGCCGGCACCTATGGTACTGCGCGTGACATCAGCGAGCGTAAGCAAGCCCAGGAAGTGATCAATTTCCAGGCTTATCACGATCTGCTCACCCACCTTCCTAATCGTGCGCTGCTGAAAGACCGCTTGAACCTGGCGATTACTCAGGCACGTCGGAACAAGCGCAAACTCGGCGCCATGTTCCTGGATCTGGACCGGTTTAAGCTCGTTAATGACACCCTAGGGCACAGCATGGGTGATCGATTGCTGAAAGCGGTGGCTAACCGTTTGCAGAGTTGTTTACGCAGCGGTGATACGTTATCTCGTTTTGGTGGTGATGAGTTTACGCTGCTGCTCCCGGAAGTGCGGACCAGGGATGATGTTGTGGTGATTGCCGAGAAAATTCTCGACCGCCTCAATCAACCCTTTGTGATCGATGGGCACGAACTGTTTGTTGGTGCCAGCATTGGTATTGCCATGTATCCGGAAGCTGGTGATACCGGCGAAGAGCTGATTCAGAACGCGGACATAGCCATGTACCACGTCAAAGGCCGTGGCAAAAATGGTTATCAGTTCTTCTCTGAAGAGATGAATCATCAGTTCTCCAGTCGTTTGAGTCTTGAGCGTGAACTGCGTAATGGTCTGATTCAGGGTGAATTTGAAGTTTATTATCAACCTCAGGTGTCACTGCAGAGTGGCAAGATTACCGGCGTGGAAGCGCTGGTTCGCTGGCGCCACGGGATTCGCGGCCTGATTGAACCGCGTGAGTTTTTACCGCTGGCGGAAGAAACCGGCCTGATCACCCAGATCGATGAGTATGTCCAGCGGCAGGCTTTCAACGAAGTGGCGTCCTGGCAGCGGGCAGGATTGGGTGACGTCTGTGTATCGGTGAATCTTACAGCGATGCAGCTTGAACAGGATGACTTTGTAGAGCGGTTTGTTGCGTCGCTGCGAACCAGCGGCCTGCCAGCCAAGAGTGTGAAACTCGAAATCACCGAAAATACCCTGATGCAGGATATGGAAGTGATTATCCCCAAGCTCAAAGCAGTGCGAAAACTGGGCGCCCATATTGCGATAGATGATTTTGGTACCGGCTATTCGTCGTTGTCTTACCTGCATCAATTCCCGATCAATACCTTAAAAATCGATCGTTCTTTTGTAGGGGATATCCGTGCTGAGCACGGAGATGCAAGCATCATTGATGCCATTGTTGCCATGGCGCGGGGTCTGCATTTAGACCTGATTGCTGAAGGTGTTGAAAACCACACACAGCTTGAATATCTGCAGCAGCAGGGCTGTGAAGAGGTGCAGGGTTTTATTTTTTCCCCTGCAGTACCTGCCAGCGACCTGGTGAGTCTACTGAAAGAAAATCGGTTTGCCACAGTGCTCGGTGACGCCGCCAAGCTCGTTCCAGCCTGATCTGAAACCCCTTGTTCAGCACGTAGCGACGCGGGGGCGTTTTCCCGTATAGTTTGCGGCCCTTTGCTTTTGTCTGCTTCGCCATGAAAGGTTTCACCACAAAAATTGTGCATAACGACCGTCAGCACACCATCGAGCATGGTGCGACGCATAAGCCGATTCATACGTCAGTCGCGTTTGGCTATGCGGACGCCAGAGATCTGGCCGGCGTTTTTCAAGGCACGCAACCTGGCTACACCTATGGCCGACAGGTAAACCCTACGGTTGATGCGTTAGAAGACAAAGTAACGGTGATGGAAGGCGGGCTGAAGTCCATCTGCTTCGGTACCGGTATGGCTGCCATCGGCACGACAATTTTTGCGCTGTTGCGGCCTGGTGACCATGTGGTGTGTTCAGCGTTTCTGTTTGGCAATACCAATTCGTTGATGAACAGTTTCGACACCCAGGGTGTAGATGTCACTTTTGTTGATGCCACCCAGGCACAAGCGGTGGCTGATGCGATAGTGCCGGCCACGAAGCTGGTGTTTGTGGAAACCATAGCCAATCCGCGCACCCAGGTGGCAGATCTGCAAGGTATCGGCAAGCTGTGTGCAGAACATAATCTGGTTTACGTCGTGGACAACACCATGACCTCACCGTATCTGTTCCGTTCGAAGACTGTGGGCGCAAGTCTGGCGATTAACAGCCTGACCAAATACATCGGTGGCCATGGCAACGCGCTTGGCGGTACCGTCACTGAGTTAGGCAACTACGACTGGCGCAGTTTCCCCAATATTTACGATACCTATCAGAAAGGTGATGCGCAGCTATGGGGTATTACCCAGATACGTAAGAAAGGTCTGCGGGATTTTGGTGCGGCGCTGAGTCCGGAGGCCGCACATCACATTGCTATCGGTGCTGAAACGCTGGCACTGCGGATGGCGCGGCAGTGTGACAACGCAGCATGTATTGCCGAGTTTCTGGATGAACATGCCAATGTGCAGAAGGTTTTTTATCCTGGGCTCAAGGATCACGCGGAGCATGCGCGGGCGGTGCAGCTGTTTGGCTCTGGCGGAGCGATTCTGAGCTTTGAACTGGACCCTGATATTGATATCTGGCGCTATCTGAACCGGTTCAACGTCATTATTAACTCAACCAATCTGGGTGATAATCGCACCCTGGCGATTCCGGTCGCGCACACCATATATTTTGAAATGGGCGCCGAGCGCCGCAAAACTATGGGTATTGCGGATTCGCTGATACGGTTGTCTGTGGGCATCGAAGATGTAGAAGATCTGATAGAGGATCTTGCAGCCGCCTTCGACTGAAAGTCATTGAAGAAAGCTGAGTAAAGCGAAATTGAGACAGGGGGAATCATGGGTAGATTAGAAGGCAAAGTCGCGATTATCACCGGCGGTGCGGGTGGTATTGGTAAAGCTGTAGGGAAACGATTTGTCGCCGAAGGTGCGGATGTGCTGCTGGTTGATTTAGATGAGACACAGCTTGCTGCCGCTTGTGCGGAAATTGGCAGTAACAAGGTGAGCTATTTTGTTGGCGATGTGACCCGTATGGAAGATAACCAGGCCATGGTTGATACGGCTACCGAGCGTTACGGTGGGGTGGATACGTTTTTAGCCAACGCCGGTATCGAAGGTGATGTGTCACCCATTGTTGATTATGACGAAGCACGTTTTGAGCAGGTGATGGCGGTAAACGTGAAAGGCCCTTTTCTTGGCTTGAAAGCTGCAATTCCTGCGCTGCAGGCTCGTGGTGGCGGCAGCGTTATCATCACCTCCAGCGTGGCTGGCGTGAAGGGTGCGGCAGGTGTGGCCCCTTACGTGACATCAAAACATGCGGTGATCGGCATGATGAAATCCGCCGCCAAAGAGGTTGCTGCAGACAATATACGCGTGAACACAGTGAATCCTTCACCAGTGGATACGCGGATGATGCGAAGTCTTGAAGAGGGCATGGCGCCGGGTGCGGCAGAACAGGCAAAAGCGGCCATGGAGGCCAGCATTCCTTTAGGCCGCTATGCTCAGCCCGAGGATATTGCCAACATCATGTTGTTTCTGGCCAGTGATGACGGTGCGTTCGTGACCGGGTCTGTGTATCTGGCTGATGGCGGCAGTGTTGCCTGATCTGCTGTTGTTTGGAGGTTAGGCTATGACGTCTGCGCTACTCCACACAGACCTGTCGTTACCCAATAAACGCTCGGGCAAAGTTCGGGATCTATACGATGTGCCGCTGCCCGATGGTAGCCAGGCGCTGTTGATCGTCGCAACGGATCGAATCAGTGCGTTTGATGTTGTGATGCATAATGGCCTGCCCGGTAAAGGCATTGTGCTCACCCAGATTTCCAAATTCTGGTTCGATTATTTTTCCGCTGACGTCAAGCATCATCTGCTCAGTACAGATGTTGCTCAGGTGCCGGGTCTTTCAGCAGCGGAACAGGATCTGCTGCGTGGACGCATTATGCTTTGCCGGCAAACTCAGGTGATACCCATTGAATGTATTGCCAGAGGCTACATTACCGGCAGCGGTTGGAAAGATTATCAGGCAACAGGGAGTGTCTGCGGCATCTCGTTGCCACAAGGGCTGCAAAACAGTGACAAACTGGTGGAGCCGCTGTTCACGCCTTCTACCAAAGCCGCGAGTGGGCACGATGAGAATATCAGTTTCTCCCAGGGAGTTGATCAGGTTGGTGAAGACCTGATGCAATGGCTGCGAGGCACAACCCTGGATTTGTACTGTCGCGCGCGCGATTACGCCAGCGAACGTGGCATCATCCTCGCAGATACTAAATTTGAGTTCGGACTTGTTGAAGGACAGTCCGAGCCTTTGCTCATCGATGAAATATTTACACCAGACAGTTCGCGCTTCTGGCCAGCACAAGCGTGGCAACCGGGCCGGGAACAAGCCAGCTTTGATAAACAGATTGTACGCAACTATCTTGAAACGTTAGTAAAAGAGGGTGACTGGGATAAAACCCCGCCGGGGCCCATCCTGCCCGAGGAAGTGGTCGAAAAGACGTTAGAAAAATATCTGCAAGCTTATGAAATGCTGACAGGGCAATCCTTGTCTTTGTAACATCGGATGGATTGGCATACCTATAAAACCCTGTCCGATCATCCGTTGTACTGGACGCGCTGGATGTTGGAACAGTGCGTAGATTTACTAAGACAAATGCAGGAACAGCAACTCGCCGGGTATTTGCAGGCAGCGTTACGATCTCCACCTTTGCCAGTACCCGAGGATCACTTCGGTCCTGACGCTACACGTATGTTTGCCGTGCAGCTTAGCATTGCAGACGGGAAGCGTATGCTTGAGGCGATGCAACACGCAGAGCAACAGGGTCTATCTACCAGTGCAACTGCAGGGCGGGGCCTGGGTGGCTTTGTTGCTGCATGGGCGGAATATGGTCAGGCTCAAAAGAACATGGATCTGCTAGCGCCTTTATCAATATGCAAAGAATAGTAATTGCTAATCGTGGGGCGATCGCCAGGCGAATAATTCGCAGCTGTGAGGCATTAGGCATCGAATCGGTGGCGGTTTATTCTGAGGCTGACGCAGGTGCGCCGTATCTGGCTGAAGCCAGTCAGGCTTTTCCGCTCGCGGGTTTCCTGCCGGTGGACACTTATCTGAATCAGGACGCTCTGCTGTCCATTGCGCAAAACTGTGGCGCTGATGCTGTGCATCCAGGCTATGGCTTTTTAGCTGAGAATGCCGGTTTTGCCCAGCGGGTTATCGATAGCGGTATGACGTTTGTAGGTCCGGCACCGCATTGGTTAGCGGCAATGGGAGACAAAGTCGCCGCGCGTGCGCTGCTTGCTGAGCAGGGTTTTCCCATGTTTGCCGGGTCCGGTGAGGTTCAGGATTCAAAAAGTGCTGCTGCTGCCGCTGATGAGATCGGCTATCCGGTTATGGTAAAACCCAGTGGCGGTGGTGGTGGCATGGGTATGCAGATTGTTTATGAGCCTGCGCAGTTGGAGGACGCTGTTTTGCGGGCGCGTGCCATTAGCGTGAGCGCCTTCGATCAGGCGGGTGTTTACCTGGAAAAATATATAGAGCAGCCGCGCCACATTGAATTTCAGATACTCGCAGATGGGCAGGGTAACGCCATACACCTCTACGAGCGTGATTGTTCTGTGCAAAGGCGTAATCAGAAGCTGATCGAGGAGTCCCCGGCGCCAGGGCTCTCGGCGGATTTGCTGGAGCGCCAGGCTGTCAGAAGTGCAGAGGTCTGCGCTGGGCTTGGTTACAACAACATCGGTACGCTGGAAACCTTGTTTACACCTTCCGGAGATATGGGTTTTCTTGAGATGAATACCCGCATACAGGTTGAACATGGCGTGACGGAAAGTGTAACAGGCTGTGATCTGGTGGCGCTGCAGATAAGTTTAGCGCGGGGTGATGCGTTGCCGGTGCAGCCCGAGCGTTCAGGCTTTGCCATTGAAGCACGCCTCTACGCGGAGGATGCAGCGACGTTGCTGCCCTCAACGGGGCGTTTGTCCGTGTTCCGTCCGCCGCAGATGTATGGTGTGCGTGTTGAAACAGGCTATGCTCAGGGACAGCTTGTCACTCCCTACTACGATGCCATGTTGGCAAAAGTGATTGCTCATGGGGAAACTCGTGAACTGGCGATAGGCAGGCTGTGTGTCGCGTTGCAGGCTTTTGCGGTTGAAGGGGTTAAGACCAACGCTACCCTGTTGCGCCGTATTCTGCAGTCAGCAGATTTTATGGCGGGTCGCGTGGACACAGGTATTGTTGATCGTCTAATGGGAGAGAAATAAATGGCTAAACACGAAGTGGAAAGTGAAGTAACCGGAAACGTCTGGAAAGTTCTGTTGTCAGAGGGTGCCAGCGTCAGCGAAGGGGATGTCATCATGATTCTCGAGTCCATGAAGATGGAGATCCCGGTGGAAGCCACCTGTAACGGTGTATTGGAACAGGTGTGCGTGCAGCCTGAAGACCAGGTTGAAGAAGATCAGGTACTTGCGATTATTGAGGGATAAGACTCATTCTTCGAGTGCTGCATTAGCCCAATAAGGCAGTACTAGCTCAAAGGTTGTGCCTTCGCCCCAGGTGCTGGTCACGCTGATACTACCTGTGTGCCGTTCGATCACTGTTTTTACAAATCGTAAGCCAAGCCCCGCACCTCGATTTTCGGCCAGGCGTTTTTCGGAAGAGCGAAAAAACGGCTCGAAGATATGCGGTAACTCTTCAGCGGGAATGCCATAACCCTGGTCTTTAAATATGACATGTACTTTGCTGTCTTTGATTTTAAGATCAATACTAATGGTGGTGTCGGGCGGGCTGTATTTTATGGCGTTCGTCAACAGGTTCACAAAGGCGCGCTCAAGGAGTTCGCCGTTTGCATAGAGCCAGATACCATTGTCTTCAAGTTCCGAGTCGAACCCTGCGCCCGTAGAAATGGTAATAGCCTTTTCACGGCTTAAGGTGAAAGACTGTTCGATGGCGTTGTAGAGCACCTGTTCCAGCTGCAGTTCGTACCTTTCAAAATCACTCTGCAACTGCAAGCGGGAGAGTTGTAAGAACTGTTCAGATGTCGATAATCCCTTCTGCGTGTATTTTTCTATATCCTCTAACAGCGGTGAAGCTGGCTGCTGACCGCGAATCAGCGCAAGCACAGAAAGTAAAGGTGAGCGGATGTCATGGGATAGAAACGCCAATGCTTCTTCTCGCTGAGCCTGCGCCGCACGAATTGCGGATAGATCGGAAAATGTAATCACCCAGAAACCCGCAAACAGCTGCGTCTGAGTGTCGGGTAACGGTTCTGCACTTACGTATACAGGTCGTGCATCGGCGCTGCGCCCCTCGAAATACACGGGCGATTTGAGCAGTACAACGTCTCGCATAATGTCTACCCAGCTTTGTCCTAAGGGTGGTGTGATGCGCGCCAGTAATGCGATAGCGTTGCCGGATTCGTGTGGTTCTGTTTCTAAAAGACCTGCAGCTGCCTGATTGATAAACCGGGTTTCTCCCACTGCGCTTAGAATCAATACCCCATTGGACATCCTGCTTAAACCCGCTAAACCCATTTCCCGGCCTTCGCGTACAGCTCTTGCCCGCGTTTCGAGGCGGCTGATCTGTGCTGCGAGAATCTCCCCTGGCAGGACAGCTTGCTCAGTCGGTGAGTTGAAATACTGCTGATTTGCTGATCTCAACAGTTCGCTCTCAGCTTCTGTTAGAGACTTTTTATGGTCGGTTTGCAGTTGTGTTGTGCCGTTGTCCTGGAGAATGGGTGTTATTGTCACGCCAAGCAGCTGATCGAGGGTTGAGATGACGGCGTTTTGACTCAGGATGGCATCAGCATTTCCCGAGCGTTTCCGCCATTTCTGCTCTTCATCATCCATACGCGTGAGCTCGTTACTGATGAACTGCCAGGCGATTTCGTGTCTGCGCCAGCTCCACAGAGGGTAGAGTAGTAATACGGCAACTGTTGTTGCAGCGCATGTGAGGTAGAGACCCTGTGACAGCAATACAGCACTGACAACAATGGGCAGCAGTGCAAATGTGACCGTCGCCAGCAGAACTTTCTTTGGTTTCAGGCGTGGCAGCATGAAACTGCAGATGCTCACCAGAATGAAACCCATCAGAATGGCCCAGATTCCAGAGATTGGGATGACAAGTTTGTCGTGAAGTATGGCGTTCAGTAGATTTGCATTAAATTCGACGCCAGATAGTGGCCCGTCTTCACCGCTTACCGGACTGGTCACCCAATCCCCCACACCACTTGCGGTTAGACCAACTATGACGGTTTTGCCCGCCAGTGCTTGAGTAAGTAACGGTCGATTGGTGGGTTGCATGAGATCCACCGCTGAAACCTGGGCAAATGCGCCGGCTTCGCCGGCAAACTTAATCCCCACATAATGGCACTTTTCCAGGAACAAGCCGCTGGGTTGTGTTTTTCTGCAATCATCTGTGGACGTCTTTGTTTTAATACCGGCCAATGCCAGCACCAGGTGTGGCCAATGGGCTGTTCCTACCCCCTGATAGAGATAGGTTCCCCGCACAATGGCGTCTTCATCCAGTTCTACATGGACGTGGCCTAACTGGTCAGCTTGGGACAACAGGTCTGCAAACGGTAGGACTTCGATGTGTTGTTGTCTGGCGCCCAGAGATTCGATCATAACGGGTAAGCTGAGTTGATCGATCTGGCTGGCTGCTTCAACCAGAGGTTTGTCGTCCGGGCTGGTGCCTGCGTAAATAATATCAACGGCTACCTTTGCAGGTTGATAGATATTGATTGCTCGCAGAAGCTCTGCCTGCACCGGTCGCGGCCATGGCCAGGGGCCGAAGGTATGAAGGCTTTTGTCGTCGATCCCAACGATGATGATGTCTTTATCCGGCTCGATGGTCATGCGTTGAATGCCGGCGTCATAAAGTAGACGATCAAAGCCTGAAAACCATTGGAAATAGTGACCTGCGCCAACAAAAAGTCCGGCTGATACCAACAGCAGCAGAGACTCAACTCTGAATCTGAACTGTGGATCTGGACGTCGGGCTGGGGTGTCTAAAACACCAGCAGCGGAAGGAATATTACGAGCCACCAGGGTTTCTGTTGCGCCTCAATTGAAGTTGTAACAGGGTCACTGTGCAGGGAGTTCTGCTCGGAAGCAACTTGCAGCTGGTAGCTGCCAAAATTGGGTAACTCGATTGTTGTGTCGCCTCTACTATGCTGTTGCTGCAGGAGTGCCCCAGTGGAATCAAGTAAATCTATTTGGTAACGGAGGCCCTCGGTCGCCGGTTCGATTTCTAGAGACACGCTCAATTTTTCCCGCGTCACTCTGATGAGTTCCGGTGGTGCCGGAAAAACCTTAAAAACCTGGGTCGCCGATGCTGCACCGTTGTCTGGTGTTACGTACCATCTATAAGTACCAGCTTTCAGGTCAGTGGTGTAAGACGTCGTTGCGCTTTCCCAGTTTTGCTCGGTTTGCCAATGATCTGCGGCAGCTACAATAGAATAACTTTCAGTTGGCCGTGTGTAGCGCCATTGCAGTGTTACCTGGCCGTCGACCCTGACAGATTCGTTAAGATCTGTAGGTGCTGGATTCAGTACGTTGATCGCCTGCCTGGCATTATTGCCCTGTATCCTGCTGCTGGAGACGCCACGAACGGAGAGCAGATAAGCCCCCGGGATTTGTGGCGGTTGGATCTGTGTCGCACTGGTGGTTGTTGAGGCGTAGACAATGCCCGGCTGAGCCTGACGGGCCCACTCAACAACATAGTCTTCAGCACCCGCCAGCGCCTGCCAGGACAATGTGGTGCCTGCTGTGACCTGCTCCGGAAGCTTGTTAAAAACAGGCGCGACCAACAAAGCTTCTTTAACAACGCCGCTGCTGCTGGCCGCCACGCCAAAACCTGCGGGCACATCGGTGCTTTGTCCCTGTCCGGAATACGCCACCAAACCTTCCAGGGTTTCAGTAGTAGATACCATGGGACCTTCATCCCGATTGATGCGCCCGACACGAAACTGTGTGCCCCGCACCGCAGCTATGCCCTCGGGCGTCTGGATGCGGAAGCGATCGCCACGATTCTGCGGTTTGACGGTGGCTTCACCCTGGCCGTAGGTAAAGCGTAAGTGAGTATCGACCATGCCTGCAGGACCAAAAGCTGTCAGCTTGTTAAACAGAACCTTGCTGTCAGGCGCGATGCTGATCTGGGAACCGTCGGCAAAACTGACCAGAGCGGCGCCCTTGGAGCTGATGACATAGTCGCCCATGTTGACTGCATCGCCCGCCTGGGCTGGAGACTGGCTGCCATTGTTCTGCAGTATCACAATATCACCGGTTACCTGCACAATGGTTGCGTTGCTGGGAGAGAAAGCAAGCAATGTGGTTGGTATAGCAATGCGTTGCCCTGCCTGCAGCTGCGCTGAATTGGCTAATCCGTTGTGATCAGCGATGACCTGCGCCAAGCGACCGCTGCCACAATAATTTTCGGCAATATCCCAAAGCTTGTCTCCGGGTCGCACGGTGTAGAGCCAGTCGTCGCCCCAGCTGGCTGGTGCAGCCAGGAGGACTAAGGTTACAAAGATGCAGCGCAAGGCACGAGCGTACACTTTCATACCTGTTCCAGACGATAGCCGTGCTGGTAGATGGTTTTAATGCGAAAGCCCTGTTCCGGGTTGATGTTCATACGTTTACGGATACGGCTGACGTGTACGTCTACAGTACGTGTGTTCAACCCGCTGACACCCCATACGTCTCTTAGAAGCTGGTCACGAGACAGCAGACGACCGATATGTCGAAACAGATACCAGGCAAGTTCGAAATCTTTACTGGTCAGATCACAGGCTTCACCGTTGAGATAAACGGATTGGCTTTGCGGTTTGAAATGATAGGCGCCGATTTCGAAGTCGAGTTCCTGATTGGCCAGACGGCGTCCTAACGCATTTATCCGCGCAAGAAACTCACCCCTATTGATCTGCTTGATCATGTAATCGTCGGCGCCACTGGACAAGGCGTTGATGATGTCGGTTTCCGCTTCCCGCTGAGTAACAAAAAGAATGGGAACATGCCATTGAATCTGATTGCGGATGTGGTGCAAAACCTCAATACCGGTTGCATCTGGTAATTCCCAATCAAGCACCACTAGATCAAAGTCAGGGTTAGACGTAGCCAGCGCTTCGATCAGCTTCTGCCCACGATCAAAGTGTCGGACGGTATGTTCGGTTGCCTGCAGCCATCCCATAAGCAGTTGAGCCTGGGCCGGGTCGTCTTCAAGGAGCCATAAATGCATAACGCTAGATTACCCCAGGTTGCCTAAATCCGTGAGACTTGAAATTGCCCGATCCATGGCGCAAGCGTGAGGACTATCGATTGCGCCAGCGGCGCCGAGATGCCGTTGCCTACAGCAACCTCACCCGCGTTGATCAGTTTGATGAAGTCCCTGGTTGATAAGCTGTTTAAGACCTGACACAGATTTCCGTCTGCGCTACCCAGTTGAGCGGATATGTCGCGTGCAATGCCGGTGATTTTCGCCGGCGGTAGTCCGTACGCTCTGATATCAGCATTCAGGAGCGGGTGTTGTTCGATAAGATTGACAACGTTCATGCTTGCAGTCGACCAATAGTGTAGTTGTTCAGTGCTTACACTAGCTGAGTCTGCGTTGTTTCGGGATAGCGATAGCGCTTTTTCGAGGTGCTTTTGCATTGGTTTTACAAATGCCGGCGTCTGCGTAAGGCGGCACCACCGATGTTTCATTGTGCTAGTATTTGCGCTCCAAAAATCCCGGAAAGACGATAAAGGAGCAGCCATGAGTGAGGAACTGGTCACTATTGACATACAGGACGGCGTAGCCGATGTCAGGCTGAACAGGGTTGATAAGTACAACGCCCTGAGTCCTGAAATGTTCGCGGCCATCATTGCTGCCGGTGAACAACTCGCCCAGGCACCTGAAGTTCGCGCCGTTGTACTCTCAGGCAATGGCCGCGGTTTTTGTGCGGGTTTGGATATGGGCAGTTTTGCACGCATGGCTGAAGAGTCTGGCGGTAATGGTGACCCTTCAGATAGCAGCTCCACTGCTGCTCTTCTGCAACGTGGCGAACGACCTGAAAATCACGCGCAGCAGCCTGCTTACGTCTGGAAACGCCTGCCGGTACCGGTGATCAGTGCGATTCATGGCGTAGCTTACGGCGGCGGCTGTCAGATTGCGTTGGGTGCGGATATCCGCATTGCTGCTCCAGACATGAAGATGTCAATTATGGAGATTAAATGGGGCCTGATCCCTGATATGAGTTTGACACAGACGTTGCGCGATCTGGTGCCTTTAGATGTTGCCAAGGAGCTGACATTTACCGGCAAGGTTCTGAATGGCCACGAAGCTAAAGAGTTAGGGCTGGTAACACATGTGTCGGAGAATCCGCTGGAGCACGCACTGCAGCTTGCGAAAGAGATTGCCGGTAAATCTCCCGATGCCATCCGTGCGGGTAAGCAGCTGCTGGAGATTGCCTGGCATGCTGATGAGCGTATCGGTCTTGAACTTGAATCGGCTTTGCAGACGATTTTGATAGGGTCACCTAACCAGGTTGAGGCTGTCACTGCCAATTTTGAAAATCGCGCACCTGTTTTTGTCGATCCAGCCTGAAGATGAGTTGGGAAGCAGAAATCAAGGAGTTGCAACGCCGCAGGTATCTGGCGAAGCAGCAGGGTGGCAAAGTGGGGATCGCCAAACAGCACAGCAAAGGCCGTTTGACGATCCGCGAGCGGATTGAGGTTCTACTTGATGAACGGAGTTTTCGTGAGCACGGTCAAGCCACCGCCAGTCCGGTTTATGATGACAATGGTGACATAGAAGATTATGTACCGGCCAACTATGTGGTTGGCTTCGGCAAAATCGCGCAACGCCGTGTGGTGGTGGGCGGCGAAGATTTCACCCTGAAAGGTGGTTCACCTAATGCAGCCGGGTTGCGTAAGAGTGTTTATGCTGAGCACCTTGCGGTGCAATACAAAGTACCACTGGTGCGCTTGTTGGAAGGTGGCGGTGGCAGTGTCAAAGGCTCGGCTAAAAAAGGCGGCACCGTCGGGGATCCTGTTTTTGCCGAACCGCGCTTTAAGATCATCGCTGATGCGATGTCCCAGATACCCGTGGTGTCTGGCGCCATGGGTGCGGTTGCTGGCTTTCCTGCCGGGCGGCTGGTGGCGTCACACTTTTCAGTGATGACAAAGCATACTGCCCAGGTCTTGATAGGCGGCCCTGCACTTGTTGAGCGTGCCCTGGGCGTCAAAATGAACAAAGACGAACTTGGTGGCGCGCAGGTGCATTCACGCAGCGGGGTGATTGATAACCTCGCTGAAGATGAACACGATGCCATCTCTCAGCTGCGGCGGTTCCTCAGTTACCTGCCCAGCAGTGTATGGGAACGAACGCCACGTCAGGCTTGTACCGATCCAATCGACCGGATGGAAGAAGAGCTGCTGAATTGCGTGCCGCGGGAATCCAACGCGCCATTTGATATGCGCGCCATAGTTAATATGGTTGTAGATAAGGACAGTTTTTTTGAAACTGGCGCTGACTTTGGTCCAAGTCAGATCTGTGGTCTTGCCCGTCTTGACGGCCAGCCGGTGGGTATACTGGCAAATGACTGCAATTTTTATGCTGGCGCTATGACTGCTGAGGCTGCGCAGAAGTATCGACGGTTTGTCGAGATGTGTGACACTTTCCACGTGCCGGTGGTGAATTTTGTAGATCAGCCGGGCTTTATGATTGGTCCTGAATCAGAGCGAAGCGGCACCATCCGCTATGGTATGGCGGCGGTTGCTGCAGCAGCTCAGGCGACGGTGCCATGGGCTGTGGTTCAGGTGCACAAAGGGTTTGGTGTGGCGACCGCGGCACACTACGCGCCAGGCAATTACGTGCTCGCCTGGCCGTCCGTCGAATCTGGTGCGCTGCCTCTGGAGGGCGGCGTTGCCGTCGCTTACCGGCGTGAGATTGAAGCTGCCGAGGACCCTGAAGCGAAGCGGCGCGAATACGAAGATAAGCTGCGCGAGGGCCGATCACCTTTTCCCCGTGCTGAATCTTTTGCAGTGCATGAACTAATAGACCCGCGTGAAACCCGTCCGATGTTGTGTGATTGGATTGACTGGATTCAGCCGCAGCTCGATACCCTGCTCGGCCCGGTACACTTCGGCATACGACCTTGAAATCTTTTTTCTGCTATCTCAACTGGAGTAATAAAAATGACAATATCTTTTGAAAATCAGGTGGCCATTGTCACCGGCGCCGGTGGCGGTCTTGGTCGCTGCCATGCACTGGAGCTTGCTCGTCGGGGCGCTAAGGTTGTGGTCAATGACCTCGGTGGTGCCATGGATGGAACCGGTGGTTCTTCCGCAGCAGCGCAAAGCGTGGTTGCCGAGATTGTGGCAGCGGGTGGTGAAGCAATTGCCAATGGGGGTTCGGTGTCCGATCGAGCCGGCGCCAAAAGCATTGTTGATGACGCGATGAATGCCTGGGGCCGCGTTGATATTCTGATCAACAATGCAGGCATCCTGCGTGACAAGTCGTTCGCCAAAATGAGCATGGATGACTTTGATATGGTCATGGATGTGCATCTGACTGGTGCCGCTAACTGTACCCATTTTGTGTGGCCCATTATGCGCGCACAAAACTACGGCCGTATTCTGATGACAACATCACCCACGGGTCTATATGGCAATTTTGGTCAGGTGAATTATGGCGCGGCAAAGCTTGCCCAGGTTGGCATGATGAACTCGCTTAAGATTGAAGGTGCGAAAAACAACATCCACACCAACACGATTGCGCCAGTCGCAGCAACGCGGATGACGGAAGATCTGATACCGGAAGCGGCGCAGGAAAAACTGGGGCCGGAACTGGTTACCCCGGCAGCTATTTTTCTGGTCAGTGAAAATGCGCCAAACGGCGTGATCATCCAGGCACAGGGTGGACAGTTTTCAATGGCGGTTATTGTAGAAAATCAGGGTGTTAATCTTGGTGTAGACGCTGATGCTGACGATATAGCATCAAACTACGAGCAGATTTCTGACCTGAGCGAAGTTAAGCCGCGTGGGATGTTGCAGCTGAGTTCGTCTTAACGCCATAGCTTGCGGGTGTTGTCGATACGGCACTACCCGCTTCGCTGGTTGTCAGCAGCGCATCCCGGTTCTGCAGCCAGTGGTGCTCCAACCGCGCGCTTACGGCGGCCAGATCCCTGGTGGCAACAAAGCGCGTCTGGCTCTGATTGATGCCCAGGCTTTCATCAAAGGTCTCCAGCGTAAGTTTGCTGACACTCTGTTTAAAGCCGGCGTGCTCGACGATGGGTTGATGTTGTCGGGTTTGTTCCTGTGGCAGCCAGACACAGGGGAAAACCTCCATTACAGAGAAGCCATGCTTGTTCTGCATGACATATTGCCAAAGTGGAAATGTTGCCATGTCTACAAAGCGCTGACTGGCTTCACCGTGAGAATTGGTAACCTGGCAATACATCAACAATTGCCGATGGCTGTTTATTTTGGTCGTGGTACTCTGCATGCCGTCTCCATGTAGAAGTGTCTTTATGCAGTTTAGTAGAGCTTCAAAATTTAACACGCAGGTGCTGTTATGGCTGTTCTGATACTGACCTTAATCACCTCATTGTTTATCGGAGGCGCGCTCTGGTTTGTCCTGGGTAGCCCGATAAAGCTCAGCGCCGATGATGAGCAGAATCAATTGTTGAATCTGATCGCCTACATGGTCGGTGCGTTACCTGTTGCCTTTGTACTGATTTTTTTCGGTCTAGGTGGGTAAAAACCTGCTACGCGTTTACCCATATGTCGAAAAAATCAGGCACGGCTAGTTGTAACCCAGCACAAAAGCCTGGAAGCCTTCTTCTTCATGTTTTTCGTCATTATCTGAACCGCGCTTTAGAGGCGGGAACGTCAAACCACGTTGACCTGCATCTGCATTAGCCGCTGCGTTGCTGTCCTTGAAAATATTTTCTGTCTGCTGAACTTTTGATTCATCCATTTTTCGGTCCTCGAAAATTGCCGTTAGAAGGTCTGGTTTTTACAGAACTTTCCGGCTTGGATGTTGGAAGGTCCTGTAGGAAAGACCTTCGCGTTAGGTCTACCTCGGTTGAGTCGCCACTTTGATCGCTAGCACGCGCAGCACAATCTTCGCCACAATCGAACAAGTCGATGCGGTTAGATTAATGTTTAGCTTTCTGCTGTTTGCGTTCACTGCTGGTATCCATCTGAGATAAACTGCGCTGACGAACCTGGAAAGGTAAGCCAACAGGCGCGGATAATAGGCCGTGTTAGACAGTTTGCCAAGGCACAAGTCACATTTTCTGCTCTTTTTATGAACAAGAGTGCACTAACAGCTCACTAATACTGGAGATAATATGCAACTTCCGTTGGACCCTGGTCTGGTCAAAGGCTTTCTCGATCCTGATGAAGGCGCCCGTCTGTTTGATCTGGCTTGTGAAGTTTCCCCTTTAGGTCCTTGTTTAGAGGTGGGCAGCTATTGTGGTAAATCGACTCTGTATCTGGGTTCCGCATGCCAATCTGTATCGGGTTTGCTGTTTGCACTGGATCATCATCGCGGTTCTGAAGAACACCAGCGTGGCGAGGAGTATCACGATCCCGAGCTATATGATGAAGTTCTGGGTCGCATGGACACCCTGCCAGCTTTGCGACGAACCCTGTCCTATAGCCAGCTGGAGAGCTGCGTTATACCGCTTGTTGGTAGTAGCGCTTTGGTTGGACGATTCTGGCAGACACCCCTGGCGATGGTGTTTATTGATGGAGGACATTCACTGGAATCTGCCCTCATAGACTATCGCACCTGGTCTACTCATATTGTCAGCGGCGGTATTCTGGCGATCCACGATATTTTTCCTGATCCGGCCCTGGGCGGCCAGGCGCCTTACACTATCTATAATCTGGCTTTAGCCTCTGGCCTGTTTGAAGCGTTGCCAGGCACCAAAACACTGGGTGTATTAAGGCGGATCTAAGGCAGATTGGTGCGTCTCAATTGTTGGATCAGATGTTTGCTGGAGCGCTGTGGTCTTTGAAAATATTATGCGCTGGTGTGATATGAAATAAGGCATCTGCAGCCAGGAGTACTGCGGCGGCAGTCCAGCTGGGTCGTTCGTCAGGCCAGTGGACGTCATCGGTAAAAACGTATCCGGTCCACCAACTTCCATCCTCTATCTGAAATCGCTGAATGTTGTTGTACAGCTCTTCTGCGGCTTTACGCTTGCCCGCGCTGAGACATGCCATGATCAGCTCACAGGTTTCCGCCACAGTGACCCAGGGCTCTTCTTCGACACACCTGCAGCCCAGGTCTGGTTCTACAAATGTATCCCAACGCTGGGCTAACCGTGTGCTGGCTGCGTCTTCCTGGATAACGCCTGTCAGAACCGGGTAGAACCAGTCCATGGAATAGCGCTTTTTTGAGGGCCAGGTGCGATCAAACAGGTGGGGTTTGGAGCGGATCGCGTGCCCCAGATGTTTGCGTGCTGTCAGCCACGGCTCTGGATCTTCATTCCTCAGTGTGGCCAATGCAGCGGTGCACTGCAGCGATTTATAGATAGAGCTGCAACCAGTAATCAGGGCATCGCGGGATATGCCTTTGACAGGATCTACCGCCCAGTAGATTTCGCCTTCAGGTGTTTGCAGATCAACAACAAATTGCATCGCCCGCTTAACCATCGGCCAATACTCTTCGACAGCCTTAACGTCATTGGTTACAGCCCAGTAATGCCAGAGTCCGGTTGCGGGATAAGCCACAAAATTGGTTTCTGCTCGGGTGTCGTCAGCCGGCTTTTCATCGTCGTAGGCCGCCAACCAGCTGCCGTCACTTTTCTGGGTATCCGACAGCCAATCAAAGCCGTGGCGGGCTGCTGCGTAGTGACCGCCAATGGTTAAACCCATGATCGCTTCAACATGATCCCAGGGATCGATAATGCCGCCGTTGAACCAGGGCAGAGCACCTGAAGAGAGCTGCAGATCAGCTATATATTGGGCGGTTCTCTGCAGGCTGGCGTTGTCCATCTACAGCTCGTTCACAAAATACATGACAACACTTTTGCCCATGATGGGATTGAGCAGACGGTCAAGCCATTGCGTGAGGGCAGGTTTCTGCATCAGATCCCACACCAGGAAGCGATGGTATGCTCGTACCGCAGCTGCATCTTCACCTCGCTCCCAGAATAAACAGCGCAACCACCAGTAGGGAACATGCAGGCTGTGCGCCCAGTGTCGCGCGAATCGCCGCATGCGTAGAGATTCGACTGCGCGGCGCAATTCGCCGCTGGTAAAGATGCGGACGTGCCCGCCTTCAACTTCGTGGTAAGCGTCACTGATTTTCCAGCAGATCCATTCGGGGAAGAACCTGGGGACGCTGGTTGCAAATATACCCCCAGGTTTAAGTACACGTCGGATCTCTAGCAGCATACCCTGGTAGTTAGGAATGTGCTCCAAAACTTCTGCGCAGATCACCTTGTCGAAACTGTTGTCCGCAAATGGCAGCTTCAGGCCGCTGGCGCGAATAAATGTGCAGTGATGACTGCTTTTGTACGGTGTCTGGTCGAACTCCTGCAGGCGTTGCTTGGCAGTTGTCAGGTCTGTGGCGCTCAAGTCGACTGCATAGACTTCTATGGGTGCTAACAGATAGGCGCTGATCGCATGTCGCCCTTCACCACATCCCAGGTCGAGAATGCTTTCTCCCGCTCTCAAATTAAGGCGGTCAAAATCAATTGTTTCAAGACTCATCGTTTTGCACCTGGTTGTAATATCCAGTTAGCCTGCTGGCTACTTTGCTCCAGCAGAACGTTTCTAACATACGTTCTCTGCCGCGAGCACCAAGCTCTTCACGTTTCTCTTTGTCTTCTAACAAGTTACTTATTGCCTCGGTCAATGCCCTTGGATTGCTTTTCGGGACGGTAATACCCGCGTTGCCGACCACCTCTGGCAGTGCACCGCCATTTGTCGCAACGACTGGTACTGCGCAAGCCATCGCCTCTGCCGCGGGCAGCCCGAAACCTTCATATTCCGAAGGTATCACGGCTATCGTTGCTCTAGCGTAGAGTTCAACGATGGTTTTAGCGCTGATGCCATGACGGAAGGTGATGGCCGGAGCGAGGTTATGCTGCTCAATCAATTTTGCCGTAGTGCCGCCGGGTTTTGGTTGACCGATGAATATTAAATGTAAATCGGGATATTTTTTCCGCAGTTCTGCGAACGCAGGTATCAGATATTGTGTGCCTTTTAGAGGCTGATCAGCACTGGCGGTTGTAATCAATAAGCGCGCTTCTCTGTGAATATGAGGCAGTGGCTTGAATGTATTGGCATCAACGCCGTTAACGATGACTTCCACACGCTCCTCCGGGACCTCAAAAGCACGGCAGATATCCCGCTTGGAACACTCGCTGACGGTGATAATGTGATCCAGTTGCCGGGCTACTTTTGTCTGCATGGAAAGGAAGTGATGCCAACGGCGAATTAACAATCGCATACCCCAGTCTGCTTCGTGAGCAAGTGCGATATCTCGATCGTAGGTGATGGGGTGGTGAATGGTGCTGACCACTTTGAGCCCCATTTTCTGCAGTTGCAAAATACCGTAGCTGAGGCTCTGGTTATCATGAATAACGTCGTATTTGTCTGCGTTTGTCTTGAAATAATTAACAACGCGACGCCCAAACGTATACGGTTCCGGAAAACCGCCGGACATTTTTGACAGCCACTCAAATGTATCGGTCGCTGACATCAGGTGACGCCAGCGCAGAGCACGGCCTGGTTGTTCTGTTTCAAATAGGTTCAAGCCGGGGAGCTTGATGAGACGAATGTTGTCGTCAAGATCGGGGTACGGTGCGCCTGAGATCACATCAACCTGATGTCCGGCATCACGCAGTGCGTGAGCTACATATTTGACGTAAATGCCCTGTCCACCACTGAAGGGGTTGCTGCGATAGCCCAGAAGTGCAATGCGCAATGGGCGAAAAGTAGCAGTATCAGAGTCTTTGAGGGGAGCAACGACGGACACCCGACACCCATTCAGTTAAAGGCGCGGATTCTAAAGATACCTATCCCAGGTTACCAGCAGGCATGCCGGGGGTTTTTGACATCTTGCGTCTTAACAATTGTCGACAACCAGTTCTGGTGCGCGGATCTTCGGATCAAGATCAGCATTTGATACGTCTATATGAAGGTGGTGATACAGGTTGGCTATCCATTGGTGACCTTGCTGAGTACGTTTCAAGTACGCAACACCATCACCAATGTAAGGCTGCACCTGTGCGTAGAAAAAGTCCGGGAAGCCTGCGCGCAATTCGCCAGGATTGTTAAACCCCATACGTGCAGCTTCGCCGGTTTCTACAAATTCTGCATACAGTCGCGACAGTTTCTGCAGATATTGAGGGTCAGCCATTTGACCGATGAGGTCTGCAGCCCGAACCAAACCCGGCAATGTGTCAGTTTCGCGATATTCTGCGGTTTTAGGTACAGGGAAGCGGGTCATTTCGATGCAGGCACCGATCAGGTCCGTGTCGAGGAACGGATCATTGGCGAACCTTTCTTTCACAAAAAGGCAGCCTCGGCTGACATGGTAAGGCGTCATAAAGGCATCTGTCGCGCCAGTGGGGATCGACACGCGCTCGCCCTGTGGGTTGATTTTTGCATCGTCCTGCTCATCTTCAGGCAACAGGTTGCGCAGATAGCCGATATCATGGAACAACATGGCCACCACAGCCTGTACCCACTGATGTGCCGTCAGGTCGCCGCGGGCCAGCTGGCGGCCATGCAATATGGTCTGCCCAACTTCGGTGACCAAAATAGTGTGATGAATATCGTGATAAGAACAATCACAGTTCAGCAAAGTTTCCAGGGATGTACGTGCAGCCTGCTGCAGTGCGTTACATTGCTCGATGCTCGCTGCCGGGAACAGTTGCTGAAATTCTGTCAGACAATGCGTAACAAACGCATCAATCACTGAAGTATTAGGGTTAAACATGCGGTGTATTTTAATTCAGCATAGCTGGGTTCATCGTGCACTGGCACACACTCTATGCGTAGACGTGACAGCAGATATTTGAATGAATATTATGCAAGATGTTCAGTTCAAATCATGAGTGAGATTCATGTCACACATAGAGTTGCGGCATTTGAAAACCCTGGTGGCGTTACGTGATACCGGGAGCCTGGTGGAAGCGGCTGAACGCGTCTTTCTGACTCAGTCTGCGCTTTCCCACCAGCTCAAGGAGCTTGAATCGCGAATTGGCTGCACCCTGTTTGTGCGTAAAACTAAACCCGTTCGATTCACCAGTGCCGGTACGCGTCTGCTTAAACTTGCGGATGAGGTATTGCCTCGAGTGCACGGCACCGAACGGGATCTGCAGCGTCTGGCCGGAGGCGAATCCGGTCGTATTTTCATGGCGATTGAATGTCACAGTTGTTTTGAATGGCTGCTGCCCGCTATTGACGTCTACCGCGACCAATGGCCCGACGTTGAACTTGATATCTCCAGTGGATTCCACTTTGCGCCTTTGCCGGCCCTGGGTCGCGGCGATCTCGATCTGGTTATTACAGCGGACCCGGTGCCTGAGCTCGGCGTGCACTATTTTCCGCTGTTCAGCTATGAAGCGCAGTTGGCGATGAGCAAAGATCATGTGCTACGGGCTAAAGATTGGATTGAACCTGCAGATCTCGCCGACGAGGTTGTCATCACCTATCCTGTGGACACCGACAGACTTGACCTGTTCACCAGTTTTCTTGATGTTGCTGGTGTAACTCCCAAGCGTGTCCGCCATGCAGAATTAACCACGATGATCGCTCAACTGGTTGCCAGTGGTCGTGGCGTGGCTTGTTTACCCAATTGGGCGCTGTATGAATATACGCAGAAGGATTACCTCGTCGTGCGTTCGCTGGGAGAAGAGGGCATCTGGCCAACTTTGTACGCTGCGGTACGAAAAGATCAGGCTCAGGCACCCTTTATTCAAGGCTTTGTAGAAATCGCTCGTGCGGTTTGCTTTGAGAATCTGCAGGGTATTGTGACTGCAGAGCTGGATGAGTTGCCCGAGAGCTGACGTTCAGGGCACCAGTGTTGTGACATGCCATTGGCCACCATCTAGTCGATAGTGGCTGCGGTCATGTACGCCGTTGTCCTGATTCAGATCTAGTCGCTCGATTTCATGTGGCACCAGACATAGACCGGATGCATGCTCGGGTGCAACCAACGGATCGGGTAGCTGTACCTCGTCGAGCATAGAAATTAGCGCCTGCCGGGAATCGATGGCACTGCTCTGTTGTGCAATCTGTTGATAGAGCCAGTCCATGCGTTTCGGCATATCCGGTCGCATCTGCCAACTCTCATGCACCAGCTCTGCCTCTACGGGCGTGCTGGTTACCTGCAATCGATACTGTAACGCCACGCTGGGCCAGTAGGTCTGTACCGCAAACGTTTGTTGTAACGCCGGCCATTTAGGGCTGGTGGCGTTGATAAAAACGGCAAGATTATCGCCTACGTTGCGCAGCACCAGGGTACGTACCTGAACACGCCCGGCATCGTCCACGTTGGCTACGGTGCAGACTGCAGCCATCGGATCTTTGGCTTCGAACGCAGCGGTCCGGTCTTCGTGAAATTGCTTTATCGGGTCCATATTAGAATCTAACGAGTGGTGTCTGCCTGAATAATCTGTACCCATCGCTCGGCTGTAATGAAGCCACTACCCCAGCTGGGGTAGTTCTCATTCAGATCCGCGGCAATTTCTGCCGTGTCGGTGCCCTGATCCAGCGCATTACGTACTGCTGCCGTGGTGGCTTTGACTACTGCAATGGTGGCAGCCAGATCTGCGCGATTGGATAGCGAACCATGTCCAGGGATGATGCGGATGTCTTCCGGCAGTTGTTCGAGTATGGTCTCTACATTGTCGATAAAACCGTCGACATCACCGCCGCTGCCAATATCCACATAGGGAAATCGGTTTTTAAAAAAATGATCCCCCATATGGATCACGTTGGATGTCTTAAACCAGACAACGCTGTCACCGTCGGTATGTCCAGCAGGCAGATGAATGACTTCAATAGTCTCGTCATTAAAGTGCAGATTAAGGTCATCATCAAAAGTCACCAGGGGCAGGCCAGAGCGTGGAAAATCTTCTTCCGCAAGAAGGCGCACGCGCACGTTATCGTGCGAGATAATGGTGCCGGTGGTACCCATCTCCGGATTAGAACCCGCATGATCGCCGTGATAATGGGTGTTCAGAATCAGTTTCGGGCGATCGCCACCTAAACCTTCTAACGCAGCAATTATTTTTGCGGCCAGGGGTGCATATTGATCATCAACAATCAGCGTGCCGTCTTCACCGACGGAAACGCCGATGTTTCCGCCGGCGCCCTCCAGCATATGAATTGAACCGGCAACATGCTGGGCTTTGATCTCTACGGCGGCGAATCGGTCAGCTGGAGCCGCGATCGCGCTCCAGGCTATCAAACTGGTTAGCACGACGGCAAAAAGAAAATATCCATGTTTCATGGTAATGGCCCTGGGTTTGTTTGCTGGTGTCAAAAATTGATGTGTGTGCCGGTTTTTGTGTGATCCGACCACGGCTCGGGGGCGCTGGCCTGATGTCTTTTCATGACGCGATACAAGAAACCGTGTCCACTTGCCCGCACAGCGTCAGTAATGATGTTTTCAGCATCGACAACTTCTGCGCGGCGAATCAGACGTTCGAAGGTGAAAATGAAATTGTTGGTGTGGCGTGCCCGCACCTCGGTGCCATAGAACAGGTCGAACTGCTCCTGTGGATCATCCGTCTCCAAATGTGTAATCAACAATCGCCGGGAGAAGGCTTCTGGATCAATGCCACTGCCTTGAGAAGAAAATAGTTCAGCCTGTTCTTTTTGGCTGACCCGGCCGCCTTGGCCGGTGCCCTGGCTTGAAATGAACAGGAGGCCGGATATCGATCCGAGTTGGCCGCGCACGGATTGAGCAATCTGCAGGAAAGCCTCCTGCCGGGCGTGTACCTCGCTGGCGGCGAGATTCTCGGACTGAATCACAGCTTGCTCGGCGCTTCGAGAAATAGCCACGGCCTGTGACCTTAATGCATCGGTATTCTGCTGAAGTTCCTTCTGCTGAAGGAAGTAGCCAATAACAAGCCATAAGAACGCCAGTGGCGCAAACGCGCCTTCCAGGAAATTACCCAGATCTTCCGCCGGAAGCCGTGTGAAGGTTATCCAGCCGATATTCACACTGATGTAGGTTACCCCCAGCAGTATCCAAATGGCGGTGATGGTTAAGCCAAACCAGATGCGCCAGTTCATAACGCGTTAGCAGTACAAATGGTGGCGCTGAAAATCAGGATGTTTCGTCGACACTGTTGCTGCCTGAAGCCGCTGCACTTTCACTACGTCGACGTATTTCGGCAATGTCCCGCTGAATTTCGCTGAGACGGAACAGGATGTCTGGCACCTGATCACTGATGCGCCATAACAGATAAGCGATTGCGGCCAGCAGCAACATAGATAAGAAACCCATCAATCATCTCCGATCAATTATTAGTGGACGGTATTCTAGTGCAGTGTATCGAATAAAACACGGACTCTAAGGAGGCCTGCAATATATTCAGCGTGTTACATGCCCAGGTGCAGCTTTATGCCAGTGACCCTGTGATTGACTTACGCTGGCTGATTTCGATCCAGTTGCCATCAGGGTCCTGGACAAACGAAATATAGGCAACGTCACCGAGCCGTACCGGCGCTGAGCCTTCACGACCGCCTTTGGCAAGTATTTCAGCATGGGTGCCGACAACATCAAAAACCTGCATGGTCATATAGCGATAACCCAGAGCGACGCGCTCAAAAGGTTTGATTACACCTTCCTGGAGCTTGATGCGGGACGCGCCCACCTGAAAAGTGTTGGCGCCATCAGTGCTCAAACCCAGTACTTCACCGTAAAAACGCGTGCTCGCAGCAAGATCATTTACCGTCATATGCAAAGTGAGATTCTGTCCTGGCGCATCAGATTGGGGGCTCATCCAGACTTCATTGCCGTCCGGGTCAAGCAGCTCAATGCAACTGTCCACGGCGTCACTGTAGATTTCCAGGGTGCTTAAACCAGTGGGATTGTCCTGCGACACGGGTTCGCGCCTGTTATTAATCTTCAGGACGCTGTCGCCGATGGCATGACGATGTTGGTGTAACCCACCGCCTACTTTCAACAATTCACTGTAGGGGACGTGGACTTGTTCCTGCCAGAACGCCAACATAGCATCTATTTCATTGGTGTAGAGACCCACGTCTAATGCAGGTTTGGCCAGTTCCATGTCGATTCCTCAGTAACCTCAAAACGGTAGATTACCTTGTTTGTTGAAGATGTGTCGCTGCCGGATGACCTGGTGGATCGCGACCTTTTTGCTGCACAGCTGAATGACATATACGGGCAGGACACAGGTGCCCGGATAATTGCGTGGCTGGCAAAGGACCACACTCGAGCCTATTGGCATAACCCGCTGCAGCCGGGCGCCACGTTAGCGATAGGTGATGCGGTACCGGGTCTTAAAGGGGTCAGGCAGGTGCCGCTTGAAGTACCACTCAGCACCGATCCACAAGCGAGCGCGGGTCAGATCTACCTGCAGAACCCTTCCAGTGTGTTTGCTGTGCGCGTGTTGAATCCGCAAGCGGATGAAGAAATTCTCGATCTTGCTGCTGCGCCAGGCGGCAAAACTCTGGCTATTGCGGCGGCGATGAATAATTCCGGGAGGATTGCAGCCGTTGAGGTGGTGCCAGGTCGTTTTCACCGGTTACGGGCAAACCTGGAGCGGTGCGGTGTTACCAATGTTGAGTTTTACCTCAAAGATGGTCGGAGCGTCGGCAGGACGGTACCGGAACGATTTGATCGCGTGTTACTGGATGCTCCGTGCAGCTCCCAGGCGCGCATGCGCTGGGACAATCCCGCCACGTATACACATTGGTCTTCACGTAAGGTCAAAGAATCCCAGCGCAAACAGAAAAGTCTGTTGCGCTCGGCGTATGCCGCGCTGAAACCTGGTGGTGTGCTGGTCTATTCCACCTGCTCGTTCAGCGTGGAAGAAAATGAGCTGGTGGTGAATCATCTGCTGCAGCGTAGCGAAGCGCAATTGTTAGCAATTGATACGGTTATAAGCAATGTTCAGCCTGGTCTCACTGCGTGGCGCGGAAGGTTGTTGCATGCTGATTTACACCGTTCGATCCGGGTTATTCCTGATGGCGTTTGGGATGGGTTTTATCTGGCGTTATTGAAAAAACCCGATTGAAACCTCTGTTTTACGGAATATATCGGTTATTATCCGATATATAAAGATTTGGTGAGAATATATGGAGATTCGTAAGACAAAACAGAGATATCGTGTGCTGCAGGTTCTTGCGCAGCAGAAAGTCTCACACGGCTTTGCAATTGCGACGAAAGCTCAGCTCCAGGTAGGCACGGTATACGGCATTCTTATGGCATCTGAAGAAGGCGGGTACGTAGCAGGCAGGTGGGACGAATCCGAGCCTTCTGGTCGACCGCGAAAAAAACTCTATCGTCTCACCGAGACCGGTGTTGACCTGCTGATGCAATATCAGGCGCATTTTCCTGCAGAGGAATCTTTAGGGTTCTTTGGCACCATTAATCGCGATCTGCACCAAGCGATAGATGAGGTGTGGGGCGGCATCTGGCAGGTCTCCGTGCGCCGAGAGCACGACAGGCAAAAAGCAGCTGCAGAGTCGGTAAAAAACGAGCGACGTAAGAACGCTTCGTCGGCCTGAATCAGATTGTTTTAGGCGAATCCAGGCTGATAAAGGTGGCCTGGCCGGGTCGTAAATCGCGCCAGTCCTGCTGAGTTGAAAACAACACGGTGCCAAATGTGACCAGATTGTCGGTGATCTGACTACTGCCTAACACGTTGGCCAGGTGGGTTAAGCCGGGGTTGTGCGCAACCACTGCAACGCTCTCCACCTCTTCAGGGGTTGATTGCAAGACGTCGAGCAATGCATCGGCAGAAGCCAGGTACAGACGTTTGTCTTCAACAAAAGTAGCATTGAAGCCACTGGTGACGTACGCCGCAGTCAGTTTTGCCCGCACAGCAGCACTGCTCCACACCCAAGTAGCCTTATGAGGTTGCTGACTGAACCAGGCTTGCATGGTCTCGCCGTCGCGACGACCGCGCTTGTTTAAAGCGCGGTCGAAGTCAGGCTGGCCAACTTCCGGATCTGCGGATTTGGCATGGCGGATCAGGCGTATATATCGCGTAGTGGTTTCTGTCATCGCTTCTTAGCCCGCCTCAGTCATACAGTGCAAATAGATCTTCCAGTGCCTGCAGCTGTCCACCTTTCACGGCAGAAGGCACAACAATCGGGGTCTTAATACCGGCGTCGAACCAGGCTTCAATGCCTTCACGCACTTCGCTGGCGCTGCCGGACAGAGTGGTGTCTTCCAGCCAGCGATCAGATAAACATTCAGGTACCCGATCCAGGTCTTTGGCAGCCAGCGCTGCTTCAACACCGTTCATCTCTTCTTCGTAGCCGGCTTCTTTCCAGTAGTTGCGATAGTTGGGTAGAAACGCGTAACTGGTCAGGGTTTTGCGATTGACCGCCATAGCCGCCTTTTTGTCGTCGTTGATGCAGGTCGGCACCATGTTACCGATAAAAAAGTCCGCTCCCATCCGGGCACCGTCAGAAAGCACGCCTAGGGAACTGGACATATGTGAACGGGCGCCGTTGGCAAATACCATACCCTGAGCAATTTCCTCCGCCAGGGCGATCATTTTGTTGCGTAATGTCGCCAGAACAATCGGCGGCATGTCGCCAACCCTTGGCACTGCGTGGATATCTTCCACAAACTGGCGCATGTCACCCAGTGGTTTGCCTTGTTTGATACCTAAACGGTCCATAGCAGGCGCATGGCTCACACCAACGCCAAAACGGAAGCGGCCATTGGAGATTTCGTGGATAAACCCTGCGGTGCCGGCAAAATCTGCAACGTTCCGAGTGTAAATAGGCGTGATGCTGGTGCCTATGTCGATACGATCGGTGGCCATTGCAATGGCGGTGCACAGTGACAGGCTATCGCCCAGGCTGGGGCCGTAGATGCCGGGGAATCCGCGTTTTTCGATTTCCTGAGCGATTTCGATAATGCGATGTCGGCGGCCGGGTACAGCTGCGAGGCTGACTGCAGGTAGTTGTGTCATGGGTGGTTCCCCTCACCTTTGATAAAAGAGCCAGCAAGAGTAAGGAACAACAGACAAAAACGCCACTGGCGCTCGGTGGAATTTTGCTGTTTCAGAACAGGCTGTGTTTTGCAGCCGGTCGACGTATCAGGTGTTTGCGCGCTGCAATCAGGTCGGGTCGTTTGAATACAGTGACCAGACCCACCCCAGCGACAAAACCGCCAACGTGCGCCCAGAAAGCAACACCGCCGCCGCTGGCACCAAGAGACCCAACACCTGATATCAGCTGCAGCAGAAACCAGTAGCCGAGCATAAAGATGGCAGGTACCGAAATGGTGGTCACATAGATGAATAAGATAATCAGCAGATGAACGCGTGCGCGTGGAAACAAGATGGCGTATGCACCCATGACACCGCCAATAGCACCGGATGCACCTACCATAGGTACCGTAGAACCCGGATCTGCCGCTATCTGGGCGCCGGCGGCGGCCAGGCCACACAATAGATAGAACAACACAAACCGGCCGGGACCCATAACATCTTCGACGTTGTCGCCAAACACCCACAAAAACAGCATATTGCCAATGATATGCAGCCAGCCGCCATGCATGAACATGGAGGTAAACAGACTGTTTAAGCTGCTATCGCCATCAAGACGACAGGCCCAGCCATCACCCAGGGGGATTTGCGTGCCGACGGGTACCGTACCCAGTAGATCCGCAGGTATCAGACCGTGCAGGCAGATACTCTGCCCCAGGGCTTCGCTGGCGCCGAACCCCTGCACAAATACCCACACAAACAGGTTCATGCCTAAAATGGCGTAGGTTGCAATCGGTGGCCGCAGGGTTGGGTTTTCGTCGCGAATGGGGAACATGCGATTTAGACCTCAGGGGCGGGGTGGCAGTTCCTCGAAGTCCCGCCAGTCTGCCCAGCGGCGCTTGCCGTGTGTCTTGATCATGGTGCGCTTGATGTCCGGGTAGTGAACGATATCTGTCGCCCAGCGCTCGCCGCCCATCAGATACACCAGGTCTTCCTGGTTTGGGTTGTGCAGGCTGTGTGCAGGTGAGGGTGCGGGAAATCCCATGAAATCCCCTGCACCAACGCTGAACGTTTCATCGCCAATTCTGGCTATGCCCTGACCGGAAAGGATGTAGATAAACTCTTCGTCAGCATCGTGGTAATGGTGGGTGGTGGAATCACAGCCGGTCTCTATGCGCACCAGATGGATGCCGATACGCTGCATGTCTGTGCCAGCAGTGAGGTTTTTTGTATGTCGGATGGCATTGTCGTTGAATTGGTGCTGGGTGCGGGTTTCGCGCTGCTTTTCGATATCAGCTGCGCGCAGCAGGTGTTTACTCATGGCCGGAATCCGCTTGTTGCAAACCCGAAGCATGTCGCTTTTTCAAGCCAAAAACAAAGTGTCTTCAGGTCAGCAGAGTTGTCAGTGTTTCCAGCAGACGCTGATTCTGCTCAGGTGTGCCAACAGTTATTCTCAATCGATTATCTAACCCCGGCGTATTGAAGTAACGCACCAGAATGCCAGCTTCTTTCAACAGGAGATAAAGTGCATTGGCGCTCTTAGGCAGCGCCGGCGGCACCTCAACCAGCAGGAAATTAGTCTGGCTGGGTGGTGATGGTAAGCCGAGCTGGGTGAGATTCTGCTGCAGGCTGTCTCTGGCCATCCGCACCTGATGCCAGGTCTGTTGTGCATAATCCTGGTCGTTGATGGCGGCCAGTCCAAGTGCCTGTGCGATATGATCGACATTGTAGCTGTCACGGGTTTTGCGGATGATCGGGTCGATCAGATCCGTGTTGCCTAACAGATATCCCAAGCGGAGGCCGGCGAGACTGTAACCCTTGCTGAAAGTGCGCAGGACCAGCACATTGTCATGGTTTAAGAGTAATTCCGAGCTGTTGTAATTCAGGTCGGGGTTAATGAAATCTGCATAGGCCTCATCAATCAACAACACACCATTCAGATTGTTTGCTAACTCAGATAATTTTGCCTGTGAATACAGCGTGCCGCTGGGCGCGTGAGGATTGACCACACAGGTCAGTTGCACGCCGGCACTGTTGAGTTGGCTGGTGAAGTCCGCGGGCCAGTTCCAGTCAGCCTGCAGGTCAACGGTAACCACCCGGGCGTCATGTATGGCGGCAAGTACCGGATACAGCGAGTAGCTGGGATTGGCCATGCCAAAAGACTGGCCAGGGTCAACAAAGGTGGTGATCGCCAGGCGCAAGGCTTCGTCACCCGCGTGAGTCACGACCACATTATCGCGCGTAAGGCCATGTGTTTGGGCTATCGCGTCGCGCAGTAAATCCGCCGTTGGTTGCGGATAGGTGCGTAACCGCGAAACATCAATGCCCACCAGTGCCTGTTGTACGGCTGGCGAAGGCGGATAGGGGTTTTCATTTGTGTTGAGTTTGATCGTCCGGGTATCCTCGGGCTGTTCGCCCCAGGTATAACCCTGCATCTGCGCAATGTTCGGCCTTTCGTGGCGACTCATGTGCGACTGTTGTCCTGGTCTTTTTCATCACCTGCATCAGCCGTGTCAGAAGCCGCTTTGATGATCTGTGCCTGTGTCTCATCCAGTGGCGGCAACGCATCAGCTGGACCTAACAGGTGAGCGATCCAACGAGTATCGGGATTGGCTTCAAGAGCAATTTTTGCCGTCATGGTCAGCGGCACAGACAGCAGCATGCCAACCGGCCCGAGCACCCAGCCCCACACAACCAGGGAGAGAAACACCACTAAGGTTGATAGCCCCAGGCCGCGACCCATAAAGCGGGGTTCAACCGCGTTGCCCATGATGATGTTGATGGCCAGGAAGCCTGCGGCGACCGCGCCAGCTGCGCCAAATCCAATCTGCACTAAAGCCAGGATAAGCGGAGGTACGGCTGCAATTATTGAACCTATGGTCGGAACATAATTGAGTAGAAAAGCCAGCAGCCCCCATAAAATAGGGAAGTCGACCCCCAGCAGCCAGAGGAACAGCGTCACAATCACGCCGGTGGCTACACTGACACTGGTCTTGATACCAATGTAGCGATTGACGTTTTCAGCAAACTGCGCGAAGTAAGGCAGATCCCGTTCTGGGTCGTTAAGCACATCTGATAGCTTGCGCGGAAAGCTGGCGGCTTCAGCAAGTATAAAGATCACCGTCAGCAGGATAAGAAAACTGTTACTCAGAACACCACCCAGACGTGCCAGCGTGGTACCCGCCATTTCCAGCGCAGTGTTCAGCGAAAAATTCTGATACAACAGTTCCAGTCTGACCTCGATCCCGGTGCGATCAATAATCGGCTGCAGCAAGCGGTTGGTGTCTTCCTGAAAAGCCTGCAGACGCTCCTGGTAGAACGGCAGTTTGGCGGTGAAGTCCGAGGCGGATTGAGTTACCAGGGCCCCTAACAGAAATACCAGCAGAACAATGAAGATCATGACAACAGGCAGAGAGAAAGCTGCGGGCAGGCCTTTTTTCTGCAGCCAGAACATGGGTGTTGCAGCGATAGTGGCAATAAAAGCAGCCAGTAAAAACGGCACCATAAGATCTTGAGAGGCTTTTAAGCCGGCAGCAATCACGACGATGGCCGCCAGCACGATGATGCCACTGCCCCGGAATTTTACTGAATCAGACATGCGCGCAGCCTACGTGAAGTGTCTGCGATTGGCGAGGCTGGGGATCTCGGAGCGAACCTGAAGGGTTTGTTCCGGGTCCACCTCCGCAATCACGTAGCCGTCACCGTCAGCCAGTTCAGCAACCACCTTGCCCCAGGGGTCGACGATTAACGAATGCCCGTAAGACGCGCGATGTCTGCTGTGCTGGCCATGTTGCGCGGGTGCGATGACATAACTCTGAGTTTCGATAGCGCGGGCCTTGAGCAGGGTATGCCAGTGCAGGGCTCCGGTGGTGGCGGTAAATGCTGAAGGCACTGACATGGCAATAGCACCCTGATCGGCAAGATTCTGATAAAGCATGGGAAACCGGACGTCGTAACAAACCGTCAAACCCAATCGACCAAACGAAGCGTCTACAACTACCGCCAGTTCTCCAGCTTCGGTCTGGCGTGACTCCTGCAGGGTTGGGCCGTCTTTAATATTGACGTCAAACAGATGGATTTTGCGGTACATCGCTTTGATGTTGCCATCTCGGCCCAGGTATACGCTGGTATTGAAACACTTGTCTGAGTTTGGTGACGATTCATGGAATCCGCCGAGGAGTAATTCGCAGTTCAAACGTTGCGCGAGCTGAGTGCAGCGATGAAAGATCGGTCCTCCGTCTGGTAGTGCCTCCAGTATCTCGCGTTTGCCGTCATGGCGGCCCAGATAAGCAAAGGCTTCCGGCCAGGTGATCACATCTGCACCTTCGCTGGCCGCCTGTTGTGACAGGGACTCCAAAGTGGCTAGATTTTTTTCCACATCGGTGGTTGCACAGTGCTGCACAACAGCAACTTTCTGTTTGGAGGCAGCCGGTAGTTGGCTTGTCATAGTTCAATCAGCTGGCTAGAAGTCCGCGGATTTTAGCCAGTAATTGCTCTGAGTTCAGCGGTTTTTCGAATATACCGGCCAGTTCCGCTGACGTGAGTGCGCTCTTGTCCAGATTGTTGGCGTTACCGGTTGTCAGCAGAATAGGCAGATCTGGGCGCAGCGCGTGGATGTCTTCAGCCAGTTCCAGGCCCGTACCTTGTGGCATCAGATAGTCTGTGATCACCAGATCAAAAGCATCCGGATTTGCTACAAATGTTTCTAAAGCTTCCGTAGGCATCGTCGCAAAGGTGGTGTGATAAGCCTCATTTTCAAACAGCGATTGCAGATAGCTCGCAACGGATGGGTCGTCTTCAATCAGTAAGATGCGTTTGTGTGTATCTGTTGCACCCAACGCCACGGTTGCATTGTGTGGCAGGTAGATGGTGAACCGCGCCCCGCCGTCCGCGCGATTGCTGGCATGTACGTGACCGCCATGTTCGTGCACGATGCCGTGCACAACCGACAGCCCCAGCCCTGTACCTTGACCTACTTCTTTACTGGTTTGGAATGGCGTAAACAGGTTCTCTGCGCTGCCCGATATACCGGCGCCGTTGTCTTCGATTTTGATTGCGATGTAGTCGCCGTTGAAACGCGTCAGGCACGAGGTACAGCGCAAACCTTGCAGCTTTTCCTCTTCGAGGTAGATATCAATCTGGCCGCGGTTGTCCGTTGCCTCTGCTGCATTGATAGATAAGTTAACCAGCACCTGCTGCAGCTGTTCAGGGTCGATTGATAAACGTACAGACTGCTGCGGGATATGTGTTTGTATTTTTACAGTGGCTGGCAGGCTGCCTCGGAGTAGCTCGCCGGACTGTTCCAGAACCTGGCCAAGGTTGAGTTCACGAGGTGCTGAACTGGTGCTGCGACTGTAGGTGAGCAGCTGTCTTACCAGATTAGCGCCACGTTCGCCCGATTGTTGGATCTCACCAATGTAACGCAGCAGCGTAGCCCGGTCTGAGGCGGCAGTTTTGTCCCGCGCCAGTTCGGCGAAGCCGAGAATGCTGGCGAGAATATTGTTGAAGTCGTGGGCAAAGCCACCGGCCAGTTGGCCGATGGTTTTAAGTTTCTGCGCCTGTTGTAGAGACTTCTGTAACTGGCGATGTTCTTCAGCCAGAGCCGAGGCGGTGCGTAATTCGTGATTACGCCTTACCAGCTCCTGGGATTGGTTGAATGCGGCAAAACGAGCTTCTTCGTTGGCGCGCAGCTGTCTTACCAGCCCGGCAGCGAGGAGTATCAACTCTGCCAGTGAGCCAATGTGAATGCCATGTTGCAACATCGGGTGTGGCGCCAGCCAGCCCATCAACATACTCATGTGGGAAAATGCACCGATAGCAAACACGCCATTAGCGGCGAGAAAGAGCCCGCCGTTGCGTATGCCTTTCAAGGATGTGTTGATGCCAATAAACAGCAGTGCGGACAGCACCACAAAGCTCATGATTGTTTGCAGCACATAAGCATTGTTACCCGGCCACAGGATGACCATGAACATAGTCAGCCCCGTCATCCCTTGTATCGTTCTGCGGATCAACCGGCAGTGTCTGATGTGGCTGGTGTTGAGGAAGCGGTTGGCGAACTCAAGTAACCAGATAAAACCCAACCCCCACCCCAGGCCAATAACGTAATCCTGGATGATGGGTGTTTCGTTCCACAGAAAAACCGCGCCGGTGCCGTCTGCAGTTGATAAGAATGCGACCAGGGATCCGGCATACAGAGTGTAGTACAGGTAAGCTCTGTCGCGGGTGCCAAAAAAGATCGCCAGGTTGTACAGAATGATGATAAGCAAACCACCGTAGTACATGCCGTGGAAAGCGGTGAGCTTTGTGCTTCTGGCGGTAAACGCCGCAGCCGCGGACAGGGTCACTGGAAAATAAGACGCCGATAGAGCGTGATCGTAGATATAAACTTCGTCGACGTTTGAGCGCAGGCCCACCGCAAAATTGGTGCTGCCGATGGGGCGATTCACAGCAGGTCGGCGATTACCCATCTCGTATTTTTCGTGGACGACCCCATCTGATAGTGAATACACATCGATGGCCGCAAGCCACGGGTTTTCGATACTGAAGGCGCGTACGTAATCGACTGCAGGGATCTGGTAACGCAACCATTTCGGCTGGCTGTCATAGGAAAATGATGCGATCCCGGACCCTTTGATCCAGCGCTTGCTGCGCTGTGCCTCTGCCAGAGTAGCTGCATTCTCAGCAGGCAACACTTCCCAGGGAACGTCCCAAGTTATCTCAGTCTTGCTCTGAGCAGAGGCGTTTGTGCCAAAGAAGGTCACAATACCCAGAAACAGGCAAAGTGAAACAATGCTTATGAGCAAACGGTTCAGAAGTACTCCCCAATATAAAACGATATCTGAATTCAACCGGTGCTTAAAACGTCCATTGACCGGCTCAGATAACCTGCGTTCCTGCAGGCAGACTTCAAGCTGCGCTTATGCGGGCAGCTCTGGAATAGTGCAGTCTACCTTCATGCCCAGGTATTGCTCAATGGGCTGCAAGTTGAAGGCGTCGTCTTCAGAAACAAAACTGATGGATGTACCCGTTGCGCCGGCTCGCCCGGTGCGGCCGATACGGTGCACATAATCTTCCGGGTCTTCCGGCAGTTCGTAGTTTATGACGTGTGTAACGCCATCGACGTGAATCCCACGGCCGGCCACATCTGTGGCCACCAGGAATTTCAAGCTACCTTCTTTAAAGCGATTTAAGGTCGACAGACGTTTGCGCTGGGGCACGTCACCTGCCAGGGCCTCACAATCAATGTTGTTGTTCTGCAGGTATTTGACAACTCTGTGTGTCTGATCGCGTCGATTGGCAAAAATAATTGCGCGTTCCGTGTCGGTATTACGCAGCAAATTCAATAAAGCGCTGTCTTTTTCGTCTCGTCCGATCATCCAGAATTTCTGGTCGACCGTGTCTGTCGCCACACTTTCAGGCTCGATAACAATATGTTCTGCATCAATGGTCCAGGATTCCGCCAGGCGCATGACGTCATCGTTAAAGGTCGCGGAGAAAAATAACGTCTGACGGGTTCGTTTGTGTGGGGTCTGAAAGACAATACGGCGCACATCTGGGATGAAACCCATGTCCAACATACGGTCGGCTTCGTCGATAACCAGCACTTCAACATGTTTCAGCGAAATCTTGTTGCGGTCTAAAAAGTCGATCAGACGACCTGGGGTAGCCACCAGCAGGTCGACGGGTTTCTTTTCAAGTTTGTCGAGCTGCTTCTGGAAGTCCATGCCACCGACAACACAGACGGTACGTTCGTCCATGTACTTGGTCAGGCCTTTGGCATCACCTTCTATCTGCAGCGCTAATTCTCTGGTTGGAGCCAGGATCAGTGCTCTGGGACATCCCAGTGGGGGAACTTCTTTTAATGGGTTTTCCCAGAAGCGTGTCAGCACGCCAATCAGGAAGGCAGCGGTTTTACCGGTGCCGGTCTGCGCCTGTCCCGTGACATCGTAGTCTGACAGCGCAAACGGCAACGTCTTACTTTGTATTGGGGTGCAATACTCGTAGCCCAGATCTGCAATGGCCTGCATGAGCGGCATAGGCAGGGCAAAGTCGTGAAAGCGATCTTTGTCCGCGACTTCGGGTACTGCAAATTCTTCTAGCTTCCAATCGGACATATGACCTTCAGGGTTATGATTTCATTTGTTCACGTACACTCACCAGTTTCACACACAACGTGAGGATTTGCATGGCAGTCCGCAATTCTTCGATGGATGCAAAAGTGGGTGCAATACGTATGTTGCAATTATCTGGATCCTGCCCATAGGGGTAGGTTGCGCCAGCGGGGGTAAGCGTCAGGCCGACGTCTTTGGCCATGCTTACAATCGTTTGCGCAAGCCCGGGATTAACGTCTAAGGAGACGAAGTAACCGCCACCGGGTTTGGTCCACTGCGCGATATCGAGATCACCGAGTTCTTTGCTTAAGGTGTCTTCGACAATTTCAAATTTTGGTTTCAGCAGCGCGGCGTGAGCCTGCATATGTTGTTCCAGGCGACCGCCCAAAAAACGGGTATGACGCAGCTGATTAACTTTGTCGGGGCCGATCATCATGAAGCCCAGGCGTTCTTCCAGGGCTTTAAGTACGCGCTCACTTGAAGCAACAAAGGCAACGCCTCCGCCGGCAAAGGTGATTTTCGAGGTGCTGGCAAACTGAACGATATGATCCGCGGTACCGGCTGCCTGGGCGGCATCGAAGATAGATTTCAACGCCTGTCCGGGAAAGTTGAAGTCGTGCACGGCATAGGCGTTGTCCCACAATACAACAAAGTCGTCTGCCGCTGCAGCATCTGGCAATGCAGCCATCTCGTCGACGACCACGTCGCTGTAGATACAACCCGTCGGGTTCGAATACTTCGGTACACACCAGATGCCTTTGATTGATGCGTCGGCGCTTGCCAATGCGCGAACCTGTGCCATATCCGGACCGTCAGGCCCCATGGCGACAGGTATCATCTCGATGCCCAGAGACTGCGTAAGCGCAAAATGCCGGTCGTAGCCCGGTGCCGGGGCCAGGATTTTAACAGGATTGGAGTTGGACCATCGTCGCTGATCACCCCAAAGGCCATATGTCAGTGCTGTTGCAGTCACAAGATGCATCAGGAATAAGCTTGAGTTACCGCCTGCGATAATGTTCGCGGCCGGCACGCCCATGAGTTCTTCACCCAGAGCGCGCCCATCAGCAATCCCTCGAATTTCACCATAGTTGCGTACGTCGGTACCGGTGCTGTCGAAATAGTCACCGGCAATCACGTCTTCCATTTTGTCAGAGAGTGCAACCTGGTCGGCTGCGGGTTTGCCGCGGCTCAGGTTCAGCGCTACCGGGTTGCCTTTGATAAGTTCATATTCCCGGTTCAGCTCGGTATGCAGCTCGGATAGTTGTGTCTGCGTGAAGTCAGATAATCGTTTTGATTGACTCATAATCCGGTTTTTTCCTCGAAACCTAACATCAGATTCAAATTCTGCACGGCTGCGCCGGCTGCGCCTTTGCCGAGATTGTCGTAACGCGCGACCAGCAGGTACTGATCATCATTGCCAAACACCATCAGCTGCATGTTGTTAGTGTCGTTGCAGACTGTTGGATTCAAGAATCCGTCGATCAACATACTGTTGTCCAGTGGCAGGACGCTGACAAAAGATTCACCTGCATATCTGGCGGTAAGTATATCGTGAAGTTCGGATTTGCTGGCATGACCAACTTCCTGACGAAACAGCGGAATCTGTACCAACATGCCTTTGTAGTAGTTTGCCACCATGGGCGTGAACAAGGGGGCATCGCGCGTTGTGCTGTAGTGGTGCATCTCAGGCACATGTTTGTGCTGCAGGGTTAACCCGTAAGCCTGACTGTTGTATTGGTCTTGCTGGGTGCGGTCAAATGCGCGGAACTTTTCTACCATCTGTCGGCCGCCCCCCGAAAAGCCTGATACCGCATGACAACGCAGGCTAGTGGCCGCTGCCAGTAAACCAGCTTCGATGAGGGGTCGAGTCAGCAGAATAAAACCCTGCGGGTAACAACCTGGGTTGCTGACATATTGTGCGCTTTGGATGTGCGATCTCTGCTGCGCGTTGAGTTCGGGTAAACCATAAACCCAGTCTGGATCGGTGCGGTAGGCGGTTGAAGCGTCCAGAATCCGGGTTTTACCCGCGGCCAGCGCAACGGCTTCACGTGCGGCGGTGTCGGGTAAACACAGTATGGCGACATCTGCACTTTGCAGGTACTGGCGCCGTGCATCCTGATCTTTGCGCTCGGCATCACTGATTTTCAGCAGTTTTAGATCTTTGCGTGGTGCCAGGCGACTGGTAATTTCCAGTCCAGTTGTACCTGCTTGCCCGTCGATAAAAATAGTGGCCATAGTAGTGCTGATGGGAAAGTGTGTTCCCGTTAAATTTGGCGCGGAAGTGTACGGTGTCGCCCCGCGTAAGTTAACTAAAATATTAAACCACCAGGCGCGCAAGGCTGCGCTGTGCTAAGTGTATTCAGGTGTCCAGCGTGCGCCAGAAGCGGCGTAATAATTGCCAGCAGAGCCACAGTGTGGCAATCGGAAGCAGTAACGTCTGCAGCAGAAAGATAACAATCAGGTTAATCATTTCTTCGATGCTGTTTTCCACCTGTTGCTCCATCTCGTTGAGTTGGGCTTTGAGGTCCAGGGTCTGGCTCGAACTGTCGAGGAACTCACGTATGCCGGCGGCAGTGCGATCAAACAGGTCAGCTTCCATATCGGCGGGTGCGGCTGCAATCTCGTTGTCCTGCATGCTCTGGATATGCGTTTTGGTATAGCTCAAGTTATCCATCGCCTCATTTTGTCGGGCGTCGAGAAAATAGGTGTCCAGCAGATGGGTTGCCAGCAGCATAACGGCAAGCATAAACCGGAGAAATATAACCAGGCCCAGAAATTTGCCCAGCCACGGAGCTCGTGTTTGTTGTAGATGATGTGGCGTTCGCCAGAGCATTATCAGATAGGCCAGACCGGCCATACTCAAAATGCCGGATAGCCATGGGGAGGCAAACATTTCGCTTAAAGTCAGCTGTACACCCAGAGCAACGCTGGCAATCAACGCCAGGGCGGAAAAACGTTCAACCAGATCATTCAGTGGATCGAGGATCTGGCCCAGGGTTAAGGTTACGCCCACGCCGACCGGTGCAATGGCTACTTCGGTGCCCTGAGCGACAGATATAACGCCATTAAAGCCTCTAGCGATGGCGGCAACCGCCAGCGCGCGCTGGAAATTATCCAGCGTAGCGCTGCGCGCAGCATGATCGAGTTGGCCGCTCCAGGAGAGGCTGATGATGGCGATCAGAACAACGCTGACCAGCCCTTTTATCCAGACTGTTTGGTTAGGCAAATATAGCTAAGCCATCTGCCCCACATTCTTCTGCGAGGAGTGCGAGGACGATGTCTGTTTTTGACTCAGGAACAGTGATTCTAACTTTTCTGCGATCACATTGGCTAAATTAGTACGATCCAGCTCGGACATGTTGGGAATAGACTTTGGATGGACGCGATGCAGGTGTAATACCGGCCAGGATTGCTGGAGTTCACGCAAATCACCCTTGGCCAGCACTGGTAAAAAAGGGTCGCTCTCCGGGCGGGAGGCGATAATGGCGCGCAACCCTTCGACAAACGGCACCTGTCGGCGTCCCAGTGACCGGTCCTCGTCGACGTTGGCCAGATACAGACCTTCGCGGTCAATCAGTTCGCCAGGAATGATATTGAGCCCTGTCGCGGTAATGGCTGACCGGGAGACGTGGTAAAAAGTGTCATGGTAGGCGGCAGCATCAGGCAGGATGACCAGTTTACGATCCCAGTCATCCGGGAAAAACATGTTGTAGGTGCTGTAGATCTGTTCAACCGAGGGTGAATAGACGCACAGGGTGGTTTCAAACTGGCGCACGAAATCCATTGCTCGCTCAGCTTGCGTAAATTCGTCCAGATCCCAGGCGAGATCAGAATTACCCGGCAGTTCAGTAGACATAGCACATCCTTTTGTCGCTATAGTCCAGTGTACTTGGGTCTGTGTTCAGCTTTGAGGGGCGTCTGAGTAGAGTGTGAAGCACGGCACATTTTTGCCGTCCTAAATTCACGAATCGGCTGCCCGCGCAGCGTCGGCGTCCAGTTCGTTCAGTGAAATATCTGCATAATATCTTCGCGCCAGGTGGATGAAGCGTAGCGTTTTACCTGCGTCAAACCACTGTGTAAGTATCAACGCCTTTTGTCCGGGAGTGGGATACTTTGCCTGCAGCTTTGGTATCAGCTGTTCAATGCCCAGTTCACCCAGCAGTCGGGTCGCGCGATCGTCTGCCAGTTCAGCGCCGGCAGCGACCGCCTGCAGATGTCTGAGCGCGGTGGCGAGTAGTTTAAAACTGTCCGGGTGATACGTCGTAAAAAAAGCGCCGCTAGAGTCGCGCTCGAAGCCTTGCATAATTTTCTGCAGGGCGGGTCCAGTGCCAAATGGTACACGGTGGGAAAGGCGGGCCTGAATACTTACCGTCACTTCCGGTTTGCAAGTCACCTGACTGACTTTGGCAATCTTGTCGAGCAGATAGAAATCTTCTGCGCCACTGCGTTTTGGAAATCCTCGTACCAGCGCGTAGTCCTGCACATGAACAGCCATAGTGCTACCCAGGGTAGGATAGGCGTAGCGGGAGCCGGCCTGTTGCAGGCCGTGAACGTAGTGATGCATGTGCCGTTCGTAAAAGTTGGCAGCTTTCTGCATCAGCGGATCCGGACTGTTGTGCCGGAAAGCAAACACAACCGCACCGCGAGCTGGAAGTTTTGTCGAAAAGTAGTTTGGAGGTAAAACGCTATCGGCGTCGCATTGGTATAGCCATGGACAGCTGATTTTACCTGTCAGCCACAAGCGACAGGCAGCATCGTTACCAATCTTGCGGGCTAGGCCAACCCCTTGCTTTGTCGGCAGCGGATGGCTGACCGCATCGATCGCCCAACAATCTACCGGGCAGATAGCCTGTGCTGTCTGCAGCAGAGCCTGGGTGCGCCTGCGTTCGGTGTTCGAAGCGCCCGCCGGCGCGTTGACAACCGCGATAACCAGTATTTTCAGGTGTGTATTGTTTTGCAGCAACCGCGCCAGAGATTCAGGCGGTTCATCGAACATCGGCACTATAAGCACGAAGTCATAGTCGCTTTGGGGCAGATCGGGTGCGGCAGCTTCGGCGTAGCCGTCCAGATAGCGGGCAACGGCTGTTTGCGAAGATGTTGGTCGCGTCACAGGTCAGTGCAGAGCAGCGCGATACGGCAGGCTCAACATGATTTCAGACTCAGCCACTGTCAATTCGCGAAACCGGGCAGTGACCTCAGGCTGATCACAATGGCGCCAGGCGAGGGTGTAAAAAAGCGTCCAGTGCCGAGCTTCGCTGGCGGCTATGGCCTGGTAGAACTTCTGCAGCATCGGATCGGTTACCGCCTCAGCGATACAGCCGAATCGCTCAGCTCCGCGTCGTTCCACAATGGCGCCCAGCAGCAGGCGGTCCATCAGGAACACGTCTGCCCCTTTGCGCACCAGGCGATTCAGCGTGTTGACGTACGGATCTTTGGTGTCAGGTCTCGGGCTGACGCCGCGTTGTAACATCAGGCGAATGACTTCGCGATAGTGGCTCAGTTCCTCAACGGCAAGGTCGGCCATGGCGCTGAGCAGTTCCGGCTTGTCCGGATAGTGTGAAGCCATGCTCATGGCCATCCCTGAAGCCTTTTTCTCGCATGAAGCATGATCGGCGAGGAAGCAGTCGAAGTCGGCCAGGACGCTATCCAGCCAGGCTCCGGGGCTTGGTTCGAGTGGGTCGATCAGGGAAAAATCTGGTTCAACCATGTCGCGATATCTTGTATTTCCTGAGGGCAGACCTGGTGTCCCATGGCATATTCATGCCACTGCACAGCATAGTTCAAACCCAGCAGTGTTTCTCGTGCGGTGATGGCTCGGGTAATTGGGATCATCGGGTCGGATAGTCCGTGTGCCATGAAAATTGGCGTGTCGACGTTGGCAAAATCCAGCCGATTGGCAATATTTTCGTGGTCGTGCAGATAGGTGGACAAAGCCATGATGCCCGCCAGCTTCTTGTTATAGGCCAGTCCCAGATGCAGGGCGATAACACCGCCTTGAGAAAATCCTGCCAACACGATCTGGCTGGCGGGTATGCCTGCGTCGACTTCAGCCTCTATCAGCCTGGCAATGCCTGCAGCTGAGGCTTCGATGTCTTCACCGCCGGCCAATGGTGCGCCCGGGTCAATGTCGTACCAGCCACGCATTTCCGCGCCACCATTAATGGTAATGGGGCGTATCGGTGCATTGGGAAAGACAAACTTCAGGCTTCTATGCAGAGAAAGCATCGGCACGATCGGTTCGAAATCTGAAGCATCCGCCCCCAACCCATGCAACCAGATCACACAGCCGCTGGGGTCAACTCCGGTTTCAACCGTCAGACATTCAAGTTGTTCTGCCATACCATCAGTCCACAGAGTTATGTAAGAAGCTGGGCACCTTAGCGATAATTTCTTCTCTGCTCAATGAAACGATCAATGACAAGCTCGTGCAACTTGCCCCATGCGCAGCCATAATAGGACTATGGAAGATGGTTTAGATAGAGGCGGCAGTAAAGATCTGCGTCGGTTACACCCTGCGCTGGCATTTTTGCGCCCGTATCGCGCGCAGGTCGTATACGCAAGTATCGCTCTGGTCGTCACGGCGGGTGCAACCTTGTCTTTAGGGCAGGGTATCCGTCTGGTCATAGACAGTGGCTTTGCCAGCGGTGATGCAGATGTACTCGTCAACTCTTTAAGTCTGTTTGCGGCGTTTGTTCTGATATTGACCATCGGTACGTTTGTCCGCTTCTACTTTGTTTCCTGGGTGGGAGAGCGGATAAGTGCAGATATCCGCACTGCCGTATACAGTCATCTTGTGCACTTGCATCCCGGCTTCTTCGAATCCAATGCGCCCAGTGAAATCCAATCTCGTATCACCACAGACACGACGTTACTGCAGACCGTGATCGGTTCTTCAGTCTCGATTGCTTTGCGTAACATCCTGATGTTTATCGGCGGTGTGATTCTTTTATTTATTACCAACGCGAAGCTGTCTTTGATTGTGCTCGCCAGTGTCCCGTTTGTGGTGATCCCTGTGATTCTGTTCGGCCGCCGGGTACGTAAACTTTCCCGTACCTCTCAGGATCGCCTGGCTGATGTCGGCAGTTATGCCGGCGAGTCCTTGCGTCATATTAAAATTGTGCAGTCATTTAACCATCAGCAGGCGGATGAGGTGGCCTTTGCCAACCGTGTGGATCAGGCTTTCCATGTTTCGGTGCAACGTATTCGTCAGCGTTCATTTCTGGTGGCCATTGTCATGCTGCTGGTTTTCGGCGCGGTCGCGACCATGTTGTGGGTTGGTGGGCAGGATGTGTTAGCAGGCCAGACGTCGGCAGGAGAGCTTGCAGCTTTTATTTTTTACGCGTTCATAGTAGCGGGCTCTGTGGGTGCTATCAGCGAGGTGCTTTCGGATCTGCAACGCGCAGCAGGGGCAACGGAAAGGTTGGTTGAACTGTTGGAATCTCCCAGCGAAATTACGGAAATTTCTGCGCCGAAACCCCTGCGCAGCGACAACGTTGGCCTCAGTTTTGTTGATGTCAGTTTCAGCTACCCAACCCGTCCTGATGAGCAGGTACTGCACAACGTCAGTTTTAAAACAGAGCCCGGAGAGATGCTTGCTCTGGTGGGGCCCTCGGGTGCAGGTAAGAGCACAATATTTGACCTTATTGAACGTTTTTATGATCCAACGGCAGGTCATGTTGAGGTCAACGGCACAGACATTACACAGCTTAAACTGCAGGACTTGCGTCAGACGGTTGGTTTTGTACCGCAGGATCCAGTGCTGTTTGCCGGTACCCTGAGAGACAATCTGGTTTATGCCAATCCGCATGCCACCGACGCCGAGATCGCCCAGGCTTTACAGCTTGCTTACGCGGAACAGTTTGTTGCGGATTTAGCCTCCGGGTTGGATACCAAGGTGGGTGAGGGCGGTGTCGGTCTGTCTGGTGGGCAACGTCAGCGCCTGGCAATAGCGCGTGCGTTGTTGTCGAAACCAGCGGTGCTGTTGCTGGATGAAGCGACCAGCGCGTTGGATGCAGAAAGCGAAAACCACATCCGCTTGAGTATCGATGGGTTAAAAGGTCGGATGACTATTCTGGTGATTGCTCATCGGCTGTCCACGGTCAGGCAGGCAGATCGAATACTGGTGCTTGAGAGCGGCAGGGTTGTGGGCAGTGGTTCACACGATCAATTGCTGAACTCATCTGCTTTGTATGCGCGTTTTGCACAAATGCAGTTTGCTGCTTAAGTTTCCCCTGCCTCGTCGCTTGATTTGTCGAACAGGCCAAGCTGATCTGCATCATTATCGCTTTTTAATTTTACCCCCACACCCAGCAGGCGGACGGGTTTAGCCTGTCTCTGCCAGGCGGTAGAAAATAATTGTTCGTAGTCCTGCACCCTGGTGGTGAACCCTGTGCTGGCAACGGTTGTTGTCTCAAAACCAGTAAATCGTACTTTCATGAAGCGCCCGGCAATCTGGCTTCGGCAGTTGGCGCGGGTGATTCGAGCTTCTAATTCGGCAACCAGCAAGGTCAGTGCTGCCAGGCACGCTGGCTGGTCTGGTAGATCCTGCGCGTAAGTGCGTTCAGCTGAGAGAGACTTGCGTTTGCGGTGAGTTTTCACTTCCCGCTCGTCAATGCCACGACTCAATTCGAACAGGCGTATCCCAAACTTACCAAAGTGGCGGGTCAGTTCAGTAACGGGTTGTTCCCGCAGATCGCCACAGGTCAGTAAACCCAGGCGCGCCATTTTTTTGGCGGTCACAGTGCCGACGCCAAACAACTTTTCCACCGGCAATTGTTCGACAAAGGTGGCCACTTCATCTGGCGTAACCGTGAACTGGCCATCGGGTTTGTTCCAGTCCGATGCAATTTTTGCGAGGAATTTGTTGGGCGCGATTCCGGCTGAGATGGTGATGCCCACTTCGTTGCGTACGCGATTGCGTATTTCTGTGGCGATCAGGGTTGCGCTGCCCTGGGCGATTGTGCAGTCGCTAACATCCAGAAAGGCTTCGTCCAGCGATAGTGGTTCTACCAGGTGTGTGAAGTCGTGAAAAATCTCTGAAACCCTGGCTGATTCCTGCTGATACTTGCGCATATTCGTGGGCACGATGACCAGATTCGGGCAGGCGCGCATCGCTTGACTCATTGGCATCGCAGAATGCACGCCGTATGCGCGAGCCTTGTAATTGCAGGTTGCAACCACACCTCTTTTGTTGGGGCTGCCACCTACCGCAATTGGTAGATCTTGGAGTTCCGGATTATCCCGCATTTCTACTGAAGCATAGAAGCTGTCGCAGTCGCAGTGAATGATTTTTCGCATCAGCTAACCCTATCTCAAAACAAACTTTGAGAGCAGACCAACAAAAACGTTTAATCGAATTGGTTTTTGCTGGGCGTATTGGTTTAGAATGCGCCCCGTCCAAAACGGTCGGCTGGATACATTTAGCTTAAGTGGCATTGGAAATTGAGCTGAAACCGACACGTAAATGGACCCGAAGATAAGAAAATAGAATTATAAAACACAGACTGTGCTCCGCGCGTAATGAACAAAATCGGCGCATTTTTAAAGTTGAGGTAAACATATGGGTCCACTATCGGGGTTCAAAATCATCGAGTTGGCTGGAATAGGTCCTGGTCCTTTTTGCGGCATGATGTTGTCCGACATGGGGGCCGAAGTCATCCGAGTGGAGCGTATCAGCGGCGCAGACAAGGCGCCAAAGGACGTGCTGGCGCGAAATCGCCGTTCAGTTGCCCTCGATCTGAAAAGCCCGGAAGGTGTAGAAACAGTTTTACGTCTTGTCGAGTCAGCCGACGCTTTATTTGAGGGGTTCCGCCCTGGTGTAACAGAACGCCTGGGGTTGGGGCCTGACGTTGTACTAGCGCGCAACCCTAAACTGGTCTACGGCCGGATGACGGGTTGGGGGCAGGAAGGTCCGATGGCACAAGCTGCGGGGCACGACATTAACTACATCGGTTTGTCCGGTGCGCTGCATGCGATTGGCCGCCAAGGTGAACGTCCCGTGCCCCCCCTTAATCTGGTGGGTGACTTCGGCGGCGGCGGCATGTTGTTGGCTTATGGTCTGGTCTGCGGCATGTTGGAAACCCAACGCTCAGGCAAAGGCCAGGTTGTGGATGCCGCGATGGTAGATGGATCCGCTGCTTTAATGGCCATGTTCTTTTCGTTTGCAGCATCTGGTGCGTTCACCGACCAGCGGGGCACTAACCTGCTGGATGGCGCGGCTCATTTTTACGACACCTATGAAACCAAAGACGGTAAACATGTCTGTATTGGTTCGATCGAACCGCAGTTTTATGCGTTGTTGATTGAAAAGGCCGGTCTGGATCCGGAAAAATACGCCAAGCAGATGGATCCAACTCAGTGGCCTATTTTGAAAGCGGACCTCACTGAAACGTTCAAGACCAAAACCCAGGCACAATGGTGCGAGATCATGGAAGGTACTGACGTCTGCTTTGCGCCGGTATTGAGCATTTTTGAAGCACCCGAACATCCGCACAACAAAGCACGAAATAGTTTTATGGAAGTCGATGGCGTTATGCAGCAGGCACCTGCGCCCCGCTTTTCCAGAACTTCCCCCGAAATTTCTCATGGCGCTAGAGTGCCTGGTCAAGACACGTTATCTGTCTTACAGGATTATGGCTTCAGCACTGATGAAATAGCCGCGTTGCAGGCTGAAGGCGTTATCGCCGGCTAGCTGCACGCATCGACTCGATCAAGTCGACAATTAAAACAGTCCCACGACAATAAAGAGAAGGAACACAAATGAGTGTAGAACTTTTAGACAACCCGCGTTTTCATGGTTTCAGAGTACGCCGCCAGATTGATGGCAAAACCTACCAGGAGTATTTTTCGCTGAAAGAAAATGGCAAACGCCTGCGTGGTGCAAAACGCGCTGCCGTTAAAGAGATCGCGGAAAAACGCGATGCAGAATTGTCAGGGCTGCAGCAGAAAAGCAAAGACAAAGCAGATAAGGAAATTCAGCTGGATGATAACGGACAGGTCAAAGGTATTCTTTGCCGTCTGAAGAAAGAGAAAAGCGGCACCATGACGCCGGTTTTTCAGGTTGGCATCATGTCTCGCGTCAGCGGCAAGATTGTGAACACGACAGTATCTCTGAACAAGCATGGTATACCTGGTGCCTGGGAGAAAGCGGTAGATTTTTACTGCACTCACAAACAAATCAGCAAACGCTCAAAAATCTATAAAGATCTGCTGGCACGCTGTCCTAAGAAAGCTCAGGTAACCAAGTTCCTGAAAGCAGCAGGTTAGACTGATAACGCACTGACGGGGCAGATATGGGCTACGCTGAGATCTATCAACACTCGCTCACGGATCCGGAAGGATTCTGGGCGACTCAGGCGCAGCTCATCCCCTGGTTTGAACCACCCGAAACCATTCTTGATCAGGACCCAAACGGCGCCTGGCGTTGGTTTCGGGGTGGTAAACTGAATTCGTGTTATGTCGCGCTAGATCAACACGTAGCTGCTGGTCGCGGTGACGCAACCGCACTGATCTACGATTCCCCCGCCACCAATACCGTGGCCCATTATAGTTTTTCTCAGCTCACTGCCTGGACTGCTCAAGTTGCAGGTGCATTGCAGCGGCTCGGTGTTGGCAAAGGTGACCGGGTTGTGATTTATATGCCGATGATTCCGGAAACCGCAGTCGCCATGCTTGCCTGTGCGCGTATTGGTGCGGTGCACTCGGTGGTATTCGGCGGTTTCGCAGCACCGGAGCTGGCGATGCGCATTGATGATGCAACGCCTAAGGTTGTGCTCTCCGCCTCCTGTGGCATTGAGTTCGATCGCGTTATTGAATATAAACCGTTGCTGGATGAAGCGATCACCCTGGCAGATCATAAGCCTGACCATTGCGTTATTGTGCAACGGCCGCAGGCACAAGCCGCTTTAACTGAACCTCGAGATCTGGATTGGCAGTCCTGGCAGGACGATCCCGACGTAGTACCCGCAGATTGCGTAGCGGTGGACGCCACCGATCCACTTTATATCCTCTATACGTCTGGAACGACCGGTAAACCTAAGGGCGTGGTCCGGGATAATGGTGGTCATGCCGTTGCTCTGAATTACAGCATGCAGGCCATTTATGGAGTAGATGTCGGTGACGTTTACTGGGCCGCTTCAGATGTCGGTTGGGTCGTAGGCCATTCATATATCGTTTACGGACCTCTGTTTCGCGGCTGTACCACCGTTTTGTATGAAGGCAAGCCTGTGCGCACCCCTGATGCAGGTGCGTTCTGGCGGGTGTTAGCGCAGCATAAAGTGAAAAGTTTTTTTGTTGCGCCGACGGCGTTCCGGGCGATCAAAAAAGAGGATCCGGATTGTCTGTTGAAGCAGAAATACGATCTGTCCAACTTAAAGTATCAGTTTGTTGCCGGCGAGCGACTGGATCCACCGACCTATCACTGGCTGCAGGAACACCTGCCCGGTATTCCCATCATCGATCACTGGTGGCAGACGGAGACCGGCTGGTCCATGTGTACCAACATGGCTGGCGTGGAATTACTGGAAACCAAAGCCGGTTCTCCAACGCTGCCCGCGCCTGGTTATGACATCCGCATACTCGACGATGATGGCAAAGAGCTGGGTCCCAACAGCGAAGGGTCTATTGTGGTCAAAGCGCCGCTGCCGCCAGGTTCTTTTCCAACGGTTTGGGGTGACCACGATCGGTTTGTGGAAAGCTACTGGTCGCAATTTCCCGGTTTCTATCTGACCGGCGATGGGGGCTATCGCGACGAAGACGGGTATCTCTTTGTGATGGGTCGCATTGACGATGTGATTAATGTGGCGGGTCATCGATTGTCCACGGGCCAGATTGAAGAAGTTGTTGCCGAGCATGCCGCCGTGGCGGAATGCGCGGTTATCGGCATCAACGATGTCGACAAAGGGCAGGTGCCTATGGGTCTGCTGCTGTTGAAAGATGGTGTCAACATCAGCGCCGAGGATCTGCAGGCTGAGCTGGTGACCATGGTGCGTCAGAATGTGGGGGCTATTGCAAACTTCAAGCGCGCTGTTGTTGTTTCGCGCCTGCCCAAAACGCGTTCCGGTAAAATTCTGCGCAAAGTGATGCGCAAGATGGTTGATGGAGAACAATACACTGTGCCCTCAACCATTGATGATGTTTCGATTATTGCTGAACTTGAAACGACTTTGCGGGCAGCGGGTGTGATCCGGTAGATGATTATTGTGCACGGAACCATTCCACTGAAAAGCGGCTGCAGAGATCAGGCGCTTGAACTTGCGCGCACCATGGTGGAGTTCACTCGTGCCGAAGACGGCTGCATCTCTTACGATTTTTATGTTGCCCTGTCGGATCCGAATACGCTGATGCTGTTTCAGGAATGGGAAACCATGGAAGCACTGATGGCTCATTTTCAGACTGCCCATATGGATGATTTTCTGCAACAGCTGCCGGAACTGGTAGACGGCGAAATTACGACAAAACGCTATGCGGTTCAGCGTGTTGACGATGAGCCTGCAGAAGTCGAAGAGCCACCACCAATTATTCACTAGCGCTGCTTTAATCAGGTCCTGACGAGGGATTTTGCGCTTCGTGCTCGCGGATCTTACGAACCAGGATCGCGGTAGCTGCACATAATCCCAGAGCAAAGAGGATTTCGAAAATCCCAAACAGCTGCATATCTGGGTCCGATACCACCAGCACACCGTGAATGAAATACAGCATGCTGCTCATGCACATGAAAAATACCGGCCGCAAATTGCCGCGTAACAATCCCGGCAACGGGAGCAGGAGAGGCAAAAGCTGGATAACAAACCAGGCAGCGTTTACGCCCGCATCGTCCAGCGGCTCGATGAAAAACTGGCGTAACCCGGTCATGGCAAACAAAGAGCCCACCATCATCAGTGATAAGAACAACCAGCCTTTCATGTCTTCAGCTTAAGCGCCAGGTGCGCCAGACGTTCACCTGCAGCACTGGCTAATGATGCTTCGTGATCGGTGAGGTCGGGGCCTTCGGCGCCCACGTGCGAGGCGCCATACGGTGTGCCACCACTGCGCGTTTGATTGAGCGCTTCTTCGGCATAGGGTAGGCCCTGAATGATCATGCCGTGATGCAATAGTGGGACCATCATTGTCATCAAAGTAGTTTCCTGTCCGCCGTGGAAGGAGTTCGACGAAGTAAAAACGCTGGCGGGTTTGCCGACCAGTGCGCGGCTGATCCATAGATCTGCGGTGCCGTCGATAAAATGCTTTAACGGCGCGGCCATATTGCCGAAGCGCGTGGCGCTGCCCAGTGCCAATCCGGCACAACCGCTGAGGTCTTCTTTGCTGCAGTAAACAGCGCCGGCTTCGGGTACGGGCGGTTGTACGCGCACGGTGGCGACGTCGACCTCAGGCACGGTGCGTATGCGTGGTTCGATGCCGGCAACACGGTCTACCCCTCGTGCCATATGCAAGGCGAGATTTTTTGTACCGCCGCTGCGGCTGTAATAAACGATCAGGACATAGGGTTGGGTCATGTCAGCCTACAATAACTGTAAAACGTTTTCGGGAGGGCGACCGATGGCCGCAGTGCGCAGACCAGTGCTGTCCTGTCTAACAACTATGGGCCGCTCCAGCAGAATCGGGTGTTGGATAATTGCCTGAAGTAGTTCTGCATCGCTTAACTGGGCTGCATCCAGGTTCAGATCTGCATAGACACTTTCTTTCCTGCGCATAATGTCCCGAGGCTTGAGTCCCAGCAACAAAAGGATCTGACTGAGGGTATCCTGCGAGGGTGGACTGTTTAGATATTCCACCACAGTGGGCGTGATATTATGCTCACCCAGCAGCGCCAGAGTCGCTCGCGACTTCGAACAGCCGGGGTTGTGGTAAAGCGTGAATTGAACGGCCTTTGTGTTATCAATAGTCATATCAAAAGGAAGTGGGTCAGGATGACGCAACAGTATAAGGCGATGGCATAAGGATGCTACGGTGTCTGAAGAAATAGCGTTGCCACGTCGACTGCTCGGTATGGTGCAGAATCTGCGTTGGCACCTGCAGCAGATGTTGCAGCAGTTTTTTGATCACGATTGTCTGGCCTCTGCTGCTGCCCTGACCTATACAACGTTGTTTGCGGTAGTCCCGCTGATGACAGTGACGTACACATTTTTCTCAATTCTGCCTGAATATGCGCATATCGGTCAGGAAGTGCAGAGTTTTATCTTTCAGAATTTTGTGCCGGGCAGTTCAGATGTGGTGCAGGACAAGCTGACTGAGTTTGCCGACCGCGCACGCAACCTGACTGCTGCGGGATTTGTGTTCCTGTTTGTTACCTCGTTCCTCATGCTGGTAACAATTGAAAAAAGTTTCAATACCATCTGGCATGTCGCCAAGCCGCGCCGTGGGCTGCAACGCTTTCTCCTGTATTGGGGCGTTTTGTCTCTAGGTCCAGCGTGTGTGGTTGCCGGCATGTTGTCCAGCCTTTACCTGCTGAGCCTGCCCCTGGTCTCAGAGATAGATGTGTTTGGTCTGCGCGAAATGATACTGAGCTATCTGCCGCTGCTGTTAAGTATCGCCGGCTTTACGGTGCTTTATTTCGCCGTACCGAATTGTCATGTGCCATTCACCCATGCGCTGTTTGGTGGATTTGTCACTATGCTGGTGTTTCAGTCCGCCTTCGCGGTCTTTGCAATGAGTTCACGCTGGTTTATGTACAACGCGGTTTATGGCACGTTTGCCGCTGTACCCGTGTTCCTGATCTGGCTGTATCTGGTCTGGGTAATTATCCTGGGCGGCGCGATATTTGTGCGTACGCTGGGCCTGAATCGAGAGGCGCATTCGTCGCGTGAACCGGTATTGATAAAAGCTACACGGGTGCTGCAGATGTTCCATCTTGCACACCTCGACGGACGTTCAGTTTCTGATCGGGAAATACAGTTGAATGTAGCCTTGAGTCAGAGTGAACATGACCGTATTTTTGCAGTGTTTCATCGACATCGTCTGCTGAATCAGACAGATGATGAGCGCTGGATTCTGGGCCGAAGCCTGAAAAGTATCACGCTATGGGATCTGTACCAGGAGCTGCCTGATGGTCTGGACCGCAAGCGCCTCGAGGAAATCAAAGACCTGCCGCAGGTTGTGGCGCCGCTGATCGCCATTACCCAGTTCGGCTCAAATGAAATGTCAAAAAGTATGGAGTTGGTGTTTACCACATGAAAAAGGCTGTCTTGTGTGTATTGCTGGTAATGGCTGCGGGTTGTGTACCCGAAGAACAGATTGAGTTTGCTGATGGTACAAAAACCCAGCTCTCACATTGGGATGATCGTTGGCTGGTGATTAACTATTGGGCTGAATGGTGTGCACCCTGTCGCCATGAAATTCCTGAATTGAACCAGCTGCATGAAGATAGAGTGGCCAATGGCGCGGTTGTTCTGGGCGTTAACTATGATGGGCTTGTCGCACCTAAGCTGGACGAGGTGATCGAACGCATGGATATTGAATTTCCCGTGTTTGTGCAGGACCCGCAACAGCGTTACGGCTATGAGCGCGCCACCGTGCTGCCGATGACCGTGTTAATTAACCCGGCACGCGAAGTGCACCGAATTCTGCAGGGCCCGCAGACGGGAGCCAGTATCCTCGCAGCGATGAACTAAACTGGCGGATTGGCTTTACTGATAGCGACAGGCACGCAATGGATAGTTTGCGCAGCTGGCGCGCAGCAGGGGTAGCTCGCTCCAGGGTTGGTTACGCCAGGTTTTACGCCACGCACCGATCACTTTTTCCGGATATTTCAGACGTCCGCGACTGCCATTGTAACGCGCCAGGGCATCCACAAGGTCGCCTTTAGCAACTTCGATATAATGCGCCAGAATAACGGTGCCATAGCGGATGTTGGTTTCTGCGTTGATCAGATTATCCTGTTCGCGACCGATCTCTAAACGCCAGAACGGCATCACCTGCATCAGACCCTGGGCGCCGACGTAAGAAATGGCAAAACGGTTGAAAGCACTTTCTATCTGCATCACCGCCAGCACGAGGTTGGGGTTCAGGTTTTGCCGGGTGGCTTCTGTGTAGACCAGTTTTAACAGTTCCAGGCGGTCTGCCTGTTTGGGCAGATAACGTTGCAGGCGCTGATCTGAAACCTGCAGCCATACCTGTGCATCAAAACGATCGATATGTTCGTGCACTTCGGCCATGTTCTGGGCCAGGCGCTCACGTAATACGGGATCAACTTCAACCGCTGCGATGACGCCCTGTGGGACGAAACACATACAACCCAGCAGCAGTAGAATGCGTTTGCATAACCTGTCCATGAGCTATTCGGTCAGGTTGTCCAGCACCGTGTCCAGGCTGCACTCGGTGGCTTTTTCATCGCGGCGGGTTTTGTACTCCACACAGTTGTTTTTCAAACCGCGGTCGCCGACAACAATCCGGTGCGGCAACCCTATAAGGTCTGCATCGGCGAACTTGACGCCGGGGCGTTCATCTCGCTCATCGAACAGGACTTCAATACCCAATGCCTGGCATTTGTCGTACAGGTCATCTGCTGCAGCTTTAACCGCGTCTGATTTCTGATAGTTCAACGCAATTAGATGAAGCTGGAATGGCGCCAGAGGGGTTGGCCAGCATATGCCGTTGTCGTCGTGGTTCTGTTCGATAACAGCTGCCACCAGACGGGTGACACCCATGCCGTAACAGCCCATGATCGGGGTCAGGCTGTGACCGTCCTTGTCCAGTACATTTGCGTCCATGGCTGCACTGTAAACTGTACCCAGTTGAAAAATGTGACCGACTTCAATTCCCTTCAAAAATCGCAGCTCACCTTGACCGTCAGGTGCGGTATCGCCCTCTACCACGTTGCGTGCATCAACGATCTGATGGGCTTCAAGTGCACAGTCACGCTCCCAGTTAACTCCGGTAAAATGCTGACTTTCAATATTGGCGCCACAAACAAAATCAGCCAGCGCCGCTGCCTCACGATCAACCAGATAGGGAACCTGGGCGTTAACTGGGCCCAGCGAGCCGGCAGATACACCCGTTGCCTTCTTGATTTCGGCATCTGTACAGAAGCTCAGCGGCTGGGATATGCCAGGTAATTTGCCGGCTTTGATCTCATTAAGATCGTGGTCACCGCGCAGGATGATCGCAATCGGACCTTCTTCGCCTCGCACCAGCAACGTCTTAACGGTTGTATCGGGTGTAATGTTAAGGCGCTGACAGATTGCGGCGATGGTTTTATCTTCCGGTGTATCAACAACCGCCATGTTCTGGCTGGCGGCAGGTCGCGCGGCTGGCGCTGCTGCTTCGGCTTTTTCGATGTTGGCCGCATAAGGACCGTTTGATGCGTAAACGATGGTGTCTTCGCCCGATGCGGCAAGCACGTTAAATTCATGTGAGTTGCTGCCACCAATGTTGCCAGAGTCTGCTTCAACAGCGCGAAAATCCAGCTGCATGCGGGTCAGGATCCGACTGTAACAGTTGTACATTTCCTGATAAGTCGCGTCGAATGATTCCTGGTCTGCGTGAAAGGAATAAGCGTCTTTCATGGTGAATTCACGCGCGCGCATTACCCCAAAGCGTGGTCGTCGTTCGTCTCGAAACTTGGTTTGTATCTGATAGAAGTTTACCGGCAGCTCTTTGTAGCTTTGAATTTCACGCCTGAACAGATCGGTTATCACTTCTTCGTGGGTGGGACCCAGGCAGAAGTCACGCTCGTGGCGGTCCTGCAGACGGGCCATTTCGGGCCCCATTTTTTCCCAACGGCCAGAGTCTTGCCAGAGTTCTGCGGGTTGAACCACTGGCATAAGCAGTTCCTGGGCCCCGGTTGCATCCATTTCCTGGCGGATAATGGTTTCTATTTTCCGCAGCACACGCAGACCCAGGGGTAACCATGTGTACAACCCGCTGGCAAGCTGACGAATGATGCCTGCGCGTAACATCAGCTTGTGACTGATAACATCTGCATCGGCAGGGTCCTGTTTCATGGTAGGCAGCAAAAATTGCGATTGGCGCATCTCTAATCCCGTGGGTTATCAACAAGTGCAACTTTATCAGTCGCGCACAAAAAAGGGCCGATTGGCATGCCAAACGGCCCTTATTTTAAGCTCGGTTATGAGTGTTTAGATCATATCCTTGAGCTTTTTCAGAGCCGTTACGCGTACGCGTGTGGTTGCCGGCTTGGCCGGAATCACAATCTCTGCGCCAGTTGCAGGGTTGCGACCCATGCGTTTCTTGGTAGCAGGGCGCTTTGCAGCTTTGATTTTCAACAAGCCAGGCAATGTGAACTCACCAACCGCACGCTTGCGGATGTGACGTTCAATCAAAGACTCAAGCTCTTCCATTACAGCGTTTACCTGAGCACGGCTCAGATCTGTGTTCTGCGCAATCTCATTCAAGATAGCGGTCTTGGTCATCTTGGTAGAGATACCAGACTTCTTCGCTGCTGGAGCTGCTGCAACTTTTTTAGCTGCTGGGCGCTTTGCAGGCGCTTTCTTCTTAGCAGGTGCCTTTTTCTTGGCAGGTGCTTTTTTAGCTGCTGGGCGCTTTGCGGGCGCTTTCGTTTTAGCAGGTGCCTTTTTCTTGGCGGGTGCTTTTTTAGCTGCTGGGCGCTTTGCAGGCGCTTTCTTCTTCGCTGGGGCTTTCTTACGAGTAGCCATGAACTATTCCTTTTCGTCAGTTATAAACAGCGCAATTCCACTCTTTTAACCGCGCTTAGACCAAAGTCGGCGTGGTTACCAAGGGGTTTCGCAACGTCTCTCAAACTCTGCTCTGCCCAAACCTCAAGCTTTTCGTGCTTATTAAGTCTTTAACAAACAAACAAACACAAAAAATGTGCGCAGACGCGTTCAGAAAAAGGTCGCTGATGCTGAATTTTTTCTGATCTTTGTCTGTTCACAAATACTTTATTTGGTTGTGGACTTGGATGATTCGGAACACCAGTGTCTGATGCCCGCGCTTTATAGCCCATCACACACTGCTTTCGCAACAAAAAGTGACAAAATCACTGTATTTTTATTGGTTTTTTTACGATCATGCGCCGCTCATTTGAACCGCAAGCTATTGAGATAACCAAAAATGCCAATCTATGAGTACCGTTGTGACAATTGCGGGCACGAACTCGAAGCCATGCAGAAACTCAGCGACGACCCATTAAAATCCTGCCCAAACTGTAATAAAGACAGTTTGATCAAGCGTATATCGGCTGCCGGCTTTCGTCTTAAAGGTGGTGGTTGGTACGAGACAGACTTTAAATCCGGCAAGAAAAAGAATGTGTCCGGCTCGGAAAGCGCTAGTTCTACTTCGAGCTCTGGTTCATCAGACGCGGGTGGTTCGGGCAGCGGTGGTGCAGACACCAGCAAATCGGGTTCATCCAGCTCTTCGGACAGTGCGTAGGCGCAATCGTTAGAACTCGCGCCTTTAAGAAGGCGCACAATCAGCCCACAATAGTGGGCTAACTATCAGCCCACGGTGGTGGGCAAAATATCAGTCCACGGTAGTGGATAAATAATGAATTTACGGGAAAAGCGCTATGCGTAGTGATTATTGTGGAGAGATCAATGCGTCGAAGATTGGTGCGGAGGTGGCAGTCTGTGGTTGGGTTCATCGGCGCCGCGACCACGGAGGTGTGATCTTTCTTGATCTGCGCGATCGAACCGGGATTGTTCAGGTTGTTTACGATCCAGATACGGTAGAGAGTTTTGCGCTGGCTGATAGTGTGCGCAATGAATATGTTCTGCGTGCAAAAGGTCGTGTTCGCGCCCGCCCTGAAGGTACCGTTAATCCCGATATGGCCACCGGCGAGATTGAAATCCTCGGTCTGGAACTGGAAATTCTTAATGTCGCACAAACTCCGCCGTTTCAATTGGATCAGCATTCTGAGGCGGGTGAAGATGTGCGCCTGCGTTATCGATATATGGATCTGCGCCGGCCGGAGATGCAGAATCGGATGCGCATGCGTGCCGCGATTGCGAGCCAAACACGCCGTTACCTCGAAGAAAACGGCTACTGGGAAGTCGAAACGCCAACTTTGTCTCGTGCAACACCTGAAGGTGCGCGGGACTATCTGGTACCCAGCCGTACGCATCCGGGTCAGTTCTTTGCTTTGCCACAGTCGCCACAGGTTTATAAACAGCTGCTGATGATGTCCGGTATGGACAAGTACTACCAGATAGCCCGCTGTTATCGTGATGAAGACCTGCGCGCTGACCGGCAGCCGGAATTTACACAGATTGATATCGAAGCATCGTTTATCAGTCAGCAACAGGTTATGGAATTGACTGAAGGGCTGTTGTCTGGCTTGTTTTCAGATCTGCTGGACATCGACCTGGGCGAATTCCCCGTACTCACCTGGGATGAAGCGATGCGTGATTTTGGCAGTGATCGGCCAGACCTGCGCAACCCTCTGCGCCTGACCGACATTGCAGACCTGCTGCAGGATGTTGAGTTTAAAGTTTTCAGCGGACCCGCTAACGATGCGCAGGGACGCGTGGTTGCCCTGCGAGCGCCGGGGGCGGCTGCACTGCCGCGCAGGGTAATTGATGAACTCACAGAGTTTGTCGGACGGTATGGGGCGAAGGGACTTGCGTACATAAAAATAAACGATCTGACAGCGGGTTATGACGGCTTACAGTCGCCGATTCTGAAATTTCTTCCTGAGGAGGTAACCGCTGCCATTCTCGAGCGTGTTGGTGCTGAAGATGGTGATGTGGTCTTCTTTGGTGCGGATCAGGCGAAAGTTGTGAACGACTCCATGGGTGCGCTGCGTAACGAACTGGGTGAGCGCATGGATATTATCGCATCGGGTTATGCGCCCTGTTGGGTAGTCAACTTTCCAATGTTTGCCGCAAATAAAGACGGCACTCTGGGCGCGGAACATCACCCCTTCACACAACCCACGTGCACGCCTGAGGAATTGCTGGCGCAGCCGTTGCAGGCATACGCTGCAGCATATGATGTGGTGGTTAACGGTTCCGAAATTGGTGGTGGTTCATTGCGGATACACGACCAGCAGATGCAGGCAGCGGTATTTAAAGCGCTGCAGATGGGTCAGGAAGCCCAGGCCAAATTTGGTTTTCTCCTTGATGCGCTGCAGTATGGCTGTCCGCCACACGGGGGCATTGCGTTTGGTCTTGATCGTCTGGTGATGCTGATGACTCAGACGGAATCCATTCGGGATGTTATTGCCTTTCCGAAAACCCAGACGGCAGCCTGTCTGATGATGTCAGCGCCCAATGAGGTAGATGAACATCAGCTGCGGGATCTGCATATACGTGTCAGGAAGCCGACTCAAACTGCAGTCTGAATGCAGCGATTGGTCTGAATAAAGCTAAATATCGAACGAGGTGTTGCAACCAATATGGCAGGTCACAGTAAATGGGCGAACATCAAACATCGCAAAGCCGCCCAGGACAAAAAAAGAGGCAAGCTTTACACCAAAATTATTCGTGAAGTGACTGTTGCTGCGCGTCTAGGTGGAGGTGAAGTTGCGGATAATCCAAGGTTGCGTGCTGCTGTCGACAAGGCTCTGGCAGCAAATATGCCGAAGGACACCATTGAGCGCGCCATAGCGCGTGGTGCTGGTGACGGTGAAGGTAGTGACGTCGAAGAACTGGTCTACGAGGGATACGGTCCCGGCGGTGTTGCCATCTTAGTTGAGGCGATGACCGACAATAGAAATCGTACCGTCGCAGAAGTACGCCATGCGTTCAGCAAAGCAGGCGGTAATCTGGGAACAGATGGGTCTGTGGCTTACCTTTTTGCAAAACAAGGGATCATCAACTTTGCCCCGGGCTCGGACGAGGAGCAGGTGATGGAGGTGGCACTGGAAGCGGGCGCTGAAGACATCGAAGCAGAAGAAGATGGTGCACTGTCTGTCACGACGCCCTGGGAAAACCTCTCTGATGTGGTCACCGCGTTGACGCAAGCGGGGCTGTCGCCCGATCATAACGAAGTGACGATGGTGGCTTCGACGACAACTGACTGTGATGAAGAACTGGCTCAGAAAGTGCTGCGTTTGCTGGATGCATTGGAAGAGCTTGACGATGTGCAGGAGGTGTACAGCAATGGCGACTTTCCTGACAGTGCTTACGACTGATCGCGGTGCTTAACCCGCCGGCACACAGTCGCTGTGTGCTGGGTATAGATCCTGGCTCAGTGGTCACCGGGTATGGCTTGATCAGGGTCCAGGGTCGCAACACAACTTATTGTGCCAGCGGCTGTATTCGCACGGCGGGAACCAACCTGCCAGCACGTCTGGGTCAAATCTACACTGGTGTAAAAGAACTGATCGATCAGTATCAGCCAGATGAATTTGCCATCGAAAATGTGTTTGTGGCGCGTAACCCTCAGTCAGCTTTAAAGCTTGGCCAGGCGCGAGGTGTGGCCATTGCGGCAGCAGTAGCGGCGCAGTTGCCGGTTTATGAATACGCGGCGCGGCAGGTTAAGCTGGCCGTTGTCGGTACCGGTCGAGCTAACAAGGCCCAGGTGCAGCATATGGTACAAGCCCTTCTGCAACTCTCCGGCCTGCCTCAGGCAGATGCCGCAGACGCGCTTGCCATTGCAGTGTGCCACGTCAATACTGCGGCCTTTAAGCACTAGAACGAACAGGTCAGATATCTTGATTGGCAGGATCACAGGTAAGCTCATCGAGCTGGATGCAACACATCTGCTGGTAGATGTGGCAGGTGTTGCTTACGAGGTAGAGGTATCTGCGAACGTACTGCAGGCTGCGCCGCAGACGGGAACGGCACTCACTCTGTTTACACACTTTGTCGTTCGTGAAGACGCACAGCTGCTGTTTGGATTCGCCAATAAGCATGAACGTGACCTTTTTCGTGCGTTTATCAAAATAAACGGCGTAGGACCCAAGCTCGGGCTGGCGTTGATTTCTGCCCTCGATCCACACACGCTGGGTGTCGCCGTGCGGGATAACAACGTATCTGTATTAACCAAAGTGCCGGGCGTAGGTCGTAAAACTGCGGAGCGGTTAATGGTTGAATTAAAAAGCAGAATCGACCAGTTGACCCGGAATGGCTCAATGCCTGCGGCGGTGGTCAGCGCTGATGGCGCCCTCACGCCACGCGCACACAGCCAGGTAGGCGAGGCAGAGGATGCATTGATTGCGCTTGGCTATCGGCCTACGGAAGCACAACGCGCAGTCGCGGCTGCCAGCCAACAGGCCACCCAGGAACAACCAAGTGCTGAAACTTTGGTGCGGCTCGCTCTGCGCGGTTTTGTACAGTCGTCAGGTGCGTCATGAGCATTGAGCCCGATCGCCTCATATCTGGTCACTCTGAGCCTGGAGAAAAGCGCCACGACCATGCTCTGCGTCCGATCAGTCTGAGTGAATATATCGGTCAGAGTGCGGTAAAAGAGCAGATGGACATCTTTATCCGCGCTGCCAGAGGTCGGGGTGAAGCATTGGATCACACATTGATCTTCGGCCCTCCCGGGCTTGGCAAAACAACGCTGGCGAATATTATTGCCAGGGAGATGCACGGCACCATCAAGTCCACCTCGGGACCGGTATTGGAAAAACCGGGCGATCTGGCGGCGATGCTGACAAATCTTGACGAAGGTGATGTTTTATTTGTGGATGAGATCCATCGTTTGTCGCCGGTAGTAGAAGAGATTCTGTATCCGGCTATGGAAGACTTTCAGCTGGATATATTGATTGGTGAAGGCCCTGCTGCACGCTCGCTGAAGTTGGATCTGCCGCCATTTACTCTGGTTGGCGCGACAACCAGGGCTGGTCTGTTGACCAGTCCGCTGCGCGATCGTTTTGGTATTGTGCAGCGCCTGGAATTCTATACTGTGGAAGAGTTAACGCAGATAGTGACGCGCTCCGCGGCCAAACTTGAGCTGCAGACAGATCTCGCAGGCGCAGCGGAAATCGCTCGCCGAAGTCGCGGTACCCCCCGGATCGCTAACCGATTGCTGCGCCGAGTCAGGGATTTTGCTCAGGTCAAAGGTAACGGCCTGGTCAGCGCCGAAATTGCGGATGACGCGCTCAACCTGTTGAAAGTGGATAAACAGGGTTTTGATCTGATGGACCGTCGCCTGCTGTCTGCCATCCTGGATAAGTTTGGTGGTGGACCGGTCGGGCTGGAATCAGTGGCCGCGGCGGTGAGTGAAGAGAAAGACACCATCGAAGATGTGATTGAGCCCTATTTAATTCAACAAGGGTATATCATGCGCACGCCGCGGGGTCGGGTGGCTACAGCCAAGTGTTATCAGCACTTTGGCATAACACCGCCTGGAGAGGATAAACTGCCTCCAGCGCAAACGTCCCAGAGCCGCATGTCGTTGGATTAAAGGAGTAATCAGTGGCGGAACAGCTTTCTATTTTTGAACTCATCTCGAACGCCAGCCTGCTGGTTCAGGGCGTTATGGCGCTGCTGGTGCTGGCGTCCGTGGTGTCGTGGATGATGATCTTCCAGCGTTGGTTTTTTCTCCGCCGCGCCCAGGCTGAAGTGGAAGATTTTGAAGAACATTTCTGGTCAGGTATCGATTTGCGCAAGTTTTTTGTTGAACTCGAGCGTGAAGACAGTCTGAACGGCATTGAAAACATTTTTGCTTCAGGGTTTCGCGAATACACGCGCCTATCTGAGCAGGCCGGGGTTGATGCTGAAGCGATTATGCAGGGCGTTCAACGCTCCATGCGGGTTGCGGTGAATCGTGAGGAAGCGCGTCTTGAAACCCACTTACCCTTTCTCGCCACGGTAGGATCCACCAGCCCTTACGTAGGTTTGTTTGGTACGGTCTGGGGCATCATGAATTCTTTCCGCTCGCTGGCGAACATGAGCCAGGCAACGTTGGCATCCGTTGCGCCAGGCATTTCTGAAGCCCTGGTGGCGACCGCGATGGGTTTGTTTGCGGCTATCCCCGCGGTGATTGCCTACAACCGTTTTTCTGCCCGGGTAGAAATTCTGATGAAACGTTACGAAGCTTTTGCCGATGAAGTGTCTACGATTCTGCACCGTGCAGCGCATACGCGCATAGAAGAGAGCTAGACATGGCTGCCCGTCGTAAACCGATGTCTGAAATCAACGTTGTGCCTTATATCGACGTGATGCTTGTGCTGCTGGTTATTTTCATGGCTACCGCGCCACTGCTTACCCAGGGTGTGGTTGTCGACTTGCCCGAGGCGCCTTCGGAAAGCATTGATGATTCAGTTGAAGATCCGCTGGTGGTCTCAATGCGTGCAGACGGTGCCATTTTCATGAACCTCGGCATGCTCGACGCAGATGATGAAGGTACCCGGGTGACCGTCTTTTCTCTGGAAGAGCAGGCTGGAAAAATTCTAAGAGCACGCGATGACGTGCCGGTTTATATAAAAGCAGACCATACGTTAGATTATGGCAATGTTGTGGGTGTGATGACTGTTCTTCAAAAAGCGGGGGCAAAAAGCGTGGGGTTAATTACCGACCCACCGTCTCTAGGGGGCTGAGGTGTATTGGTTACGCCAATATAGCGGCCCTTTTATGCTCGCCCTTGGTCTGCATGGCATTGCTGCCTGGGCGCTTTACAGCGGCTGGACGCCGGAACAGAAGCAGCTCAATGTGATCCGCCCGCAAGCCGTTATGGCAAATCTTCTGGTGCTGGAACCCAAAGCAAGACCCGCGCCGGCACCCATCAGCAAACCTGTTGCTCAGCCGACGCCAATAGCCAAACCCAAGCCGGTAAGTCCGGCAAAAGAAGATCCTGCTCTGGCGGAGAAGAAAAAAGCCGAGGCGTTGAAGGCTAAACAGGCGCAGGAAAAAGCCGATCGTCTGGCGGAACAGGAGCGTGAGCGGCTGGAACGTCAGCAACGACTCAACGATCTTGCACAGTCATCCTTGGAGCAGGCCATTTCAACTGAATCTGCCAATCTGCAGGCCGGTACGGCGGAAATGGTGGCGCAGTCCTATCAGCTGGGCATCTACGAGCTGGTGCGGCAGAACTGGTCGCGGCCGCCCAGTGCACGTAATGGCATGTCGGCGAAACTTCTGGTTGAACTCATTCCAACCGGCGAGGTCGTAGCGGTTAGCGTTGTTGAATCTTCAGGCAGTACAGCGTTTGATCGTTCAGCAGAGCAAGCGGTACGACGCGCCAGGCGTTTTGAGGTGCCACAGGACAACGCTATTTTTGAAGAGAATTTCCGTCAGTTTTACTTTTTGTTTCAACCAGAGGATTTATTGAGGTAGTGATCCGTTTCGACGGATCGGCTGCGGGCTAATATCATGCAAAAAATATCATTTGTGTTAGTTGTTTTGTTTTCGGTGTGTGTCAGTCTGCTGGTCAGTAACGCGACATTTGCTGCCGGCTCTCTCGATACGATCATTATCGATCGTGGGGTTGATGAGCCCATTCGCGTGGCAATCGTGCCGTTCAAAATGGATCCGAGTCTCATGAGCGAGACAAACATTGCTGATATTGTTGGTTTTGATCTTGCCCGCAGTGGTCAGTTTGATCCCCTTGCATCGGAAAACATGCTGTCCTACCCAAGCAGTCGCGCGACTGTGTTTTTCCGTGATTGGCGTATTCTGAAGTCTGCCTATCTGGTGATTGGTAACGCGCGTGTCGACGCCGATGGCCGCGTTGCGGTCGAGTTCGAGTTGTACGATGTGCTGGGTGAGCGTCTTATGCTGAGCCGTCGCTACTCAGTGGCTCGCAGTCAGTGGCGCGACGTATCACATCAGATTGCTGATGCCATTTATGAAGAGGTCACCGGTATTCGTGGCGCTTTCTCGACGAAAATAATGTACGTGCTGGCGCGTAATGCTGGTAGTCCAGATGCGGTTTACCAACTGGAAATAGCGGATTCGGATGGCGAGCGATCGCGTACGCTTTTCAGCTCACGGGAACCGATCATGTCTGCCAGTTGGGCACCGGATGGCAAGCGTGTGGTCTATGTAACTTTTGAGACAGGTCGTCCAAGCATAGTCATACAGGATGTCGATGGCCCTTATAGAGAGCGGCTGACAAATTTCCGCGGCATTAACAGTGCGCCGGTGTTCTCGCCAGATGGCCGACAACTGGCAATGGTCTTGTCAAAAGATGGTGATCCGGAAATTTTCATTATGGATCTGGCTACCAAATCTCTGCGTCAGATCACCAGACATCATGCAATTGATACTGAACCGAGCTGGTCGCCGGATGGCCGCAGCATTATTTTCACCTCTGACCGGGGCGGTAGACCACAAATTTATCAACTGGACCTATCTACTAATCTTTTAGAGAGACTTACGTTTCGTGGTGACTATAATGCGCGCGCCCGATTGCTGCCCGACGGTAAGCATCTGGTTTTTGTACACCGGACAAATGGCGTATTCCATATTGCATGGCAAGACCTGGAACGCGACAATTTGCAGGTGTTGACGCAAACAGACTTAGATGAGTCGCCATCGCTTGCGCCAAATGGCACGATGCTCATATATGCCACTCAGGACAGGGGTCGGGGTATACTTGCGGTGGTGTCGATCGATGGCAGCGTGAAGTATCGCTTACCTTCGTCGTCTGGCGATGTAAGAGAACCCGCTTGGTCGCCGTTTTTAGACGGCTGAGCAAAAGTAAAACTTAGAACTTAAAAGTAATATTTAAAAATAGATCTCGAAAAGAGAACTTAACAAGCTGACCAGGAGCAATTCTCGTCAGCATATTAAAATGTTGCCTTGTGCAACCAAAGGAGAACTTGATGCAGATGCAATCACCCCGCTTCCCCAGTTTGATGACGCTGGTGTTAGCTGCCCTACTGATGGCTGGTTGTTCCAGCACGTCAACTGAGCCGGTACCCGAACCTGAACCGATCGAACAACCTGCACCTCAGCCTGTACCTCAGCCTGAACCTGAACCCGAACTGGCAGATTTTGACAGCGCCGGTAACGCGATTGGCCCTGACGGTCGTCCACTGACACGCACCTTTTACTTTGCCTACGATCGTGCGGTGTTGAAGCCCAGTGATTTAGCAGCATTGGAGTTACATGCTCAGGTTCTGCGTCGTAACAGTAATCGCAGCATTGTGCTGGAAGGCCACTGTGATGAACGTGGTACTCGCGAATATAACCTGGCTCTAGGCGAGCGTCGCGCAGACTCAATTCGCAGCTTCCTGCTTTCAGCCGGTGTGTCAGCACGTCAGATTGAGACAGTAAGCTATGGTGAAGAGCAGCCGGCTGATCCTGGTCACACGGAAGCAGCCTGGGAACGTAACCGTCGTGCGGTTATGGTTTATCGCTAGACAATATTGAGGTAATCCGGGCTGTGAATATTTTTCGACAGACACTTCGCGCCAACGTGTTTTTAGTATGTGCAGCCCTGGCTGCGCATACTATTGCACCGGCTATTCAAGCTGCAGTGCCTATAGAAGAGTCTGTGGAAGATTCAAGGCGTGGGGTGCAAGCGGATCTGTCTATCAGTCCCGAGCCTGAAAGCCGTGACGATCGCGCCCGGAGTCTTGATATTCCGCCAACAATTGAACCGTCGTATAACAGCGACGGTTCATTGGCGGCGACTGCGGAATCCGCCTATACAGCCGCGCAGATCAGTACCGGTCAAAAAACCGGTGCAGCAAGCTCAGGTCAGCTGAGCGAACTTTTCTATCAACTGCAGGTGTTGCAGCAGGAGATTCAGGACCTGCGTGGTCAGGTTGAAGAACAGACCTATCTGGTTAATCGCCTGCAACGCGATCAGAAAGAGCAGTATCTCGACCTGGATCGTCGCGTCATGGCGATTACCGAAAAGCAGCCAGCGCCTGGACCGGTAACGTCCGCGCCAGAATCAATACCCTCAGGTAACAGTCCCACAAACCTGAGTGAAAGAGACGCCTACACACAAGCGTTTGAAGCCATGCGCGCGCGCGACTTTGATGCCTCTATGGTGGGTTTTCAGCGTCTGATTGAAACGTATCCTAACGGCCAGTTTACGCCAAACGCATATTACTGGATCGGCGAACTGCACCTTGTCGGTAACCTCGAGCCGGAGCTGGCACGCCAGGCATTTGCGCAGGTTGTAAACCTTTACCCGGATCATCAGAAAGCACCTGACGCCCTGTATAAGTTGGGTGTGGTGTACGACAATCTGGGTGATAAGCAAAGTGCATTGGACTATCTGCAGCGGGTCCAGCAGCAACACCCAAACAGTCCAGCAGCAGGCCTGGCGCAGAAATACGCGGCAGAACTGCAGCGTTAAAACAGTGAGCCAGGCTGCTGAAGCTGTTGCTTCTCTTCGCATTACAGAAATTTTCCTTTCCCTGCAGGGTGAGGCAAATACTGTGGGTTTACCCACCGTGTTTGTTCGACTTACTGGCTGCCCCCTGCGCTGTACCTACTGCGACAGTGCCTATGCATTCTCCGGTGGTCAGATCATCGCCATCAGAGATGTGATCGACGAAGTTGTCAGCCACGGTGTAAAACATGTCACCGTAACCGGGGGTGAACCGCTTGCACAGCCAGGCGTGCATGAACTGATGACCGGGTTATGTGATCTTGGTTTAAGTGTTTCGCTGGAAACCAGTGGGGCGCTTGCTGTTGATGACGTGGACTCGAGAGTGGTGAAGGTCGTTGATCTTAAAACGCCGGCGTCAGCAGAATCGCACCGTAACCTTTGGTCAAACATGGCCGCGCTGAATCCCCACGATCAGGTGAAGTTTGTTATCTGCGACCGGCAGGACTATGAGTGGGCAAAGCTCAAGTGTGATGAACATAGCCTTTATGAACGCGTAGCTGAAGTCTTGTTTTCGCCCAGCTATGAGCAGCTCAATCCCACTGATCTTGCCAACTGGATTGTGCAGGATAAAAAACCTGTGCGTATGCAGTTGCAGCTGCACAAACTGTTGTGGGGAGATGAACCCGGGCGATGAGCACAGAAAAATCAAAAGCCGTGGTGTTGTTATCAGGTGGACTGGATTCAGCCACCGTCCTGGCCATGGCGGCCGCCCAGGGTTACAGCTGTTACGCATTATCCTTTAACTATAATCAGCGCTCGGTATCCGAGCTCAATGCTGCTAAGAAAGTGGCTCACCTGGCGCAACAACATAAAGTGCTGGATATTGATCTCAGTGCGTTTGGTGGATCTGCGCTAACCGATGCGAGCATCGCTGTGCCAACCGATACGCCCGAAGGTATCCCGATCACCTATGTGCCTGCGCGTAATACAGTGTTTCTGTCACTGGCGCTGGCATGGGCTGAAGTGTTGGATGCCCACGACATCTTCATCGGCGTGAATGCGGTTGATTATTCCGGCTATCCAGATTGCCGCCCGCAGTTCATCCAGGCTTTTGAGCAAATGGCCAATCTGGCCACCAAAGCGGGTGTGGAAGGCCAGAAAATTAGCATCCATACCCCCCTGATCGATCTGACCAAGGCGCAGATCATTTCTGCCGGGGTTGCACTGGGTGTTGACTATGCAGCCACCGTCTCCTGCTATCAGGCGGATGCTGAGGGAGTTGCGTGCGGCGTCTGTGACAGCTGTCGAATTCGCCAGCAGGGGTTTGCAGCTGCCGGGGTAGCCGACCCTACCCGCTATCGCTAGCGCAGCTTTATCTTGCGCAAGCGTTCTTTTGGCTTCCATTTTTGCCTGCAAATATGTAAAGTGCGCGGCCTTGATTTTCCCAATGCGCCGGGTCGTTAGCTCAGTTGGTAGAGCACCGGGCTTTTAACTCGTTGGTCCTGGGTTCGAATCCCAGACGACCCACCATTTTTTCTGGTGGTCAGGCTGCAACGGGTCAATCAGCTATGCAGTTAGTCCTGTCCTGCATCAGACAGTCGACGCCTTAAGTTGGTCACGACTTATGCAGCGATTGGCCGAAGCGATTCTCGATGTGTTTCAGCATGCTGGTGTAGACACTGTTTTTGGTGTGCCTGGCAACCATAACATTGAGCTCTATCGTTACCTTCCGGATTTCCCTATTTCACATGTTACAGCCCGCCACGAACAGGGTGCTGGCTTTATGGCAGATGGCTATGCGCGTGTGCGTGGTACAACCGGTGTCTGTTTTGTGGTCACCGGGCCTGGGTTAACCAATGCGCTAACCGCTATGGGACAAGCCCTGGCTGACAGTGTGCCGTTGCTGGTCATCGCCACGGTGGGTGACCAGAAGAGGCGTGAGGGGCGCTTACATGAGCTGCCGGACCAGCTGAGTATTGCTTCCGGGGTCAGTGTCGAGGCCGTTCAACCCAGCGATCCACAAAGTGCAATATCGTGGTTGCAAAAAGCGCTGACTGCCCATCACTCGGAGCGTCCTGGGCCCCGATATCTGCAGATTCCCCTGTCCTGGTGGCGTCAGGATGTCGAACCGCTGCAGACGTCTGAATCATTGCCGAGCGCAACTAAGCCCCCCGTACCTGACGTGACTGCTGCGCTGGACCTGTTGGACGAGGCGGCACGTCCGGTCATTGTGGTGGGTGGCGGCAGCCAATCTGCAGGTCCACAGGTGCGACAACTGGCAGAATGTCTTGGTGCGCCGATCGTTAACACGGTAAATGCGAAAGGTCTGATTCCCGCCAGTCATCCTTTGTGGGTGGGCGGATCACCGTCCCTGCCTGGCGTGCGTGATTTACTGGCAGCTGCGGATGTGTTCGTTGTGGTAGGCACGGAATTGGGCGAAACGGATTTTGATCTGTTGATGCTCGGTGATATCGCCTGGACCCAACCGATGTTGCGTATCGATATTGATGCGCAGCAACTGAAGCTGAATGCTGAGCCTACCGTTGGTTTGGTTGGAGATGCTGCGGAAGTGCTCTCCAGGCTGCTCGCGAGTGTGCCTGCGGAGCCCCGTGTGAGCTGGTGTGATGTTGCATTATTGCGACAGGAAAATGCGCGCTATCAGCATATGCACCCTGATTTTGCGGCTTTCTTTCAGGTGATTGATGCGGTTCTACCGACCGCTGTGGTGGTGGGTGACTCAACTCGGCCCACATACTATGCCACGTGGATGTGGGAGCGCCCGAGTCCCGCAACCTATTTTCATTCAGCGTCTGGCTACGGCACGCTGGGTTACGCGTTACCTGCAGCCATAGGCGCTCAGATTGCCCAGCCCCAGGTGCCGGTTGTGGCCCTTATCGGAGATGGTGGCATCCTCTTCACACTGGGAGAGCTTGCGGTTGCGGTAGACGCTGAAGTATCGGTAAAGATCATTATCTGGAACAACAGCGGATATCAGGAAATTGCCAACAGCATGGCAGCAAGGGGTATAGATGCTTCCAGCACCCAGTACCGGGCACCGGATTACGCGCAGATCGCGGCAGGTTTTGGTGCAACAGTCTGCGCGCCGACGGATCTGGTGGAACTGGCACGCGCGCTGGGCGAGCCTGTATCTGGCCCCATGGTCATTGTGCTGGATGAAAGCAATTTTGTGCATCAAACTTCAGGGAACTGGTATTGAACACCTTACCATTGAGTGACATGTGCAAGCGCCTGCTTGGCCCCAGCGATGATGTCTGGCAGATTCACTACGATGCTCTGGCGCGAACTGCTCGCGGCGAAGACATTGTGCTGATGAGTGTGGGTGATCCGGATTTTGATACCCCCGAAGAAATTATAGAAACCCTGGTCAGCAGAATCAGGCAAGGCCGAACCCACTATTCCCCGGCTGAAGGTGAACTGGAGTTGCGTCAGGCCATTGCGGATCTGGAAACCAACGGTACCGGCAGGACGTTTACACCTGATAATTTTGTTGTGCTGCCTGGTGCTACGGCTGCTATTTACGCCAGCCTGGCGTGCATCTGTAATCCTGGTGATGAGGTCGTAATTCCGGAACCCATGTATATCGGGTACCGACCGATGTTGAGCGCTCTCGGGCTTACCGCACGGACCGTCGCCTTAGATTTGAATGATGATTGCGCCTTGGATGTGGAAGCCTTGCTGGCTCAGATCAATGCGCGAACCAGAGCGGTACTGATCAACACACCGGGTAATCCCTTTGGCAACATCCTGCCGCGAGAAACGCTGGCGCAGTTGGCCGAGGCGCTTCTGGAGCGAGGGGTTTGGTTGATCTGCGATGAAGTTTATTCGCTGTTCACTTTTGACGAACCGCATGTATCGCTGCTCAAAGCGGCCACAGAGCTGGACAATGTGGTTGTGGTCGACGGCTTGTCAAAATCTCATGCGATGACGGGTTGGCGGGTTGGCTGGGTCGCCAGTCCTGCCAGCCTGACGCGGGCGATCACGGCGTATTCCGGTTCAGCTTTTTTTGGCTGTAGCCAGTTTATTCAGGATGCAGCCGCTTTTGCACTGGTCCACAACGGCCCCCATGTTGAAGAGATGCGCCAAGCTTATCAACGGCGCCGCGATTATGTGTTGCAGCGTCTGGATAACATTCCACAGCTGTCTTACGTAAGGCCCAAAGCCGGGATGTTTGTCATGATGGATGTCAGCCGCATGAGTAACAGTGGGCTTGTTTTTGCTCAGGATCTTCTGGCGGCCCAGGGTGTATCAGTGATTCCCGGTGAGGGGTTTGGTGAGGTGGCCAGAGACTTTGTGCGCCTCAGTCTGACGCATAAAACGAACATGCTGGCACAGGCCATGGATCGAATAGAGCGTTTTGTCGCGGGCTGACGTTAACCTCGCTCAGGAGCTGCAGGACAGCATCGAGCAGCCGACCCGGGTGCGCGCCCATTCCGGTCGTTTGGCGGCATAAATTTCGTTTTCCGGCTGCTCATCGTATGGCTTGCGCAAAACGTCGAGAAGCTTGTTAACGTAAGCGAAGTCGCCTTTTTCTGCATCATCAATGGCCAGTTGTGCCAGGTAGTTGCGCAGGACGAACTTCGGGTTAGCGGTGTTCATGCTGCCTTTACGCTGTGCGCCTGTGCCTTGTTGGTGAACAACCTGCGCGTAGTGCTCCAGCCATTGCCCACGCTTTGTAAGATACGCCTGGTTAAGTTGGTCTGGCTGGTAGTAGACGACATCAAAACATTCTGCTGCCTCGGGCCGGGCTGGATCAAACTCTGCCAACGCTCTGAAAAACAGCGTCATGTCTGTCTCAACTTCGGTGAGCAGAGAAAACAGGCTGTTGCTCAAGCCGGCGTCATAGACGTTAAGCCCCAGTTTGTGGGCAATCATTTGTTGCCACTGCGACTCATAGTCTGTGGCGTAATCCGACAGTGCAGCCTCGAGCGGTTTGGTGTCTTCAATCAAGGGTAAAATCGCGTTAGCAAGCTGCATGAGATTCCACTGACCGATCGCAGGTTGCTGATCGTATCTGTAACGTCGATTTGCAGCGTCTGTAGTATTCGGTGTCCAGTGAGGATCGAAGTCCTCCAGCCAGCCATACGGGCCATAGTCGATGGTTTCACCAAGGATAGACATGTTGTCTGTGTTCATCACGCCATGCACAAAGCCAACCCGCATCCAGTGCACCATAAGCACAGCGGTGCGCTGACACACTTCTTTGAACCAGGCGATATACCTGTCTCGTGGATTGTCGTGCTGGTTGACGAGATGTGAAAAGTCCCGCTTGATCACATAATCCGTGAACTGACGCAGTAAATCTGTTTCATTGCGTGCGGCCAGGATCTGGAAATGACCAAATCGCACAAATGATGGACTCATTCGACAAACTACGGCGCCCGGTTCGTGTTCGGGATGTCCGTCGTACAACATATCCCGCAACACATCTTCGCCGGTGCCAATCAGGCTGAGGGCGCGCGTAGTGGGCACACCAAGATGAAACATGGCTTCGCTGCATAGAAATTCGCGTACAGATGAACGCATGACTGCCAGTCCGTCTGCGGTGCGGGAGAAGGGTGTCGGCCCCGCGCCTTTCAGCTGCAGCATCCAGTGTTGACCGTTGTGCTGAACTTCACCCAGGTTGATAGCACGGCCGTCTCCCAGTTGTCCGGCCCAATTGCCAAACTGATGACCGCCATAACAGGTAGCGTGAGGAACCATCCCTTCAACCGTCCTGTTGCCGGCAAAAACCTGCAGGAAATCAGGGCTATGACAGTCCTGCGCGGTCAGCCCGATCAGCGCAGCTGCTTCGTCAGAGTGTGCCACAAGATATGGGGCGCTGACCTTGGTGGGGCTGACGTGGGCCCACACTGCACTGTGCAGCTGGCGGCGCACGTTTTCCTCGAGTGGGTCACCAGGCAACGTCTGTATAAATTGATTATCAAAGGTCAGGATTTGCATAGCACAAGGTTACCTGAGAGGCTGCTGCAAAGGAAAATGAATACCTCAATTTTGTACACTGGAAGTCATGTCAATTAATCTGGATCAAGTGGCGTTTGCCAATGAAGCTTTTTACCTGGCCTTTGAAAGTAAAGACTTTGAGGCTATGTCCCACATCTGGTCCAGCGAGAGGCAGGTCATCTGTCTACACCCGGGCTGGTCAGCTCTGGTCGGTCGGCGGGATGTGCTGGATAGCTGGAATGATATTCTCAGCAATCCACAACAGGGTCAGGTTAGTTTTTACGGCGCCCAGACCATAAAAATGAGTGACGATACGGCCGCTGTGGTTTGTTACGAACAGGCGGGAAGCAATGTAATGGTTGCTACAAATTTATTCGCCACTGAACAGGATCGTTTGTGTCTGGTGATGCATCAAGCGGGTTTTTGTGCTCACCCACCAAGTGCCTGACGCTCGACCTGGTCTTGCCGCGAGCCTGGGAAAGTGATCTTAAATGTCGTGCCCTGATCTGGAAAAGAGTCTACGGTTATGTGTCCTTTGTGGGCGGTAACTAGCCCCTGTATCGCAGCAAGCCCGAGGCCGCGGCCGGCGAATTTGGTGGTAAAAAAGGGCTCAAAAATGTGCGTTTTGGTTGACTCCTCCATGCCGCGGCCGTTATCGGTAACTTTCAAGTCCACCAGGCTTTGTCCGCTTTCGTCCAGGCGAGTACTCACATTGATCCAGATTTTTCCGTTCAGTGCAGGTAGTGCCTCTGCTGCGTTGGTAATCAGATTAATGAGTACCTGTTGTAGCGCTACTCGATTCCCCTGCATAGGCGGTATTTCTGTATCAAGGTTCACATAGAGATGTGCTCGATCGGCGACAACAGTTTTTAATAGTGGTTCAGAGTCAGCAATAACATCGCCCAGCATGATTTCGCTCATGATCAGAGGCGTCTTGCCTGCATAGGTTAGCAGCTGATCCGTTAATCCAGCTGCTTGATCTGATGCGCTCAGAATATTCGCAATATATTTGTTAGTTCGCGCTGTAGCGCTTTTTGCGAGGTCAAGCTTCAATAGTTCTGTTGAGCCGCGAATAGTTGTCAGCAGATTTCTGAAGTCATGGGCAATTCCGGCGGACATGGTGCCCAGACTTTCCAGTTTCTGACGCGAAAGATTACTCTGTTCTTCTTCGATGCGGCGGGTGATGTCACGCGCGACACCGACCGCACGGATTTCACCCTCGCTGTTGAAATAATGGGAGGCGCTGATTTCCAGAAACCTGGGTGAGCCGTCGGCATGGCGCACTTTGTATAACGTGCCATAGGGGCCTGCAGCTGAGATTTTCTGCAACGATTCGGGGTGATCAAACTGAAATCTTTCACCTTGATGTTCTGCGGATACCTGACGCATGAACTCGCCCACTTTCTTACCTAACATCTCCTGTGTGGTGATGCCTAATACCTTCAGGCAGTTCGGGCTGACATAGACAAACTCTGCATTTTTGTTAAGTTCGACAATAATGTCTTCAGCATGGTTTGCCAGCGCATCAAAACGTTCCTGCGCTGAGCGTAGTGATGCGCTTCGTTCACGGCGTGATTTGTCTAACCAGGCCCAGATCTGCACAGCGCCTGTCAGCACATACACGATGACCCAGGGTAGACCTGAGGTTATGGTCCTGCGGGCAGGATCGTTTATCACGCTATCCCAGACTTCAACTCCCGCCATTGCGATCAGGGTTATGCCGAGGGCGACGTTTACTCTTCGTTGCTGATCTGCTGCCTGGTTCAGCGTCCAGGCAGACATTACATAGGCAAAAATTTCTAATGGTAGCGCTGATATGCGCGCCTCTATGAAGAGACCTGCGGAGGCCAGACTTCCCCGTATAACAAATGCAGCTACTGCCAGGTAGAATATCCATAAGGGAGCGTCTCGATTGACGAAGCCGAAGCTGCCTGCCAATAGACACATAGGAAAGATAACGCCAACACCCTGAGCGACAAACATAAGTTCGGGATATTGCAATGCGGCAATTTGCAGGGGGGCGGTGATAATCACCAGTGCCCATCCCAATAGCCAGTAACGAGTGCCCAAAGGCAGTAAGGGCGTCAGGATAACCACGCTGATCGGCGCCAGGAAAAGTAGACCTAACCCCATGTATTCGAGCAATGACACCTGGCGTGTCCTACAAAAAAAACGTCTACTAAATTACCATGTCTGCAGAACCGTAGTACACGGTCCTGCAGCCGGTTTTACAATTATGGACTAGCTAGGATCAGCTATTTTCAGCAGTTGTTTGCCCAGGTTCTGACCTGTAAACAGGCGTTGCAGGGTACTGGGAATGTTTTCAAAACCTTCCTGGACGTCGACCTGAAACTTCAGGTCGCCTGCTTCTATCCATTTCAGCAGGTCGGCAATTGCTTCACCACTGCGATTCATATAGTCGATGACAATGAAGCCTTCCATGCGCGCGCGCATGATGACCAGGTTCATCAGATTGTTTGGACCAGGTACCGGTTCGGTGGCGTTGTATCCGGAGATACCACCACACAGAACAACGCGAGCATGCATGTTGATGTTGTCCAGAGCCGCCTGCAGGATATCGCCGCCGACATTGTCAAAAAATACGTCCACTTTATTCGGGCAGGTGGCCGCAATGCGTTGAGCAACGTATTCGTTTTTGTAGTCAATCACGTCATCAAAGCCGAGTTCGTCTTTCAGCCAGCTGCATTTTTGCGCGCCACCGGCGATACCGACCACTCGCGCCCCTTTGATTTTGGCAATCTGACCGGCAATGGAGCCGGTTGCTCCCGCAGCGCCGGATACGAGCACCGTCTCCCCTGCTTTCGGCTTGCCCAGATCCAGCAAACCCCAGTAAGCGGTCAGGCCGGTAACACCGAGTACAGACATCATCATCTCCGGGGTGATACCCGCTGGGATCTTGCTCAATCCCATGACTGACGTCTCAGGGCTGACAACCACAAAATCCTGCCAACCGCCGGTGGTCTGCACCAGATCGCCGGCTTCGAATCCGGCATGATTGGATGTCACAACCTGGCCAACTGACCCGGCACGCATGGGTTGACCCAGGGCAACAGGTGGGAGATAGCTTTCCCGGTCCTCCATCCAGCCACGCTGGGTGGGGTCAAAGGACAGATAGAGATTGCGCACCAGCACCTCCCCTTCATCAGGCTCAGGAATCGGAGTTTCTGCGTAGGCAAAATTTTCTTCGCCGACCAGGCCATGGGGGCGTTTAGCTAACAGCCACTGTCTGTTGGTGTTCATACTTTTTTACTCCAAATTGTTCTAAGAAGGGTGCTTTAAAGGCCGTGAAGCCTTGATGAATGACTGGGTTATTTCCAGTAGACTCTCGACTGACTTTTGGGAGAGGGTTTTACCATGGCAGAAGCTATCCAGCTTGAACACACAGACCCCAACGCCGTTGCGTTGGATCAGATTGACGTGAGCCGACCGGAGCTTATGCAAAGTGATACGCATTGGGGTTACTTTGCACGCCTGCGTGCTGAAGATCCGGTGCATTATTGTGCGGATAGCTTTTTTGGTCCGTACTGGTCGATTACCAAGTTCAACGACATTATGGAAATTGAGAAGGATCATCAGACCTTCTCATCAAACGAGAGTATTACGCTGGCAGAACGTCCTGCGGATTTCGAAACCACTAATTTTATTGCTATGGATCCTCCCAAACACGATGTGCAGCGCAAAACTGTACAAGGTGTGGTGGCGCCTATGAATCTGGCAAAACTGGAAGGCACTATCCGCGAACGCGCGCAGAAAATTCTGGATTCTGTGCCTGTTGGTGAAACATTTGATTGGGTAGATCACGTGTCTATTGAGCTCACCACGCAGATGCTGGCAACCATTTTCGATTTTCCCTTTGAAGATCGTCGCAAGTTGACCTACTGGTCAGATATGGCCACGTCTGGAGAGCTGGCAGGTGGACCTACGCCTGAGCCTGTGCGTCGCGCTGCTTTGTTGGAATGTCTGGACTATTTCACCCGACTCAAAGAGCAGCGGCTGCAGGAAGAACCTAAGCCGGATCTGCTGTCGATGCTGGCACACGGTAAAGACACGCAGAACATTCCGCCGATGGAGTTTTTAGGTAATCTCATATTGCTGATTGTCGGCGGCAATGACACCACGCGGAATTCCATTTCAGGTGGTGTGCTGGCCTTGAATCAGAACCCGGCGGAGTATGACAAGCTGCGCAACAATTTGAGTCTGATACCCAGCATGGTGTCTGAAATCATTCGTTACCAGACACCGCTGGCCTATATGCGCCGCACGGCCACCAAAGATGTGGAGTTCCGCGGTAAGCAGATCAGGAAGGGTGACAAGCTGGCTATGTGGTATGTCTCAGGCAACCGTGATGGCGAGGCGATTGAAAATCCGGACAGTTTTATCATCGACCGTAAAACACCGCGTCATCATCTGTCGTTTGGCTTTGGCGTTCACCGATGTATGGGTAATCGCCTGGCAGAAATGCAGCTGCGGGTCCTGTGGGAAGAAATCATGCAGCGCTTCCGCATGATCGAGGTGGTTGGCGATGTGGAACGTGTGCAATCGAGCTTTGTACGCGGATACGCACATATGCCCGTGAGAGTGCACCCCCACTAGTCGCGGGGGCACTTAATTACAGGTCTCGGGAAATGCCGCTAGTGGAAATCGGCGGCATTTTTCAACATGTGTGCAGGACCATGCGGACCGTTCAGGACTGCATTTTTTCCGAATAACGCTTCTTTCTGACCGCCGTAGTTGTCTCGATTTGCGGCCAGCGGCGCAAGCTCTGTGGCGCGTGCAATCGCCGCTTCACGCAGTTCTTCAAGCGGTGTTATGGCTTGCACGATACCGGCCTGGAGCGCATCAGGGCCGGCCCAGCGCCGCGCCAGCTGTACCGTTTCAAAGTAAACGTTCATAGGTAGCTTATGGCGGAACAGGGCCAGTTCCGGGTTCGGAATGCGCATGCCAAGCTGCATCTCATTGGCACACACAAACCCCCGGTCTGCCCGCATGAAGCGGACGTCGTGACATAAAGCACTCATAAAACCGGCGCCAAAAGCATGGCCGTTGATGGCGGCTATTGTTGGCATGGGAAACGTAATGATACGCCCCATCAGCGCCATAAATTCTTCTCCGAAAGCGACGCGATCACCTGCTTCCGGATAGGCATCAGGGTCTGCAACCCAGGCCAGATCCAGCCCATTAGAAAAGAACTTTTCGTTTGCGGACAAAGTGACCAGCGCGGCGGGTCCGGTGGAGGCTTCAACTTCATCCAGTGCTTCCGCGAGGTTGCGCACGAAAGTAGTGTTCCAGCGATTCTCGCCAGCATCCATGGTCAGGGTGAAAACATCGCCGGTGCGGTCGAGATGGATCATGTTTGAAGTCTCTTTATACAGTGAGTGGGTGCGGTAACTTTTTTCAATGTTACACCGAAAGATCAGGTGTCAGCGAGTCTCTCCAGGGAGGTCCGGGTAGCTTCATCAGCAGGATAAAACAGTTCAACGGAAAGCTCTTCGAGGGTGACATCTGCCGGCGCACCAAAGTGCGCCAGCATGGTAAACAGTCGATACCGCTGCTGGCCTTTGTGCATGATCATTTCCATCGCTGGCGCGGGTTGCGCGCTCCAGGTCTGGTGCCAGTTTTCCGGTGCCTGTGGATGGTTGAGAATTTCCTCAATCAGAATGGGCAGTTGCTGGTCCTGGGGGTTTGTCAGCAACGCACGTCTGGCACGGGCGAGGAAAGAAGCAATCAGCGTTTGCCAGTTGTCGATATAAGGCTGCAGGCCAGCTTCGTGCATACACAAACGCACAATCTGGAAATGAGAAGGGTTGCCCATGTCCTGCAGCGCTTGAAATGGATCGATGAATATCGAAAAGAATCGCAACGCCGCCTGATTGGCCATGACCATGTTCCAATTCCCATCCAGCACCATAGCCGGATAAGGTTCGGCATGATCGAGGGTCTGCTGCAAAGCGTGGCGGAACAAGCTGTGGGAAGCTTCGTCGAGGTTGCCGTTGCTGAAGGATGCGCTGAAACCGGCACTTTGTAACAGGCTGTTCTGTTCACGCAGCGGTATATCCATAGAGTTGGCCAGCGCGAGCACCATTGCACGACTCGGATTAGCGCGGCCGGTTTCCAGAAAACTCACGTGCCGTTGGGAAACGCCCGCCTGTAGTGCCAGATCCAGCTGACTGATATGCCTGTGCCGGCGCCACTGTTTCAGTAACGTAGCAAACATCGGGATCGTTTCAGCCATAGTTTTTCTCTTTTGCAGCCTGTGCAGTTTACTTTGTATCACCGGGACGACGATTACCTTGCAGGTAATTGCCTCGATTACCTTATCAGACTACCTTAAGTCAGCTGTTTGTCTTAAGGAGAGATACACATGAAACAGACTTATCTTGTGCTGGCGATAATTGGCGCAGTAGTCCCGATAGCCTTTTTTCTGGGCTTTTTCCATGCGGAAATGATCGGGCCGGCAGGGTTTGTGCCTGCGCTGTTTGCCAATTCGGCGGCGGCTGGATTTACAGCTGACCTGCTCATCACTTCGGTAGTGTTCTGGCTTTATATGTTCGGCGCCAAGGCGGGCCCGAAACCCTGGCTGTTTGTGCTGTTGAACCTGTGTATCGGCTTGTCGTGCGCACTACCCGCATATCTTTACGCCCGTGCGTGTGCAGCGGAGGCTTAAGGTCCACCCACTTCAAATTTGTTGCGTTCGCTGTGACGGCGTAGCAGCGACCAGATGGCATGATTGAGTTGCGCATCGTTGGTTTCGGCCCAGGTATGTAGTTCGATCAGCAGTTCAAAGCCACGGGCATGCAGTTGATCCAGGTCGCGCAGATGTAACGAGGCGGGGGCGGCTTCGGTAAATGCTTCCATGGCTTGCTTGGCCGGCACATTCTGACTACTGTCCAACGCCACTTTGAACAGCTGTTGGATTTCTTCAATATCCGTCATGCGATTGAAAGCGGCCCGCTCGAAATCCTGTGCCAGCGCCATCAGCAAACCACTGATCAACCCCGCATCCGCCTGGCCATACGCACTGGTCATGTCGGGTAGAACGTGGGTGGCGATACGAACCGCAAGATCGCGCAGCTGTGTGCCGGGTTGATGAATCATGCCAGTGCCTCGGCGTACAGGTGCTGGGAATCTGGCGATAAGCGGTCGAGCAGAATCCGGTTCTGTCTGTCGATCATCGGCCAGCCTGCAAACGCGAGAATAGGTTCTTTGGTGGTGCCGGTCGTGTAATCGTGGGCAGATGACAGCCAGATTGCCAGGGCTTTAACCGAAGCGAAAATCTGCCACCAGCGAAATGTTTCAGGATCGACAGTCATGCCGCTGGCCTTTTCCCAGATATCGATGGCGGTTGTTCGTGGCACTAAACGCCCGGCCAGGTGCAGATCGGGGGACCACAGTGGATCTAAAGACCAGGCCAGATCTTCTAAGGGGTCGCCGATGTGCGCCATCTCCCAGTCCAGCACCGCGGTGATTTCTCCGCTTTGTGTATACAGGTAATTCCCTGTGCGGAAATCTCCATGCACCAGGGACAGATTTCCGCTCGGTGCCGGTAAATGTTTGTCCAGCCAGCGTAACGCGGCAGCTGCTATCGGCTGTGGGTGCAGGGCGTCTGCTTCGATCACCTGGCGCCAGTAACTGAGTTCATGGGCTGCGGGATGCTCTGGTGTTGGCATAAAACTATCCACTCCCAGTTGGGTGGGGGACAGTTTTGCCAAAGCGCCCAGCAGCGACCATTTTCTCTGTGCCAGCGCGGGTTTTGCTGCCGCCATCTCAGGTTCATCTAATCCGGCTGGGGAAGCCTTGCCCTCGGAGATAAAGGCGGAAATCGAAAAAGGATACTGCAGTGCACCAGGGGTCTCCTCCAGCACAATTGGCTGCGGTACGGGCATCACGCCATTGTTAAAGACGGCTGCGTAGGTGTTGTACTCGTGGGCACGTTCTGTGTCGATGAGTGAGCTGGGCGGGTCGCGTCGCACAATCACACGGACCGGTTGGCCGTTGCTCAGCAGATGCACCAGGTAAGTTTGTCGCGACGCACCGCCAGGTATCTGGTTGATGTCTTGAAAGCGACACTCGGTCTGCCAGTGATTGCCTAAATAGGCAGCAATCAGTTGGCCGGTTTGTTCAACGGTGGTCTCCACAAGCTCTCCCCAGGTATGCGGTCATAGACGGTACCTGCTGTCTGACAGGGTTTGCAATAGTCTTCCGCTGCCCCTAAATTGGGTCGCGTCTGGGGATACGTTGTGACGTTTAAAAAGGAGAGGAGTTTCATGCCGTTAAGTCAATTTAGCCGGTCTGTTGAAGGGTGTGTTGTGCTGATTACCGGTGCCGCCAGCGGCATGGGTGAAGCAACCGCTAAACTGTTTGCCGATGAAGGTGCAAAAGTCGCCGCGGTAGATTTGAACAGCGAAGGTCTGCAGCGGGTAGTTGCAGAAATTGAAGCGGCGGGGTGTCCGGTGCGAGGCTGGACGCTGGATTTAAGCGACGGCGCCGCGGTGGAACAGGTGGTTGCAGAAGTGGCTGATCATTTTGGCGGTCTGGATATCCTCATCAACAACGCAGGTATCTCAATTTTCACGCCCATAGATGGTGATGAATACGAAGCAGCCTGGTCGAAAACTCTGGATGTGCTGCTGACCGCTCATACCCGCACAATTCGGGCTGCGTTGCCTCATCTGCGCGTATCAAAGAACCCGCGTATCGTAAACATCGCCTCTACAGAAGGGCTTGGCGCAACCAAATTTGGCAGCCCTTATACTGCGGCGAAACACGGGGTTATTGGTCTCACCCGTTCGCTGGCAGTGGAATTGGGCGGGGAAGGCATCACCGTAAACTGTATTTGCCCCGGTCCTATCCGCACGGGTATGACGGATGCGATTCCAGAGGAACAGAAACAAACTTACGCACGCCGGCGCGTCGCTTTAAAACGGTATGCCGAACCTGAAGAAGTGGCCCATGGCACGCTTAATTTCTGCCTGCCAGCGTCAGGGTTCATGACCGGTGCGGTCTTACCTGTGGACGGTGGTCTGACCATCAAGAACGCCTGAACGTGGCCGGTCAGTCAAAGCGGGTCTCCTGGCGCACAATCATTGCCTACGGTGCACCGGCCATGGGTGCCGGTTATATGTACTTGCTGCTGAGCCTGTACATGATGAAATTTGCCACGGACATACTGCTGATTGCACCTGCTGTGATGGGCATTATCTACAGCGCGTCGCGCATCTGGGATGCGGTATCAGACCCCCTGGTCGGTTATTTGAGCGACCGTACAACCACACGCCTGGGGCGCAGAAGAACCTGGATACTGGCCAGCTGTCTGCCTATCTCGGCTGGCTTCTACATGGTGTTTGCGCCACCGGTTAGCCTGGATGAAAGTGGTCTGATTGTTTGGACGGCTATTGCTGTGATCGGTTTCTATTCCGCGATGACGCTGTTTTTTGTTCCACACCTGTCGCTTGGTGCTGAGCTGTCTGACGATTATCACGAACGCAGTCGGATGTTTGGTACCCGTCACGCCGCCTACATCATTGGCTCGATTCTGTCTCTGGTCAGCTTGTACTTCCTGATTAATGAAGAGTTTGACCCGAATGGAGATGTTCGCGCGCTGGCTTCAGACCTGGGTCTGCTGGCAGTTGTGATCATGTTTGGCCTGGTTATTTTTGCTGTGGCACGGCTGCGCGAGCGGCCTGAGTTTCAGGGTCGGGTTAAATCCAGTCCGGTAAAAGCGTTCAAAGATGTCTGGCAGAACCCGCATGCGCGACTTCTGCTGATTGTTACCTTTATTGAACATGTCGGCTCGTCGGCCATTGCCGCGCTGACACTGTATGTCACCCACTACGTTGTCGGCGCGCCTACCTGGGCCCCCATCATTATATTTGCGTATATGCTGCCGTCATTTGCATCTGTGCCACTCTGGATTCCGTTGTCCAGACGGTTTGGCAAGATTCGAGTCTGGATTTTCGGCATGGTGCTGACCGGCGTTTCGTTTGGCGCCATGTTCCTGCTGCCATTTTTTGATGATGTAAATACCCGCCTGACATGGATTATTTCCATGGCTGTATTTGCCGGTCTGGCTAACGGTTGTGGTGGCACCATCGGGCCTTCGGTGCAGGGCGATGTCATCGATTACGACGAACACCTCACCGGAGAGCGAAAAGAGGGTGCTTATTTTGCAGCCTGGAATTTTGTACAGAAAAGCGCGTTAGGCGTTATGTTACTGCTGACCGGTTTTGTGCTTGATTTCTCAGGCTTTGTACCTAACGTTGAACAAACCATGACTGTGAAAATGTCTATGGTGACGCTATACGGACTGTTTCCGTTAATTTGTTATGCGATAGGCGCGGTGATGTTCACCCGTTTTAAGCTGGATGAAGCAGCCCACGGCAAGATTCGAGCAGATCTGGACGCTCGCGCAGCATCGGCAGCTGCGCAAGCTTAACTATCGGCTTAACGTCCCTGGAAATTGCCAGGGCGTCGCTCTGCAACAGCACGAACACCTTCTTTATGGTCTTCGGTCTGCTGCAGTTGGTATTGCTCGGCGTTTTCATGGTCGGTCTGTGCTTTGACGGCGTCGGCAAGACCGGCACGCATAGTTGCACGCACCGATTGTACCGCCAGGGGCGCGTTTTCTGCGATTTCGGCAGCCAGTTTAATCGCCTCATCGCGCAGATTATCTTTGTCCGTCAGTACATCAGCCAGACCTATTTTGAAGGCCTCTTCACCGCCTATGCGGCGTCCTGTAAGAAACAGCATGCTCGCCTGCTGTTGCCCGATCAGACGTGGCAGGGTATGGGTGAGAGCAAATCCAGGGTGAAACCCCAGTTTCACAAAGTTTGCGGTGAAACGTGCTTCCGGGCATACCACGCGAAAATCCGGCATCACAGCAAGACCAAACCCGCCGCCAACGGCTGCGCCCTGGATAGCACCGATAACCGGTGTTTTGGCGGCAAACAGGCGTGTTGCGGCGGCATAAAGCGGATTGCCTTGACCTGGCTGGCGGTCTGCACGTTCTGCATTGCGGGACGACGAAGAAAAATCGTTACCTGCGCAGAAATGTTTGCCCTGGGCGCACAGGACAATGGCGCGCACATCGTCGCCCTCGTCCATTTCCGTGAACGCATCGGCGAGATTGTTGATCAGCGCCGTGTCGAAAAAATTGTTTGGTGGACGCTGAATTTCGACAACGGCGACTTTATTGTCGATGGTGATACCCAGATCTTCGTATTGCATATTTGTTCTCCCCAGTGTTTTAACGATGTTTGACCAAAGCTCAGCGATTTGCAACGCTGAGCTGATCAGCGGTTGTTAACGAACAGGGTTTAACCATGAACAGATGGCAGGTTGGCAAAGTACAGATCACTCAGGTGGTGGAGTTAACCACAGCCTCGCTTGGACCTCATCTCCTACCCCAGGCCACACCCGAGGCGTTGCTCGACATTCCCTGGATAACTCCGTTTGTAGATGCGCAGCATCGCATGGTGTTGAGTATTCATACACTTATTGTTGAGTCCCAGGGCCAGACCATCATGGTGGACACCTGCATCGGCAACGATAAAGAACGCAGCTATCCGCGGTGGCACATGATGCAGGGTGATTTTTTGTCACGCTTGTCGGACTCCGGCTTCGCCACGGAGCAAATCGATACGGTACTGTGCACCCATATGCATGTAGATCACGTCGGCTGGAATACCCAGCTGATCGATGGCAAGTGGCAACCTACTTTTGGCCAGGCTGACTACCTGTTTAACGAAACCGAATGGCAACACTGGCGCAACGAAGGGCAGGATTATGGCCCGGTGTTCGAAGACTCGGTGCAGCCGATCTTTGATGCGGGTAAGGCGGTGCTGGTCACCGACGGGCATCGTGTGACGGATGAAGTCTGGCTGGAACCAACGCCAGGTCACACGCCTGGCCACGTGAGTGTGCATATTGCATCGAACGGTGAGGAAGCGGTGATCACCGGCGATATGATCCATCACCCGAGTCAGATTCCGCATTGTCATTGGACCTGTACCGCGGACCATGACGGCACGCTTGCTCAACACACGCGAGAAAATTTTGTGCAGCGCTACGCAGATCGACCGGTGCTGATCATCGGCACACATTTTGCCGGACCCACTGCCGGCCATATTGTGCGCGATGGGGACACTTATCGGCTGGCGTACTAAGCTGGGCTTGCGTCTGCCTGATTAAGATATTTCACAAACGGATCAGAATCGGCGTCAGTATGCCACTGATATTCCGTAAACGCGGCGACCTGCTGAGCACGTTCCGCACCAAATAGACGTTCGATAACCGCAAGGGACATATCCGTACCGGCAGATACACCGGAAGAGGTCACATACTGTCCAGCATCTACCCAACGTGCTTTCTCCACCCATTCCACTTTGTCACTCTGGCTGCTCGCCAGGCTGAAAAACATTTTATTGGATGTGGCGCGCAACCCGTCGAGCAATCCGGCTTTAGCAAATATTGCTGAACCTGAACAAACGCTCATGTTGATTGGAATGTCCGGACAGCGCTCCCGCAGGAACCGCAGCAGATTCTGATTGTCCAGGGCAGGCAGGGTGCCTATACCACCAGGCAGCAAGAGCAGGTCCAGCGCGGGTGCGTCGGTAAAATCGTATTCCGCCAGGGTTTTTGGGCCGCCGGTAGATTTCACCGGGCCTTTTTGCTCGGCAATCACTACTGTCTCAATGTCTTCCGCTAAGCAGCCAAACATTTCCAGCGGGCCGTAAGCGTCCAGCAGTTCAAAATCTTCGTATAACACAGCACCCAATCGCATCGCTCTACTCCGGTTTGAAAGAAAGTATTGGAACTTATAGTGCAGCAATTGAAGTGTTCACGCCAGGCAGAGTGATGGAGGTGTGTTTCAAGAGGAAGATTCGGAGTGTGTTAATATCTGTGGCCTGCTTCCGATCGGATCTATTTTGGCTACCCGCGATATTCGTCATGTGCTGTCGCACAGAAATTTTCTATGGCTCTGGGTGGGCAGTCTGGGTTCGTCATTTGCCATGAATATGCAGATCATCGCCCGCGGCTGGCTGGTGTATGAACTGACTGAATCACCGCTGGACCTAGCCTGGGTAACCATGTCCTTTATGTTGCCAACGGTTTTGTTTTCGCTCTACGGTGGTGTGCTGGCGGATCGGATGCAGAAGAAAAAAGTCATTGTCTGGGCGCAGGCGCTAAACTGCGCGGCAACCATTTTCATGGCCGTGATTATCTTTGCCGGCTCGGTGACCTTCTGGGATTTCATCTGGTTCGGTTTCTTCAATGGCACCATTCTAGCCTTGTCCATGCCTGCGCGGCAGGCATTTGTGCCGGAATTGATCCCTGATCATCTGTTGTTTGCCGCTATGGGTCTTAATACCACTGGCTGGAATCTGGCGCGCATTGTTGGTCCGGCGCTGGCTGGTCTGCTGATCGCCATGATTGCCGGCGGTGATAAAACATCTACTTTTGGTGTGGGTGTGGTGTATATCGTGATTGCCAGCCTCTACGGTATATCAGCGCTGACCATGTTGCTGATTGATAAAAGCGGCAAAGCCAAACAGGCTTCTAAGGCTAATGCCTGGACAGATGTCCGCGAAGGTCTGGCTTATGTGCTGCAACATCCTCCTATATTTGGGCTCATCATTCTGTCGATTGTCCCATTCCTGTTTGGTATGCCGTTAAATACGCTGCTACCGGCTTTCAACGAACAGGTCATGGGTGGCGGCCCCGATGATCTTGGTTTTCTGGTTTCAGCCATGGGGCTGGGTGCGATTGTTGGCTCGCTGATGATGGCATCCATGGGCGACCTGAAGAACAAAGCAGTCTGGTTGATAGTGACCTGTATTGGCTGGGGTGGTCTGACGGCCTTGTTTGGCTGGTCCCAAGCACACTGGCTTGTCTTTGTGCTGATAGCCGCCGTCGGCTGGACCAGCAGTTGGAACATGTCCCTGAACCGCGGCATGTTGCAGATGCAGGTAGATAACCATATGCGCGGACGCATCATGAGCATCGATATGATGTCGCACGGATTAATGCCGTTAGGTGTGTTCCCGGTGAGTTGGATCGCAGAACACTACGGTGTTGGTGCTGCGCTGATGTCCAGCGGCGCGGCGTTTGTGGTGCTGACCTTGTTGGCTGTGCTGTTTATTCCCTCGGTGCGAACCACTGATCGGACTCGCGAAAGCGAACCCGCACCGACTTAGATCACTTCGAATAAAACATGTCGTCCGGTTACTTCGCCGCCAGTGCTTCTATAGTCTGATCGCGCAACTGGCGTTTGAAAATTTTGCCTGAGGCAATACGCGGCAGGGGTTCATGCACAATCTGGATAGCCGCCGGGATCTTGAACTTTGCCAGATGGGCATTTAGAAACAGGCGTAGATCGTTCTCCAGCAAGCCCTGTTGTGCATAAACTGTGGCGCCTACTTCTTCTCCCAGGCGCTCATCTGGAATAGCGTATACGGAAGCTTCGATGACCAGCGGATGTTCCACCAGTGCCGCCTCGACCTCGCCGCAGCCAATGTTTTCGCCACCTCTGATAATCAGATCTTTTATCCGGTCGACGATAAACAGGTAGCCCTCATCGTCGATATAGGCCACGTCGCCAGTGCGCAGCCAGCCGTCAACAAACGTTTCTGCGTTTGCCTCGGGTCTGCGCCAGTAACCGTGAATGACGGAAACGCCACGTATCAGCAGCTCGCCGCGTTGCCCCGCCGGGAGCTCGTTGCCTGCCTCGTCGATGATTTTCAGATCCAGAACCGCAGATACGCGGCCGGAACTGGCGGGTCTGTTCAGATAGTCTTCACCACCAATGCCGGTACCTATGGCGTTTGTCTCTGTCATACCCCAACCGGTATTGGGCATTGCCGTGGCGATTGAGGCTTTAATGTCTTTAACCTGTTCCGGTGCACGAGGTGCGCCGCCGCCGCCGACTGTGAGCAAAGAGCCAAGATCATAGCTGGATCGTTTAGCTGCCTGCACCAGGTCGCCAGTCATGGCTGCCGGGGCAACAAAAGAAGAGATCTTTTCTTTCTCTATGAGCTGCGCAGCTGCGTCGGCGTCCCATTTATACATGGATACCAGCTTGCGCTGACTGCGATAACAGGACAGAAAAACCGCATGCGAACCTGTTGCATGGAACAGCGGTACAGCCAGGAGGGTCGCAGGCTGCTCGGTTGTTTCCGTTGGCTCGGGAGGTTCAATACCGGCCATTAACATGCCGCTCAACTGATCAAGCTCCCAGGACAACAAAGCGCTGAGTATATTGCGATGGGTCGATACGGCGCCTTTTGGAAAACCAGTGGAGCCGGAGGTGTAGAAAATGGTGGCCGGGTCTTCTGGCAGCACTTCTACCTCAGGCATTGGACAATCTTCGGCCTGTTGAGAGAGCAGATCTTTGATGTCCGTACCCAGCTGGTTGTCGTCACCTGGACGAACGGCAATGACCTGAACGTCAACCTGATCAATAATGCTGCTGAGGCGTTCCAGGCGTTCACGATCAGCCAGAATAACTTTCGCGCCACAGTCTTTTAAACCTTCGGCAATCTCATCACTTTCCCACCAGGCGTTCATGGCTACAGCGATTGCGCCGATGGAGGTAGCAGCGGTAAACCCGACCACCCACTCCGGATAGTTGCGCATGGAGATCGCCACGCGGTCACCTTTGACTACGCCATATTGATTGACCAGCGTGGTAGCCAGCTGGCAGGCCTGGGTGTACATCTGCGCAAAGGTATATCGCTCGTCTTCGTAGACCATGAACGTTGCATCGCTGACGTTATCGGCAAACAGCTCGCGCAGGGACTTAGGCGCGTTTGCAAACACCCGGCAAGGTACGTTGTTGATGGTAAGCGGCTGAATTTCGTGGGGTTGTCCAGGTGCTGTCAACTGGGCCAGGGATTGCTGTCGTGTCAAAGTCATCTTATTGCTCGAGTGTGCGAAAAAGGGTTTAAAAAAGAGTGAATTCGCTGTAGCCGCTTGCAGCGGCATCGTCACAGCGTTGTTTGTAGCGCGGATAGCCGCCGACATAAGGCATGAATATACGCGGCTTACCGGGTATGTTGGCGCCCAGATACCAGGAGTTGCAGCTGGGCGTTGTATACATGGTGCCCTGCGCCACTTCGTTGACATGTTCAACCCATTCAAGTTCCGCTTCCTCCCTGGCCTCTATGCCGGCGAGGTTGTTGCTGCGCAGGTGGATCATACAATCGCCGATCCAGTTGATATGCTGCTCAATGGCGATGAGCATATTGCATAACACTGACGGGCTGCCGGGTCCGGTGACGGTAAACAGGTTCGGGAACCCGGCGATCTGCAAGCCGAGAAATGCCTGGGGACCGTATTGCCATTTATCTGTGAGCTTGAAACCGTCTCTGCCGGTGATGTTGGCTTTTGTCAGCGCCCCGGTCATGGCGTCAAAGCCGGTTGCGTAAACAATTACGTCGAGGTCGATATCCTGCTTTGAGGTACTTATACCTGTGGGCGTGATGGTCTCGATGGGATCATCGCGCAGATCGATGAGGGTGACGTTGTCACGGTTAAATGTGTCGTAATAGTCGCGATCCAGAACCTGGCGTTTACAACCGATGCCATAACCTCGAGGCACCAGGCCTTCCGCGGTTTTGGGGTCAGTGATCATGTCGCGGATTTCATCAGCAAACAGATCGTTGGCAATGTTGTTGGCTTCGATGTCTGTGTACACGTCGCGGTAGGTTAACAGTTCGTTTAAACCGTGCTGTTTAACGCGAGCCTGCCGCTCTGCTGCAGAAAGTTTTTTGATGAGCTTGGGTTCGGCGGCTTCCGCTGGCGCTGTTGTGTTGGCCTGAGAAGGTCGAAAGTTTGAGACGCCACCTGGATTTTTCTGCTGCATCTCGCGGATACGGCGATAGTTTTGCTTAAATACCTGTTCGACTTCCTGGCGCATGGCTTTGCGGTTGGCAGGTACGGTAAAGACCGGGCTGCGTTGAAACACATAAAGTTCTTCTGCCTGCTGGGCGAGCTCCGGGATAGCCTGTACGCCGGAGGAGCCGGTGCCTATGACACCCACACGCTTGCCGCTCAGGTCAACCGGATCTTTAGGCCACAAACCTGTGTGCAGGGTCTGGCCGGAAAAATCTTCCTGACCCGGGATCTGCGGCTTGTTAGGCACCGACAGACAGCCGGTGGCCATCACACAGAATTGCGCACTGAATATTTCGGTGTGCTCCGTTGTCAGGTGCCAGACGTTTTGCTTCTCGTCATAGTCAACGGCAGTGACCCGAGTGTTGAATTGGATATGCGGGTAAAGGTCGAAGCGTTCAGCAATATGCTCGGCGTAGTTGAGAATGTCCGGCTGTGCAGAAAAAACTTCGGGCCAGTGCCACTCCTGTTCTAGCTCCGGCGAAAAACCAAATGAATATTCGACGCTGGGGACATCACAGCGTGCACCAGGATACCTGTTCCAGTACCAGGTGCCGCCCACACCTGTGCCTGCTTCCAGCACTTTCACCTTTAAACCCAGTTTGCGAAAACGATACGCCGCGTAAAGACCTGCGAATCCCGCGCCTACAACCAAGACATCCTGTTGCAACGATTTGCTCCCCAGTTAACCGTTCAGCCAGCTTAGTGTAACCTACCAGACTGCCTGTGTTACACGCTTGAAGGAGTGAAAATAATGTCTGCACCATGGGATCTGGTGATTCAAAACGCAAAAGTTTTTGATGGCACCGGTGCCGCCGGAAAAGTGGCAGATGTGGCAATCAGAGATGGCGTTATTGCAGCCATCGGTGCGCAGCTACCCGAACAATCCGCGGCAGCCACTGCGGATGCCGCTGGTAAATGGCTGATACCGGGCCTGCTTGATATACACACCCACGAAGACCTGGAAGTTGAGTTGGACGCGGGGTTGCCGGAGATGGTGCGGCACGGCACCACAAGTGCGGTTGTGGGGAATTGCAGCATTGGTCTGGCCTTTGGCGCCCAGCGTACGCCAGAACAGGATCCCATTGTTGACTGTTTTGCCCGGGTCGAAAATATTCCAAAAACCGTGCTGGCCAAGGCGGCAGATAAAGCCACCTGGAACAATCCACGCGATTACCTTGCTCACCTGGATGAGCTGCCCCTGGGTGCCAACATCGCGCCTTTTGTGCCACATTCAATGTTGCGCATCGAGGTGATGGGTCTGGAAGCCAGCATTACGCGGGATCCTACCCGGGTTGAACTGGACAAGATGGTGGGGATTCTCGACGAGTGTTTGCAGGCGGGGTACCTCGGCTTATCCACCGATGGACTGCCGCTGCATTTTCTGGCCAACCAACCTCATGTGGACAAACGTATTCCTACTCAATACGCCTCTTTTGATGAATATAAAACGTTGACTGATGTTGTGCGTAAACACGATCGCGTCTGGCAGATGACGCCGGCCACGGATAATGGCGCCCTCACGGTAAAACTGTTTATGTTGTCCAGCGGGCGTCTGTATAAGAAGCCTTTGAAAATTACAGCGCTGGCCGCGCTGGATTCGGTTAACAATCGGCAGAACAAAGCCCGGGCACTCTTGTTTGCTAATCTGCTCAATACAGATCTGCTGCAGGGGAACTTTCGCATGCAGGCGCTCAGCGCACCTTTTCGTATTTATTCAGAAGGGGCGGTGAGTCCGTTGGCGGAAGCTAATCCACTGCTTCGACGCTTGATAGAGACTGAGCTGGAGGACGTTGAAGCGCGCCGAAAGATTCTGGCTGAACCTGAATTTGTAGATGCTTTCCGGGCTATGTGGTCCAAAGGCAAGTCGGGTTTTAATCTGGGACACCTGCGGCGCAAGCTGCGCCTGGAGCGCGAATTTCTGACCCGCGATCTGAACGATATGGAAATCTTCCGTGTGCCTGTAGCCGGTTGGGTGGGGCAGACGCTGCAGTATGCTTATGATCGTTATCAACTGTGGTGCCGCCAGCCGGATAGCATTGTCGAAGATGAAGAACAGCGCGTGTTTGATGCATTAGGCAAAAACATACGAGACGATGCTGAATTTTTTCTGATGCTGCTGAATCATTACGACCGGGATCTGTACTGGCACTATGTGTCAGCAAACAGAAATCCTGAGGTCGTCAAGCAGCTGCTGTTGCATCCGAAGCTGCTGCCAGGTTTTAACGACAGTGGCGCCCATGTGACGAATATGGCATTTTTTGATGGCAACCTGCGGGCGTTGCATATCGGCCTTAACGACAGC